CTTATTGATGACCCTGTGGGAAGGGCACCTTCGATACCACCAACGCTCTGGTATAGGAGATTAGAGGAGGAGAGTCCCACCATTACTTCTCGAGGGATCCATCATCTGAAGGATCTATCCAAGACCCACCATATATCAAAAGGCTCATTGGTCCCTAGGGGCCTGGGCAGGAAGGTGAGGGGGCACTTCACCTATTTGAGGATTGACACTTACAGTTTTCACCTGCATGGAAATTTATGCACATGGACACCATTTATTGCAATATGCATATAGTCACTTAAATGCATGATTTAGTTGCTTGAGAATATGTCATCACCAGCCCATTTATGTATATAAGAGGTACGGCTGTGTGAGTCACTTTCAATCATATATATGTCACCTGATATAATATAATTTTTATCCCGGTTTGAGCGCTGCACTATTTTTCTATCATTTCTTAAGATGACAGGTCTGTGTCCGTTCAATTTATCCAGAGCATGCAGACAAAGCCTGCTCTTCTCTATGGGCAGCTGGGAGTAAATGGACTCCACTGTCCGTGTACACCTGTCTGCCCTTCAATGGGATCTGCCACAGATGAGGACAGATCCCCTTCCATTTTTTTTTGAGGACCAAATCAGATAGTAGGTAGGAGGGTATAAACAAACAAAAGTCCGTTTACACCTGCCGGTCCATAGGGGTGATTAGGTGTCTGATCAGGTCCACCTGAAAACTGACAAGTGGACCTGATTGGATCCTTCGAGTGAAAGCGGCCTAAATTTAGGTTCTTCTTTAGGGTGGGATCAGACAAAATGTTAGCAATCTGACTATATTCTGTGCAGAGATGAAGGAGTTTCAATAAAAAAATATCCTTTATACTGTATATGTCTGTAAGGCTCTCATTTGTACCACTATTGAAAAAAGAAAAAGCAAAACATGTGCTCACTTCTAGATATGCCATCTCACTGTGTTCAGTATCGTCTCTGTAACCCAATAATATTGGCAAAAAAAACTTCGGTATAGATGCCGAAAGCATACAGTGGTTACTTCAGGCAACAAATGTGGCTTAAAGTCAGGTATACTCCATGTATAAATCAAATTTTATTAGTATGCAAAGAAGTAAAAATAGATAAAAAAAAGAAAAAAAAAATATGCAACACACAAAAACTTGAATGACCATGTCTCTTAAAGAAAGATAAAAAGGGTCAAAAATAGGTACAGGTACACATAAATTACATCAAGCCGCATCATCACAGATCCGATAACCACAGATCTTTTATGTGAGATATGCAGTTATCTGTTGTAAGGGAAGCTTCCCTGAATGGTATTACAATCTTAAAATGAACACTAAGGATATAACATAACATAAGAAAAGGATGTGGGTGAACAAAAGTTAATATAGACTTAACCAGGCCTCTAATTCTATTGGGACTTGGAGGAACCATGAATAGTAACAGCACTGTTAAAACCTTAGAGGTAATCCCTCCTCTTCTAGGTACTCTTCCATCCTGCTGACCTGGCAATGACAGCCATGAGGAGCCTTGGGTGATAAAGAGTCAATGCCCAGGGTGTTCCAGTATGGGCTTTGCTAACCCCCTAGAGGATTTGTACTAGTTCACCAGTCAGAGCCTTCTCCAGTATCACCCTCCTCAATTACCCATAAATAACGTGCCCACTTGGTAGGGTTGTTCCTGTGAGGATTTATGTAGTGCTTGGGCTTATAAATGGGGGTGGATGAGACCATATCAGTGTCCAGATACAGACCACACATAGGACTCTCCCCACAGGGTGATATGAACAATGATCACGGCAGCACGAGTTGGACAGCCGCCACGTGATCATTCTTACACATAGGCACCATGCAATACACAGGAAAAGCCTCTATTGATCTTGCAGCCCGGCAACTGACAGTCCATGAGGAGTCAGGATGGAAGAGTACCCAGAAGGGAAGGGATTACCTCTAAGATTTTAACAACGCCGTTATTTATTTTGGTTCCTCCAAGTCCCAATAGAAATAGAGTCCTGGTTAGGCCTATATTATCTTAGTACTTAAGTGATAAGATCTCTTATCACTTAAGCAGGGGCAGACTGACAACTCATGGGGCCCCCGGGCAATAGGGGATCATGGGGCCCCTGTGTCCTTGCCCAAACGCAAAAAAAACCTATGAAAAAGGTACCAGGGGTATCTCATGAGGCCCCCTACTGACCCTGGGCCCTCGGGCAGTGCCTGAGTTTCCAAATGGTCAGTCCGTCCCTGCACTTAAGTCATAAGTGACAAGTAAATGACCTATTCTTATGTGAATAAGATTTTAAATGACAGGGAATTTCGAAAATCCATTTTAAAAGGAGTTTTTTTTTGGTGTATAATATACTTTAAAAGAAAATGAAGCTATAAGATCTTGTTGTGCCTTTAAAGTCCCGCCATGTCAAATAAATATACAGTAGAGTAATAGTTCAATTTCCAGACAAAGATTTAATGATGGTTTCATTCTGTAGGAATTAAAGTAATCATTTCTATATATCAGAGAATCTAACAGCATAATTTATGTTTATCTCTATAAATAAATAGGGCATTGATGTAGCCTACTATTTATAGCCAGAACTGGTTAAGATGGAGTCTACCAATTTAGTCCAGCCCCTTGATGCAAGTTTGGTAAATTTATAAAATATATTTAAGTGTTGCAAAGGTAAGAAAATCAATTGTGTAACATTACTGGGTATTTAAAATATGTTTTCGGCAGCATTATTTGTTAGATGTGCAGTATTTAATAAGGGCAATCTGTAAAAACTGGTAGTAAGCAGTCATTGCAGTGGATATAAAAAGAGAGAGGTATTGGCACAAATAGTCTGACTCATTAATTAGGAATAGTCTATGTAGGTATAACCTTGGATATAAGTAGTTAATAGTCCATCCAAAGGTGGGATAAGGTCACCAGAACATAAGGGGTGTCTGCAGCTTTAGGGCAAGCCACTAGTTGGAGTGGAAGCGATCTCCAGATAGTGCATGAAAAACAAAAGAAGTACAGAAGCACCTCTAAGTGCAAACTGTAGATAATTTAATTCCAAAAAAATATCACTTAGCAACTCACATGTTTAAAATGAAAAGCTGACACTTAGATAATCTGTCGCTAGCGAGACAGGGAAGATCTCTTATGCCTTACATGTCCTCTGCCATTCAGTCTGCCACTCGTCTCACTTCAGGAGCTGGCTGAGTATGGAGGAGAATCAGGAAAGAGGGCTGGAACGTATGTGGGACACGGCATAGGGCATGATGACATCACCAAGCTTATCACAACACGTTTCTGAGCATGCACACTGAGAATGACTTGTCAAACAGTGAATACAGAACTATGGTGTCCCTTATATTGGGCGTTGTTTAGTGGTGGAAAGGGGAAATGCATCATGGGTTAGAGAGTTAGGAGGGAAAAAGAACCAATTGATAGGATTGTCCCCTACTTTTGTTTTCAGGACATCCTTCCCTGCTGTATGACAGATGAGGGAGGGACAAAGTTGAATTACTCCTGGATATTGCTTAGACTGGAAGACAGAGCATAGTCTGATTTCAGATACAGAGCAGAGAGGAGACAGAGATTGATATGAAGGGTGCTCTCACATTCAGCTCAACTGAGTTTGGTTTTCTCCTCTTCCCACTCCCCCACTGGTCTACACTCACACTGGACAATAAGGAAGTTTTCCTGAGCACACGTACATATGTTCTTGGGTGTACTTATGACATTCAGACCACAGTGATCCCTGCTTCTGTGTATAGTCATCTATGGGAAGTTCTGTGCTCTAGCATGAATTTTCACTCACTCCAAGGGCCAGTTCATGCCATAAAAGATGCAACTGAGCGCATTGGTTGTTGCATGTTCCTGCGTGTTTTGGCATGGGGTGTTTTTGACAACCTATTAATTTCAATCGGCTGCCAAATATGCAGGAAAAACACAAAAAGTAGAGCAGGCATAATTTTTTAAATTGTGGTACCATGCATTTTGGTAGCGTTGAATGCACCCACGTATGTTAGATGTGTGGGGGTGCCATTAGGAATTAATGGCATTCCCCCCCTTTCACACTGCATTTCGTGTTTTATGCACTGCAAGTGGTGCAGACCAGCCCTGAAGCAAACTGTATTGGACTACAAGTGATGTGCGCCCAAGACCACCTCTTCCAAGTGGTCCCAGGCACAACATGCTTAACCAGTCCCAGGTGTGGTTTCGGAGCACTTACACTACAAAAATGAACCGACTCAAAGTGGTGAACTGTGCCTGGGACCAGTTTAAAGTGTCAGTTTGAGTGCACCCTAAGATTAGTGCCAACCTCAAAAAAATGTTACCAATAACATGATTTAGAATGGATTCAGGATTGAATATCATTCACTATTTGTTTACCATTTATTTCATTAAGAAATTGTCAATTCTGGTAATTATAATACATTACAATATCACATATGTTTTTGTGCAAGTTTAAAAATGAATCTCAGATATGATTTTTTTCAAATCATAAATGTGAAATTAGCCCTGAAATACCCGTTTTGGGTGAAGTACTGTTCTGGGTTAACACAGCAGCTGGTCTTGTGATCATATGCCTAGGCATTGGTTAGGAGAAGGTGCTTATAGGACTGATCTATAGGTACAGCTGGCCAATCAGCATCTTTGCCTAAATGCTAAGTTTCTGCTTTAGCATAGACTACATGAATAAAGCCCAAGCAATAAGTCATGTGAACAGCTCTTCTGCGACTGGCATTTTATTAGACAGATACTTTATTGCTTCTTTAAACATCTGGATTTAATGTGTCAGGAAGAGCATTAGAATTATTGTGCTTTAAATTAGGCATGTTTGGATAGATTTTTGTCTTTTTTCAGCCAGACTAACTATGTAACTATGTTTAAAAATCTCTGTAACCAGCGCTGCAGACTAGTTTGATTTCTGTCAGATAGCGGCTATTATTGGTCAACATGTTTGGGTGCATTTCTGTCAAAAAAACAAAAAAAAAAAATTGACTTCTCATTACGGTCTCCTCTTACCTCATAGCCCAGTAAAACACCATTATTAGGTGACACAGAGTTCCATTCCATCTCAATATCCGATGATGATATTGCCATAGCTTTGACTTTAGAAGGGGAAATATTTGGCTCTAAGGAACAATAAATAAAATAATTATTTTCACAGAAAACATAATAGGCCAATTTTCAGAAAATATATTAAACACATTTAGTGCTTGAAATTGAAAATTGTGATACACCAAAAGTGTAGGTACAGTCTAACTTATTTGCACCTTTTTGTCTATTAAATGTTCAGATGAAAGCATTTTGTTACTAAGTGATGGCTAATGCCGAAAAAATGGCAGTTGATCTTGCCAGAATTTCAGAACTGTACTGCAGTCTGTGCACACTTTATTTATTTATTTCAAGTACTTATATAGCGCAATCAATTTACCCAAATTAACCCTTTGAATTTTTATCTTGGACTACTACAATTAGTTCCTATGTTGTTGAGACGAGGATAGTTGGAAGGATTAGGTGGTTTAGTAAAACACAACTGGGCAGGGCTGACACCATTCAGTCTGGAAAAAATGCAGCGAGTGATGAACCAGAGATTCAAAGCTATGCTGTGTGTTGTCAGCCCACAACAAGAAGTTATGAGCCGAGTGCATTTTTGTGGAAGATTGACAGATATTTTTCTGTACTTGCAGGGTGTTTAAAAGGTTAAAACATAGGGAAATGTGCACATACTACAGAGATATACTACATATTGCATATTTGTTTTGCATTGTCATGACTAAGGCCTCGTTCACACCTATGCGTGCTGCAATCTGCTGCGGGAAAAACATATAGATGAATGTGTCCCATAAGAAACCATGTTAAATGGATTGTAGTGTGTTTCTGCAAAATGAAAAAAGCACTAAAAAATGCATAGGTGTGAACCAGGCCTTACACATTAATGCTTTAAAAATAAAAAAATGATGGCTAGTGTAAAATTTAACCGAAAATAAAATTGTCACTTTAAAGAAAGTTCCTTCTCCAGCTTCCATCTTTGGAAAAATGAAAATTTATGACAAATCTTTTTTATTAGATCAACATAAATTGAGTTTGCTGTTTTTTCACTTTAGTAAAGATATGATGAAAATTGCCTAGACAAAACTGTAAGGAGAGATACTGCTCAAAAATGGCCACCACGTGCCCAGAAGCTATGGTTGGCATCTTTATATCTTTATGGCCAGATACAAGTGCCATTCATTCTCCCAACCGTAAGTACCCATTCATTAATTTACAAACATGACACACAATAACCTACACAACATATGGAAAATATTATCTCATAATACACTGTCAAGTTAAAAGATGTCAGGACTTCCAACTTCATATCTGGGGAGCATATACTTTAATATCACAAGAGACCCACTTTCTTACTAATTGTGATCTTAAAATTATATATTCCAATATTCCAAGTCTAGCTTGTGGCTTCTTGTATAGATTAACCACTTGCGCTCCTGAGGATTTACCTTCCCTTCCTGACCAGGCTATTTTTTGCATTACGGCGCTGCGTACTTTAACTGACAATTGCGTGGTTATGCAATGCTGCACCCAAATTAAATTTGCGTCCTTTTTTCCCCACAAACTGAGCTTTCTTTCGGTGGTATTTGATCACTTGTGCATTTTTATTTTTTGCGCTATAAATAAAAGACCGACAATTTTGAGAAAAAAGCAATATTTTTGACTGATATTAGACATCTCCAGTAAAAAAATTAAAAAAATCTAAGTTTGTCATAAATTTAGGCCAAAGTGTATTCTGCTACATGTCTTTGCTAAAAAAAAATCCCAATACGTGTACATTAATTGGTTAATGTGAAAGGTATAGCGTTTACAAATAGCAGTATATATACTGGGGGATTTTTTCTAGTAATGGTGGCGATCAGCGACTTATAGCAGGAATGCGGCGGACATTCTGACACTGGGGGGAAACTGACTTGGTGTCACTGACATCCCCAGTGACACCAATACAGTGATCAGTACTAAAACAAAGCACTGACACTGGACTAATGACACTGGGCAGGAAGGGGTTAATATGAGATGGCAATCAAAAGGTTAACTGTGTGCAGGGAGTGTTTTTACCTGGGGGTGGTGTCTGTGTGCTTCACTGTAAGCACACTGCGTTGGATGTCTGTGCTGTGCACAGCCATCCAAAGCAGTGTGCCTGAGTTGACAGGGAGGAGAACTGTTAGTAAACAAAACAGTTCTTTTCCCTGTTGGAGATCCTCAGTAATCACCAGGCGCCAGTGAGTAATTACCAGCCGGGACCCGGTGATTGACAGCCACGAAAGGTGGTGTGGTTAGGGCAACCCCCTACCCGGAAATGCGAAATCACGTATATATACACCGGTAGCAGTATTTCTGCTATAGGGCGGTCGGGATGCGGTTAAAATAAATCTTACACTCCCTCGAAAAATTAGGGTTCCATAGGGCAGATACAGTATACTGTACATATTAGTATGTTTTAAAAGGAATCCTATACTAGTTACATTTATTTCCTATTTTTCTCCAAATTCTATTCAAACTTCCTTTTTTTCAATTTTATATCAGTGGGCTAATTTACTGAAAGAGATGAGAATCTTCACACAATTATTCAGTCACGTGCACATTAAAAATGTATACAGAAATTTGCCTTTCGCATGATTGAATAAGTAAAGTGAATATTCACACATATCTGCATATTGAAGTGTTACCTTTTGGATGGTATTGTAAAAGCTCTAGAGCTAATATCACACAGATCTAATTCCCACACGTTCTAATTGAGTAACTCAAATAGAAATTAAAATAGGCTGGCTATCAATTCTAAAACACTGTTGAGATGGTATTTGGTTCCTACTCGGATTGCAAGGATGCATCTGCCTCTGCGCTGTGTTTTAGGCGTTGTGACCAGGTGGGGTCTATGTATCATATTTGGTGGCATGTGTCCACCAATTAGATCTTGGATTCGCATGTTTAACTTGGTAAATTCAGTGACGGGAGTAAATATACGCAGATCCCCGAAGACAGCACTCTTTCATAAATTCCCTGATAATGTTCCCAAGAAATCCCAGTAGCTGATCTCTTACATGTTTCTGGCAGCAAGAATCACCATTGGAAGCAATCGGCTATTTCACTTGATTATGTTAAGAAGAAACTAAATTGGATTATGGTTATTGACAAGCTCACTTGTATCCTGCATAATACTTCGAAGAAATTTGATAGCGTATGGAACCCGTGGATTCAATACATCTCTGTGCCTTAATATCTCTCATCTACTCTTTTCTCCGCTTTCTCTTTTTCTTTCCTTTGCAAGGAGAAATACACTTACTCTCGTTTTGGTTGTACTAAATGTTTTGCCTTGAACCGTCAGTTAGTTATTATTATTATTATTATACAGGATTTATATAGCGCCAACAGTTTGCTGAGCACTTTACAATATAACGGGAGACAATACAGCAACAATACTGGTCAATACAAGAGGGTTAGGAGGAGCTCACAATCTAGCTACAATCCTAGGAGCTCACAATCTAGCTACAATCTAGTTACGGTACACCTTGTTGTTCTCAGTGTCTTCTATTTGTATGTAAGATGGTACATTATTTGCTTGTATTACTTGCTGTTGTTGTGAAAACAAAAAAAAACATTGGAAACCAAAATAGGCTGGCTACATTATCATATCATCATGATTTTATCAACAGAGAGGAAATCACAATCCACAATAGTATCCATAATATTCACACGTTCATACTATAAACCCCAGAATACATCATACAGTATGTGTACCTCATTCACTGAAAAAATAAATTTGATTCAAATTTGTATGCTTGGATCTCCCCCTAGTACAACAATTTAAAGATTAGAGGAAAGGAAGTCTGACCGGCTGCACTCCAAACAATATACTCTATTGAACCAAGATAAAACCAATACAAACAGTGGAAACACCGGTGGGAACTGGCAGGTAAACGTGTTTCCTGCTAAAGACCGTGCTTATTACCTGACTTTAGCGTGAAACGTGTTTACCTGCCAGATCCCCCCTGTATTTCCACTGTTTGGTTTTATCTTGGTTCAATAAAGTGGATTGTTTGGAGTGCAGCCGATCGGACGTCCTTTGTTCTCATCTATGCAGCACACGAGCTGGGCTAGCACCTACAGGAGGATTTGTGCTTGGAGATTGGGAGTTTCTCTACCCTGAGCAGCGGTAAATATATACCACAATTTTAAGGTGAAGCAGCAGAGGAAATGGTATTACCTGTTAAATTACAATATGCCTTGGAGCAATTAAAACATTATTTGAATTGAATAACTCAGAAGATACAATAAAGGTAATTATTTGGGCAGCAAATATAGTATTCATTCAGTCTGCAATTACGGTGAACAGGATCTTTGAAAATTTAATTAAAGCTTAACTCAATTTTAACGGAAGTGGTGCCTCAGCAGGTTTTTTAAAAAGAAAAAGGCAGTTCTGGCTGCAATACTCAGCTCTTCTCTGGTGCTGATCCTTGCAGACTCCTTTGCTCTGCAGCACAGTCCACTTTCAGGCATCATTCAGCCTAGTTCATGTAAGTGTATTGTGTCACCATGGCGTCCTGCATTCACATACAAAGTTTAAAATGCCCACTGTCAGCCTCTTGGGTGAGAATTGTTTTAGTTAATTGTTCAAGAGTGTGTAAATGGCTCCAATAGGTATGTGATTTTTTTTTTTAATGTGCTTTACACCTGTTCGGGAAACCTTTGACAGTCATACTACATACAGTATGTTGATGTCATTCAGATGTCTAAGGTTATTATTATGCTGTGGAATAACTGTGGTCTAAATTCAAAATATAAAAGGGCACATATTTTATGTTTCCTAAAGCCCATAATCTACATATCCTCTGTTTCCAAGTGACAGATCTTCTTTTCACTCCATATATTCTAATCATGTGTAGGATATTTGATTCATAAATAACGTCCTATTAAATGCCTTTTTATGGCTTGCCAGGGTTAATATTTTCTCTTTCATTGCCTTATTCACAATACTTCTATACTGCTGGTGGCAATTTATATACCACTGCCCGTAAAAACAAAATATTGACGCTTTGTGCCTTTGAGAAGGCCAATTGGGCAATATGCATCAGGTGGGTGGCGACACCATCTTGCTTAGGTCTTTTTGTATAGTGAAAAAAGCGCTTTTATTTTTTCTGCCACGTGAGTACATTTTTACATGTTTTTAAATATATTAGTGGTTTGCGGTGTGCACCATCTTGCCTTCTCTTTTCTATGACATCTCTATTGGAGAGACAAATGAACAGTATGAAGAGTGGCCCTGGATGTAAGCTGTGATACATCTTTATACTTAAAAGCGAGTTTGTCCTCCTGTTAGTGGGGTCCAAAAAGCCAGGTGAGAGGACACCCAGAGAGGAGCTTTGGTGGTGGGCCCATTGGTGCTGTTTTGGTGTGGGGATAAAGTGTGAATTTCTTATGCACATGGGAGAAATTGTTTACATTTTCTGAAAACTGTTGTCACATTTGCACGTTTTTTCCTTTGGCTATATATTTAAACAACTATATCTGCTATGTTATACCAATTCACACTTTTGATTGTGAAAAATGGAAATAATATAACAGTAGAGCCTGCCCTGAAAAATGTTAGAAACTCTGGCAATCATGGATAGATAAGATACAAGATGCCACTTGGCATCCTGTCTCTCACTCAACTGGATGTACCTGAATAAACTGTTTATGAAAGGCACTATATTGATGCACCCTTTACCACATGACTTCTTGGCAATTTGTTGGCGACTTGATGCGACCTGAGTATGACTGTGATGTGACTTGATGTGCAACTTTCATGCCATGCAACTTTGCCTGGGTAATCTTCCTGTAATGTCAGATTCAAATCACATCAATATAGATGAGGATCCGACTTGGAAATGACTTCCATTAAAGTCTATGGGCACAAGTTGGATAGAAGTCACCTTGAAGTAGTACAGGAACCTGTTCTATAGTCGGAGCGACTTCAATACAGCTAATTAAGACAGCTCTCATTGACTAACATAGGAATTTAGATGTCATGCGACTTGGGGTCTCACAAGTCAGATCCTAAGTTGCAGCAATGTGAACCAAGTCTTAGGGAATCTTACTGAAATTTCCCGTCTTCCAACCCCTCCTTTATGTATACTGATGGGTAGTGGAGGAAAGTAATGAGTGAGCGAAAGAGTGAATGTTTTATTTGTATTATGTTCCCCTTTGTACATGACAATGCAAAGAAAAAAACGCCTTTGTAAAAAAATAAAAGGACTATTGTATTGAATATGTGTGCACCTTTTGCAAATGACTTACTGATATTTATATTCTCCTCAATAGCAATACTTCCAAGTCTGTTTAAAAACACTAAACACTTTTGGTGACCTCCATTTCTAAGCATAAATTTAAAAGATAGGTTAGTCTCACATCTTAAAACTAAATTTTCCTTTATTGCACTGTGGTTATTAACCTGCCCTTCAAACATCTTAAAACAATACAAAACAAACTACAAACTCCTTTTTTAAAAATAAATGCAGAAAATTGCTAGAATCCTGGACATCATTCACCCTTCCTTGGCTTTCTAGAATAAATTAGGTAAATCCATCGATCGACAGTATAAAAACAGTCCGTTGTGTTTTTTTTGTTCGATCACTGCCAGTGGTCATAGCCGCTAGCAGTGATCATTGTGTTCTTCCAGCAGGGAAAGCTCTCCATTGGCAGAACACAATAAAGCTGTGAGAGGGGCTCCCCCAACATCTCTGAGTGTGCTGATGGGGGAATTGAACAATTTTCTTCCCTACAAGCTCAGCTCAGCATGGACCCAAGAACTGAGTGAACAGCAATGATGTGATTGCTCAGTTCCCAGGCTTAGAGCCAAGAAGGGACAGCTGCAGCATCAGTCCATATAGGTGAGTATACATACGTGTTTTTGTTACTATCCCACACTTCTCCTTGTAACCATCCCCCCCACACACACACACACACAGTTTTACTCTTTTTACTGATGTCCTTTTTAAATTTGAATGACAACCACTAAATTGGTGATATGCATGAAACTTTCCTAGCCAATATTCTACAGATACTTTAAGCTGTCATAGCATAATAATTGATATTGACTACGATATTGACTATTCAACACAAGCATACTGAGAAATGTTAACAGTTATAGATATATAAAAATAAATCCTACCATCCTCTGCTGAATATACAGTGGTCTCTAGACTGTATGGTCCTTCTCCTTTCCGATTAAAAGCTTTGATCATGACATCAAAGGGAGTGTAAGCTGTAATGGTCTCATTCCGGTATACAAACTGATGGGACTGTACCCCAGATACTCTAAATGTCTGCCAGATGTCTTCGGTCTTTCTTTTAAAAGCTATGATATATCCAAAGCCGTCTCCATTCTGATATTGCCTTCCAAGAGGCTGTAACATCATGAAAATATTTATGACATTTTTTTTATATTATATTCCAGCTTTAAACATCAAAGTATACATTTAATGAAAAAAGATTCGGAGAGTTTCTACAGTTATTTTGTCAGCATCTGTTGACAGTATGCAAAACATGCAAGCAAAGGTGTCTCTTAAATAATTCTATGGATCTAAGTAGGTATTTTGAAAAAAAGTTATATATTGGACAGAATATTCATTGCTCAATTAAATGAAGTTTACAGAAGAATATTTGCCCTATTTACTGCTTGTCCTGACATGTTAAAGTTGACTTTGTTCAGATGTTAACTTTCCGATTTGTTATAGAGGGTGGATCAGCATGCTTTAGAGTGCTGACCTCTTCAATATTGTTTGTCTCTGTGATGGCACCTTTGGTTGTGGCACCTAATCTTTCAATAGACCTTCAGAATTATGTGTACAAGATATAGTTACATATGCATTTTGTTTGCTAGAGCCACCCGCCCCTATCACATAATGGCTTATATATGCTACAAATCTCTATAAATGACAAGCAAGGTAGGGATGAGGAAAAAAGTTAGGGAAGGTGCCTTTTCCAGTGTTTTGCATGGAGAAAAAAAACCTCAGAGCTGGGACTTAAATGAGGGCAACTATCCACATGACACCTCAGAAAAGGAACAACCTTCCCCACCACAGGAATTCAAATGTGATGTCCAAGGTGACCAAACAAGCACCTGGTTGCTTGTGCTGGGCTCAGTAGATCCAATGCTATGTGATACTGACACTTTCTTACTGGGATTTGAAAGGACTGGTCATCAGTACTGTTTTCCCAAGGAGCAATGGGCAATGTACTTCTCACCAAATCTGACAGCCATGGCCCTGGAAGCATTTGTGAGCCTTCCAGAAAGTCAAGGTGAAGAATATGAGTCATTAAGCAGGTTGTTACCAAACAGTACAACCTCACGCCAGATATGTACTGCAAACACATCAGGACATTGCTACAAGGTCCTAATGACAGCTACACAGGCTACTACATGCAGTTTGCATGCTACTTTCAAGCAGTGGCTGAAGGGAAAGTCTGTAAGCACCTTTATCACCCTACTGAGCTGATGATTAGGGACCAGTTCCTCCACACATATCCTGATGTCTGGCAATTTTTACTGGACAGAAAGCTCAAAACATCAGATCAATCATCTGTTTAGCTAGCAGAATGTCTAATTGCTTTAAGTATACTGTATCTAGAAAGGAGGAAAAACAGCTTGGCCTTTTTCCCCAGATAGCCAGAGGCCCAAAACACCCAGCCAAATCAGCAGTTGTGGACACCCATGGATGTTTTGTTTGCATCCAATTAGGTCATCTCAGCCTGTCTTGCCCTGAAAAGAAGGCTGTTCTACCCACCAAAGCCATCCAGCATGGCTCCTGATGTTTTTTGTGCTTCCAGAAATGCAGGGGGCTACTCAGATAATCTACAGCTTATCACTGTGGATGAGACAGTTACCCCTGGCCTAAGGGACACTAAGGGAAAGAGATGACCTTAGTGGGCTGTGAGCTGGTTAGCTCTACGGATTATATTCCCAGCGAGAACATGGCCATCAAAAACAGAGAGGGCATCCACCTGGCAGTACCCAAGACCTATGTTTAAATACAGACTTGAGACCAGGAGAGGAATGGGAGAAGTGGGAGCAACGGACACCATCTCACTAATGTGTCATTGGGTACTGACCTAGAGTGGCTGGTAACTTGGTATAAGCCAAGGTAAACCACCTAAAACCTACATCATGTACTAAGATCTGGCTTCCAGAGCCAAGGCCTTGAGTGTAATCTAACACCCACGATGCATTCTGAAATTAAAGATGTTATGTTTAATGTACTTTTTAATTACATGTGTAATGCAGATGCATGTTATGGTAGTGATCCACAGCACCTGCTGATTCTCCTCACACTGCAAACTGCCCACCATTACAGAGGAACTGCTGGCAGTTAGGTTGGTCCCCTCCTCTGGGCTCTCCTCAACCTCTAATCTCTCTTAGCCCTTTGCCATACCCAGAAATTCAGGGCAAAGCTTCATCCTTACCCTAGTAGACTATGTTACCCGTTACCTAGAGGCAGTACCCCTAAGCTTGATTCAGGCAGACAATGTTACAGACACACTGGTGAGCATCTTTACATAGAACAGTTTTCCTCATGAGATACTCACTGATCACAGTATGTAATTTATGTTTTGCCTGATGCAATGCCCTTGTGAGGACATGCAGGTGGAGCATATCATGGCTAGTTCTTACCAACCACAGATCAATGGGCTCTGTAAACAATTCAATGGCATTTTATAGCAGATGCTCAAGGTGTTCACAGATTCTCACAGAAAGGACTGGGAACACTATATGTTCCACCTGCTCTCTGCCTATCGTGAGGTTTCCCAGGTTTCAAATGGATTTTACCTAGTAGGGTAAATTTATCGCTTGCTCTGGCCTGACCAACTTAGCTGTCTACCACATAGACATGCAGAGCCACAAGCCTATTAGGGATTCAAGTTATAGGGTCTCCCTAGATGTTCAGGCAAACATTAAGAAGCAGCTCAAGACAATTTTGCAACTGGGGGTGACATAGAATCTCAGAGCACATGGGTATCACCTGTATTGCTAGTACCCAAACAGGACCAGAGCACCGGGTTTAGACTTTTAGTCTTTAGGCATATACCTTCTGAAAGTGAATAGGATCATGGTTTTTCATGCCCACCCAATGCAGAGGGTCTATGAATTCTTGGATAAGTTGGCATGTATTATTTAACAACCATGGACCTAAGCCGAAGATACTGGGAGATTGGCCTGGCCACTAAGACTTTGGAAGGATCTGCCTTTACCACACTTTTTTGGGCTTTTTGAATTAAATCTTATGTAATTTGGGATGAAGAATGCAACCTTCCTAAGGGTTATGAATTTTATTTTGGAAACTTTGTATAGAGCAGACGCTTAGCAATTTTTCCATTCTTCTTCAATATTGCAATTTAAATTGAATATTAATAATAAACACACATTGGGAAATGTATTGAAATAACAGTTATAGTTAAAGCTGCCCTTGTCTTTTAATTAGCAAAACCTTTGGTTCCAAAACCCAACAATTTATCACACTGCAACCTCTAAATGCCAGCTGGTGTGTTTCACCTTTTCATTGTGTATATGGTGTGGCATGGTTATTTTATTATTCTTGCAATGCACTGAATGCTTACTCACCGTCCAGTTAATAGTAAGCTCATTCGGCGTACCGCCTCCTCCATTAACGCCTGACGGAGCCACATTAGGAGCTTCAAGAATGATAAAGCGTATTAATCACAATTTCCAATATTTATCAAAGGCAACTTACAATAATACATTCCAGTATAAACATACTGAATTGTTAAAAAGATTATATTTTATGTAATGCCACAGTAAAAACAAGAAAAACAGGGATTAAGTCATAGCAGCAAGATTTCAATGTTTAGTTTTTAAGAGTATTCAGATTAATGGAATTTAATTTTTGATTGCTTTACAATAGATACGTCTTGGGATAATCATATAATGGAAACACCCTGGTCTCCTGCTCCACAGTGTATCATACTGTGCTATAAAAATGTTGTTGTGCAGAATCCAAATTTCCTTAGTAAAACTATGCTTGCAGCCTGTTCAGAAGATGACTATTCCTTTGGACAGACTATACCTTTCTACCATGACCTTTCATTGGTACTGTTGTTCTGATTAACAGTGGTGATTGACTGTCAGAAGCTGACATTTCACCATGTCATTTGGTCTTTACTGTACAGTGAAAAACATGCAGATTAGCTTTCAATCACATTGAGAGATAAGCATTACTTTGCTAAGGCAGAGTTGATGTTATTTGTTCTTAATAGTGCAATTTGGAGTACAGTTAGAAAGATGATGGTTCTGTAGAGTGAATGTATGACACCTATCTGCACTGGACTACAGTGCCTAATTTAAAATGAGATAAATGGCTAGGTGCTCATTATCACCAAACACAACCATGTGTTAAAATGACTAGCATTGAGAGCATGTGCCATAATTTGATAAAGCTCTAATTTTCCAAATGTAAAAAAAATCATGAACTAGAATTCCTAATTCAATTTATCTTGCATATAATGGGAGACCAGGTTGAGTATTAATGTTGAGTAATAAAAGGACCGTTGCTCCTTCACAGTGCTGCTAAACAAACTACTGTCATCTGAATGGTATGGGGGGCCAAGACCTGTGGGGAGTTTTTTGCTAATGAAAATGAAAAATTTCTGTACAGAGGAAGAGGCCTTTTTATACAGTTTCAAGAGCAACATGGGAAAAATACACAGTTCAAGATTTGGGGATGCCCTACTGAGAGTCCACAGTAAGGCTCCATGCAAACTGGATTAAAAATTGCTGCTTCTATAGGAGGTTTGAGTTTTGCCCGTAGAAGCAGCTCAGTGTTATCCTATGTGTCCATACACAATAGGATGATTAGAGGCATATTTTAGACTCAACATTTAGAGGCAGGAAAACAACCCCTTCTGCTTTGCGTTTTTTGATTGAAGCTTTCTGGCAGAAAAAAAGCTACACCCTCCTAAACTCACCTAAATTGTGTACAAAAATGCGCTATATCAGAGTTTTTTTCTGCCAAGGGAACTAGTGGTTTTATTAAGCCCAGTGTGCATGGTGCCTAAGGATAAGAAGTGAAGGAACAGGAAACAGTTTGAAGCTGGATTACATCTGATCCTCAAATATACAGAGACAATATTAGACAGATCATCCTGGCTTTTGAGAGCGATGGTTATTATCATTATTGACATCTCTTTATGTGAGGGGAACAGATTCAATCTAGCTGCGAAGGGAGGATTCATATAGGAATTGCACATTGTTTATGTTCTGTGTATGGTTCTAGTGCGCTGGTAAGATAAATTTATTACTAGTACATTATCACTTACCTTAAAAACCTCAAAAGGCCAAAAGCGATCATTTTATTTACACAGTGAGGTTAGCTAGACAACAGGGGAAGAATGTAAAAGCAAAAGACAACTAGCCTATAGGTACAAGAAGTATAATTGTGGCCCTGCTTATATGTAGACAGTCTTTAATCCTCACTGCTACAATTTTCCATTGCAAAAACCTGCCTGTAAGTATTCATATTGTTGTAACCAACAAAGGAATTTTTTTTTTTTGCTGAAGTTAGACTTTAAATCTGCACGCCATTGCCTGGTAGCAGTATGCATACCCCAAGATTAAAATACATTGCATTTCTAGTTGGCAAATTCAACCTCTCTGTATCTAGCAGATATACTAACTCTTGACACATTCATAGACAATGGTTTATTCAGTAATTATTAAAGAATATTTTTTGATAATAATGGAACTTTACTCATTTTTTAGGAATGTAATCCTCAAGTAACTATGACCTCAAACTTGATGAATTCTGATCTACACTGGTGTCCAGCTACTAAACACCCCACTATATTTAACATCTTATTCTAATGACAACAATTGACCATGCACAGTAGTGTGGCATTGCACAAAGTAAAGCCTTTTTTAAGTCAATAACTTACCAGCCTCTTTGGTTCTCACTAAAGAAGAAGGAGCACTTGGCTCCCCTACTCCTAAAATATTGCTGGCCACTACCCGGAAAAGGTAGTCAGTCCATGGTGTAAGGCCAACCACAAGAGCTGATTCTGCATTACCCTCTACAGTGGGTGGATCTGTTACAATGACAGGAGGATTAAAAAAAAGTATTATTGGTGCTCACATTAAATATTATACAGAAATGGCAAGTAATATTATGAAAAATAATCCATAATTGTAATATTTTAACTTTACTAAAAATTGTCTACACTATGGTTTATGTATTTCAACTGTAGTACACTTCTGGTGTTGCCAGACACATGATCTCATATGCAGTGATTTTTTAAATGTAAATTTACTTTACCCATCTTTAGAATGAAAGCTCTATATCACCTCTGCTTCAAAAAAAAGATTTCTCTATCATCTCACAAAAAGAGCAGCAATTTTTTACAGAAAATGCAGAATGCCATGCAGCGACATGGGTAAATATCGCTGTGTATCCTACTCAAAAACAATGGGGGAGAGGGACACACTGCTGAATCATACGTTTTTGTCATAGGTGCCTGCAGATACCTGCAGCAGCCTCCCAAATCTTGTTGTCATGGCTAAATGCCAAGCAAAGCTCCAACATGTCTGATGAGGGTCAGACCTTGTGCTAAGTCCCATCCTAATGGTGATCAGTCCCACTGGCCAAGCACAATGTGTAGGAAGTAGGAATGGGCAGGAGGACAGTTACCCTGTTCCCACCAGTGACAGAGTCTTTTAAAATATTTTATTTTTTATTTGTTTCAGATAACGTGCCATGGCAAGCGTCAATATAAAGATTATCCTATAGTTGAACATAATGCTGGGTCATTAGAAGTTATATATAAAATGCATAATTATGGCATAAACGATTGTGATAACATATGAAAAGATACGATTTACTCAAAATAACCTGAACTGTGTAATGGTTCTGGCAAGTTTAATAGATTGTTTTAAAAAAGAGCTTTATGCAATTGCAAATGTACAAAATATAATTGGATATTAATATTTAGAGGTAATAACGACAGTGGTTGTTGATCCAGGGAACATCCAATTGCTTCATGAGGGATCAGGAAGGATTTTTTCCCCCACTGGGGTGAATGGTATCATGCTTTACTTTTTTGCATTCCTCTGGATTAACTTTGGGTACAGGATTGTGTATATGGAGGTTTACTAATTGTGTTTTTTATTAGTTGAACTAGATGGGCTATATCTTTTTTCAAGCTGACTAACTATATAACAATGTAATTAATTTTACATTAGTTGATTTCGTTTTCTCATTAAATGCAGAACAAGTGTTATTTTGGCTTCCAATATGTCTTTCATGCCATGATATTTAAACTCACTTTTGGAAAAAATGCTCGTCCGAGTAGTAGTGCATGATTTTGCAGAAGAAACCACTGTGAGCAGTAGGGGAAACAAAATATTGTCATTTCTGGAAGTGTCAGTCTCTGAAAATATTCTGGGGACTGATTTCTCATCACTGAGAACAATGGCAGTATGAAAGGTATGTATCCACTTCCATTTTGCAGTTAAAGCATTTGTTGAGCATTTATTTTATTGGATCTACTTTTTTTAAGTAGAATCACAATGTCAATCACGATGCCTGCTGCCGCCACCGCCGCCGACCTGAAGGTACGAAAAAAAAAACCCCAAAGGCTCTGCTCCCGACGATGGCTCCCGGTCATCTGACTGCTCCGCTGGCTTGACAGTTCTTAAATATGTAAGGGGTGGGGCCACCCAGTGACGTCCCCGTGTCACCCCCATATGACATCATCAACCGGGGCATGCTGGGTCAAATATGTCACAAGGAGGCGGGGGCACATATATGATGGTCCACCCCTTACATATTTAAGAACTGTCAAGCAAGCGGAGAAGTCAGGCGGTGGGATCCATCTTTGGGAGCGGAGCCTTTGTTTTTTTCTTTTGTCAGGCGGTGGCGGCGGCCAGCATTATTGACGTTGGATCTAATTCGGGGGACATTCTTTTATTTTCCTTCTTTTAATAAAGGACCTGTCAAAGACTGTCTCCTTTCTTTTTTCACACTACACTTTATTTCTTTGTGAATGAATAGCAGTACCATATACCCCATACTCATTCACATGAGGGGGAGTGGGATCTGGGGGCCCCCCTGCTAAATGGGGGCTTCCAGATCTGACAAGCCCCCCATCACAGACCCCCACAACCACAGCCCAGGGTTGTGGGAAAGAGCCCCCCTCCAAAGCACCCCTCCATGTTGTTCAGCGGGAGGGGAGTTTGCTGCTCACCCCCCCTTTCCGGACCTGCCAGGCTGCATGCTTGGATAAGGGTCTGGTATGGATTTTGAGGGAGACCCCACGCCCTTTTTAAAAAATTTTGGCATGGGGGTTCCCCTCAAAATCCAAACCAGATCCACAGGGCTTGGTATGAATGGCCATTTTTAAAAATTTTTTTTTTTACATACAGCTGTCAATGGGGAGCCCCGCTGACAGCTGATGACTAAAAACGGATGACAAAATGGATGTAAATAAATGTAAAAACGAATGTAAACTCACCATTTGTTCTTTGAAAAAACGTGACTGAACTGATGAAAAAAAACAGAATACCCATGTGAAAAGGACCCTAACTCAATTTACAATTAGCCACACCCACTTTCATGGCTCTATGGTTTGCCTGCTGCTACTTGACCACCCTGGTAGACTCCTCCTTGGGTTGATATATATATATGCAAATAGATAAATTTAGTGTGCATCTCAGCTTCCCCAATATACATTTACATTAACAATTAAGCAAATAACACGGACCTGTTTTTGCAGGCTTCCAAATTTCTATCTCAGGCTCCATCGCCTGTACCATATAGCGACTAATAGGGTTGTGATTATCAAACCCTCGACTCCAGGTCAGCTGAACGCTTGTTTCCTTCACATCCTTGACAACCACACCTCCTGGTGGTCCAGGGGGGCCTGCATGAAACATACAAATATGGGTCTCTGACATTTACTGCTAGAAAGCATAACCTAAACAAATTATTTTTACTTTTACTCCTAGTAATGCAATATAATGCATACAAGCCTTCTAATATCTGGTTATAAAAAACTGCAAAGACATTAGCTCATAAAACAAATTATATATATACTGCAAATATCCATTTGTTTTTATACAACAGAAGTGTCACTTAGTAGGGAATGTATTTTTTAAGACATTGTGACTTCTCGTTTAATAGATTTTTTTTTTTAATTTTAAGTTTATGAATGTTAACAAATACTATGAATTTAGGTGAGCAGATGCAAGCTGTTAAAAGCTAATGATATGGTCATCATTCTGTAATATTCATTATGTTGTTACCTCGTACAAGAAGAGAACCTGAGGCAGATGTGCGATCCACTACGGTCTGTGCTGTACATGTGTATTTTCCAGCATGCCTTAATTTGGCATTGACAATATTAAGATCCCCGATAGATTCATCCTTCAGAGACAGCATACTGTTAGACGTCACATTTTAAAAATCTCATTGTAACTAAACTGCAACATGTTGCGCTGTGCTAAATAGCAGTCTGCCCTATTTTTCGTGTATTTACATCTGTTGCTGTGTGTTAGTGCATTCATTTTCACTGGGCTGTTTAATGCACCATAAAGCATGCCACAGCATGACAATGTATGCACTGCAGTGCACAGTGTAATCTGCCAAGCCATTTGGTTTGAGATACAGGTATGTAAACTAGTAAGAGTAAAAAAGAGTAACAGTATAAACCACATACACAATTTAGAGGAATTCAGTAATGCAGTAATGTCACATTTTTGGTGGTATGGCTCCTTTAACATGGCCTACGCCTAATTCAAGAAAACTTTGTGCCCTTGTCGGTACAGGTACCAGCACATGCTCCAGATTCAGAAAGTATTTGCTACCAAGGCTTATAGAAACTGTCATTATGGCTGCAACAGATCCTAAAAGAATTACTGCCAGTTCACTAATAAGCAAATTGGTGGTAATTAATGTCAACTCAAAGCTGACCTATGGGGGAGAAGGGTTTATTCAGTACTTTATTCATGTTTTGTTTTTGCTTTAAATTTGCAATATTGGTTGCCCATGTCCTAGCAATCAATGAAGCAAGTCACACTGAAATGACAGTGGGTAGAGCCTGATGGGGAACTCTAAATCCCCACGAGGTCTGCTTTGCCAGGGGATGGCACTATACGGATTCCATGGACGCTATTCAGTTCATTAATGGCTTTAGAATCTGCACACTGCCATCAATCACAGGGAAGGCGGACCTGATGGGGAACTAGCCTTAAAGCATCAGATCTGCTTTTCCTGTCATTGTCATTGCATGGCAGTGGGTAGATTCTAAAAACAATACTGGACAGAATTGCAGCTATGGATCTGCCCACTCAATTTGCTGTCAATTAAAAATAAAGTAAGTTGATTCCATATCAGGCTCTGCCCACCTCTGCTTTGAAACTTCTTAACCATGCACCTCTCAGTGGGAGGGTGGAATTGAGCACACTGAGGAAGGCGTGTCCAGTGTGGCATTGACAGGTTCATATACTGTACCTGTCTTTGACAAGTACATGAATCGAACACAAGTACCGTCATATTTATAGTCTTTGCATAAAAAAACAGCTTGTTGAATCTTTGCTGTGGATGTGAAAACACACCTTCCCTTAAATGGTAATACATATTTAATATGTGCCCAAAACACCCCCACATCTCACACAGACATCTGAATATGTGGATGGCATACCTTCTTCAGATTCAATTACTAGCTGTATAGCTGTCATGTTATAAATGACGTTTTGGGTAGCAGGGTAGTATGGCACTTCCTTTTTGAAGTTATTCTTCTTATATTCAATTATTCATCTCCTCCCTACACTTGCTAAGTGGTCTACTTATGACAGAAAGTTGCTGTATGCATGTGTCAAGCATTAGCTCAGCCATCATAAATAATCCACATAATGGGTGTTATTTAGTTACATTCTATGATCATCAGCTCATGTAGTGGCCAAAATGCCATATTTTCATCAAATACCTCAATCAGAAAAAGACTACATTTTATCTACAAGATGGAGTTGATAATTATAGAAAGTAAACACATTACACAAATTACAAGGACTATTTGAGAGGGATGTGCAAATGCTTGAGGCATTCACACAGAAATCTTTTTCTAAATAGATCTCTAAGTGTTCCTCCTAGCAGTACTGGAACCAGGTTTTCTAGCACCTATAGTGAAGCACAAACTAAAATTACCCTACAGTGTCTGCTGATCCAGGAGTCAGTGGGGACATATTGCAAAGCCTAATTACTGCTGGGAAACAATATATCCATGTAGTATTTATATACTACATGAATGGCTACCTGAAGTCACTATTTTCAATTAGGGATTTGCTTATACAGTGGCAGAAATGACTGTGAGATGGCCCTGGAATTGCCACCTTCATTAAATCCAAGAGCAGTATGGCGTTTCAGGGAGTTTAGCCTGGAGGATGTAATCTATGGCTGTCTTTCAGTGTGAGAGGTTTAGTTTAGCTTAGAGATCTACGGGGAGTTTAATAAAAGACCACATAGATGATTTCTTGCTGGAAAAAAATATTTTAAGCAACAGACAGCATGGATTCATGAAAGACAGAAGTTGTCAAACAAATCTGATTTCTTTTTATGAGGAGGTGAGCAAAACCTTGGACAGAGGGGTGGCGGTGGACGTGGTATACTTGGATTTTGCAAAAGCGTTTGACACAGTTCTCGACACACGGCTAATGTGTAAGGTAAAGTCTACAGGCTTGGAAAAATCCGTATGTAAATGGTTAGAAAACTGGCTAGAAGATCGTATTCAGAGGAGTAGTGGTTAATGATTCATACTCTGAATGGTCTGGGGTTGTCAGTGGTGTACCCCAAGGTTCAGTGTTGGGACCCTTACTTTTTATTATATTTATAAACGATATAGGGTCTGGGATTAAAAATCCCATTTCAGTCTTTGCAGATGACACCAAGCTGTGCAGTGGAATAGCGTCCTTACAGGATGTCTTCAATTTACAAGCCGACCTCAATACTCTGTTTAATTGGGCAACTATGTGGCAAATGAGGTTTAATGTTGATAAATGTAAGGTTCTGCACTTGGGGGCTAAGAATATGCATGCATCATACATACTAGGGGGAGTACAACTGGGGGAATCAATGGTGGAGAAGGATCTGGGGGTTCTAGTAGATCACAAGCTTATTAATGGAATGCAATGCCAAGCTGCGGTTTCTAAAGTGAGCAAAATCCTCTCTTTTATTAAAAGAGGTATAGAGTCCAGAGAGAGATATCATTTTACCCCTGTACAAATCATTAGTAAAACATCATCTGGAATATGCAGTTCAGTTTTGGGCACCAATTCACAAAAAGAACATTGGGGAACTGGAGAAAATGCAGAGAAGGGCAACCAAACTGAAAAGAGGCATGGAGGAGATCAGCTATGAGGAAAGATTAGAGGAACTGAATTTATTCTCTCTTGAGAAGAGGAGATTAAGGGGGGATATGATCAACATGTATAAATACATCAGTGGTTTATATAGTGAACTCGGTGTAGAGAGTTATTCACCCTGAGGTCATCAGGGTGGGGGCACTCTTTACATCTGGTGGAAAAGACATTTAACCACCTCCCACCCACCATATAGTAATATGACAGACGCAAGGTGGTTCTCTTGTTCTGGGATGACGTCATATGACGTCCTCCCATTCTCACCGCGCATGCGCGCATGCACTCAGGGAGCGCGCAGCGCGGTGATCGGCGGTGTGCTGTGTCCCTCGGACGCAGCGGATCACCGATCACGGAAAGAGCCAAAGATGTCGGCTCGGTCTTGTGATCAGCTGTGTTCAATCACAGCTGATCACATGTAAACAGGGAAATGCCGGTTATCGGCATTTCTCTCCTCTCGAGCTGTCACGCTGACAGCTCGAGTGTAAGGGACCGCCTGGCGGTACCACTAGCACTCCACTGAATAGGCGTCCCCAGCGCACGGAATCTAAGTCCCAGGGTGCTTGTTCACCAGGGCCCCTGATGGTGGGGATGGACTTGGAGCCCCCCGAGACCAGGTCGTGGCTACTGGGTGCGTCTGTCAGTGGTAGTGGTATGCGCCAAGGGCTCCCACGGGGAAGAGTCTGATATGAGGAGGTCAGAAGACCCCACTGCAAGGGACGGATGGAAGGATGAGCAAGGTCAGATGGGCCGGGTCTGTAACAGAGAGGACGGCAAGGTACAAGGCAGCGGGCATAGAATGGTCGGGTCACACGCCAGGTCAGCAACAGCAGGTCAAATCCAATAAGGGGTATTCAGGAGAGAGGTCAGGCAAAGCAAGGGTCAGAATAGGAGAAAACAGCAAGGCCAGGTACAATCCGGGTCAAAAACTTACAGGGTACAGGCTCACAGGATACAGGATGCAGGGAAGACCAGAAGGCACTGAATGACAGCTCAGGGCCATTTAAATATCCCGCCCTGCGCTGCCATTGGTGCCCAGCGGGCGACCGCGGCTTCTACTGCGCATGCGCAAACTCGAACGCCGCGGCTGGCCCGGACCTAGTGCCCGTGTCCCTGCACAGGGCGGTGCACTGCGCCTGCACCGGGACCATCGCGGCGGGGATCGAGGAGGAAAAGTCTGGGTGCATGGACATTATGGGCTGGCTCCCAAGAATTGTCCTCAGGGCCATAGCCCTTCCATTTGATAAGGAATTGGGTCTGGCCTCCCCTCCTTCGACACTTCAGGATTCTTTCTACCTCAAATTCTTCTTCTCCCTCGACCGTTATGGCTTCCGGGGGTCTAGATTCCCGGTCAGGGAAGGCATCTGGGACTACTGGCTTCAGCAGGGACACATGGAAGACTGGGTGGATCTTGAGCGTGTCAGGAAGGACGAGTTCGTAGGCCACTTCATTAACCATCCGTTTAATGCAGAAGGGGCCTATAAATTTGGGTCCCAATTTCTTCGACGGGCAAAGCATCTTTAAATTGGATGTCGCTAGCCAAACCTTCTCCCCAGGCCGCAACACCAGATCTCCCCTCCGTTTTCTGTTGAATGCCTTCCTGTAGTCTTCCTGGGCCCGACTGATGGCCTCTTGAAGCTTCTTACGTTACCACATCTTGCGTTGCTGGTACTGGGCATTCCGAGACAAAATCCGGGAGGAAGACTGGGTGAAAGCCATAGTTGGCAAAGAACGGGGACTGTCCCGTCGCTGAGTGGCGGGCGTTGTTGTACGCAATTTCCGCTAGGGGTAGAAGTGGCATCCAGTCATCTTGAGTAAACGAAGTGTAGCATCTTAAGTATTGCTCTAGGGTCTGATTGGTCCTTTCGGTTTGACCATTAGTTTGAGGGTGGAACGCAGAGGAGAGGGACAATTTGATGTCCAGGGCTTTGCACAGTGCTCTCCAAAATCTTGATGTGAACTGGACCCCCTGGTCCGAGACAATGTCTTCGGGGACCCCATGCAGCCTTACTACCTCACGAATGAAGACTCGCGCAGTCTCTGCCGCCGAGGGGGTTTTCTTCAATGGGATGAAGTGGGCCATCTTGGACAAGCGGTCCACGACCACCAGGATTGCCGTGTGGTCTAGTGATGGCGGAAGCTCGACTATAAAGTCTAACGAGATCTTTTGCCAAGGCCGTTCAGGAATCGGTAAGGGTCGCAGCAGACCCCAAACTTTGTTTCTTGCTGGCTTGTTCTTCTGGCAGGTGATACAGGACCTTACATAGCCCTTACAATCTTTAGCCATGTCCGGCCACCAGAAGGAGCGTCGGAGAAGTTCCAGGGTCTTTTCTGGGCTAAAGTGCCCCGCGATCGGGTGGTCATGGCAATGCCCCAAGACCAGGGTTCGGGCTTCCTCCGGCACCACAATTCGATCTTCCCTCCAGGAGTCCCCCTTGTTCTGGAGCGGGCCCTCCGCCTGGAGTAGAGATGGTTGTGGATGCCTCCATTAGCTTGGAACGAAGGTCCGACTGAAGGGCCAAGAAGTTACCCTAGGACAGGATGATGTCGGGTACTGGGATCTCCTTGGCGTCCTCGTACATACGTGATAACGCATCTGGCTTAGTGTTCTTTGATCCAGGCCGGTACGTAATGTGGAAGTTGAATCTTGAAAAGAATAGTGCCCATCTTGCCTGTCGCGGGCGTAGACGCTTGGCGGTTCTCAGATATTCCAAGTTTTTGTGGTCAGTAAATATTAAGATGGGGTGCACCGCACCTTCCAGCAGGTACCTCCATTCCTCTAATGCCGTTTTGATCGCCAGTAGCTCTCGATCACCGATATCATACTTCTTCTCCGCTGGGGTAAGCTTCCGTGAGAAGAATGCTACAGGATGGAGCAGTTCCTTGGTGCCTTTCCGCTGGGAGAGGATGGAACCTACCGCATTCTTCGATGCATCCACTTCCAAGATATAGGGCAGGGCGGCGTCTGGGTGACCCAAAATGGGCGCCGAGGTGAACAGCTTCTTCAAGGCTTCAAAAGCTTCCTGCGCCTCTAGTGTCCATCTGAACCGGGTTCCCAGCTTGGTTAGCTGAGTAATGGGGGAGACCAGACCCGAGAAGTTCTTGATGAACTTCCGGTAAAAATTTGCAAAACTGATAAATCGTTGGACGCCTTTCCTGTCCGTGGGTTCAGGCCAATCCAGTATTGCAGCGACTTTCTGGGGATCCATCGCGACCCCCGCGGTGGAGATAATCAGGCCCAAGAAGGCAATGCTGGATTGTTCAAAACAACATTTCTCTGCCTTGGCGTACAACCCATGCTGCCGCAATCGCCCCAATACCTTTGCTATATGTATTCTGTGTTCCCCCAAAGAAGGGGAGAAAATCAGAATGTCGTCTAAATAAACGATAACAAAGACATCAAGAAAGTCCCTAAAAATATCATTCACAATGTGTTGAAACAAGGCCGGAGCATTACACAACCCGAACGGCATGACCAAATATTCAAAATGGCCAAAGCGGGTGCGGAAGGCCGTCTTCCACTCGTCCCCCTCCCTTATGCGAATCAAGTTGTACGCCCCCCTCAAATCCAGCTTTGTAAAAACCACTGCTGTTTTTAAACTTTGGAACAACTCCGGGTACTAACAGGAGTGGGTAACGGTTCTTTATCGTGACCCTGTTCAATTCCCTGTAATCGCTACACGGCCTTAAGGTTTTGTCTTTCTTTTCAACAAAGAAAATTCCCGCCCCCGCCGGTGAAGTGGAGGGGCGGATGAACCCCTTCTGGAGGCTGTCCTCGATATATTCCTTTAGGGCCCCCAATTCGAGCTCTGAAAGGGGGAGGATTGACCCAAAAGGAATTTCTGAACCGGGTAACAGGTCAACGGGACAGTCATAAGGGCGGTGGGGGGGTAGAGTATCGGCTCCCCGTTTGCTGAATACATCTAGAAACTCATGGTAGGCTGCAGGGATTACTTGTTTTAATTCAGCTTCCCCCTCAGAGCACAGGAGAATTTGGGGGACCCCCGGGCCCCAAGTGCGGCAGTATACCCGACAGTATGGGGAAGGGAACGAGATTACTCCGGTCTCCCAGTCAATCTGGGGGTTATGGGCCCGTAACCATGGGAGCCCCAGAATGACTGGGAAGAGGGGTGAAGCTATATAGCATCCAGGCGGAGGAGTTCCTGGTGCTGGCCGGCAATGACAGTGGCGATGGAGGGGGTTTCCTGGTTCACTACCCCCGATTTTATTCGGGAACCGTCGGCCAAATAAATATTGAACCCCTTCTGTTTAAATTGGAGAGGAATACCCTGCTGGTGAGCAAAAATAATGTCCAAGAAGCAAATGCTTGCCCCCGAATCAACTATGGCCGATACTTCCACGGTCCTTTCTGGAAGCTGAAAGGAAAGGGGCACCACTAAGTATTGGGATGGACCAACATTGCCAATGGATAAGGAAGAAGATGTGCACTTACTCAGTTTCTGCGGGCAGGATCGTACCATATGACCAGCTTCACCACAGTAGAGGCACAGGTTCTGGGATCGTCTGCGCTGATGTTCCTCTGGAGATAGTTTAGGCTGTGCCAGGCCGAGTTGCATGGGTTCAGGGATATCTCCGGCTGGATGTTTGGCCTAGGTGCTTGACTGGGACCTTGAAATGACCCCCAGGGATTTCCATGACCCTGGCTGGACCTCTCAAACCTGTGTTCCCGCAGTCTATGGTCAATTTTAATGGTCAGTGCTATTAAGTCCTCTAAAGTCTCAGGCACCTCCACCCGGGCGAGCTCATCTTTCAGGCCTATACGGAACTGATGCAGGAGTGCGAACTCGTTCCAGCGTGTGTCCCCCATCCAGCGCCTAAACTCAGATGCGTACTCCTCCGCCGCTCGGCGGCCTTGCCGGAGCGTGTACAGAGTAGCTTCAGCAGAAGCTGCCCGCTGTGGGTCATCATATAGGATGGCCATTGCGTCAAAAAAATTGTCAACCGAACTAAGGTGAGGGTCATTTTTTCCCCGTAATCGGTGGGCCCAGTCTTGGGGTTCACCCTGCAGGAGGGAGATGACGAACCCCACCTTCACGGATTCAGTCACGAAGGTCCGGGGTTGTAACTCAAAGTAGAGAAGACAGGACTCACGGAATGACCTGAAGCGTGTGCGGTCCCCGTGAAAACGTTCCGGTAAGGGTACTCGGGGTTCGGCCGCCGGGAGTGGTGCGGACGCCCCAGAAACCAGCACAGGGGCTGCTACGGCTGGGGGTGCGGGGACCGCGGCCTGTGGGGCAGGAACGGATATAGTGCAGGTCTGGAATTGGGTTTCATTCTGCTGACATCTATCCTGCAGGGCCGATACGGCCTGTGTCAAATTGGACAGGTGCCTGCAGATCTCCTCAAGCGGCGAGGGCCCTCCTCTAGACTCAGTCATGGCCTTCTGGTACTGTAAGGGACCGCCTGGTGGTACCACTAGCACTCCACTGAATAGGCGTCCCCAGCGCACGGAATCTAAGTCCCAGGGTGCTTGTTCACCAGGGCCCCTGATGGTGGGGATGGACTTGGAGCCCCCCGAGACCAGGTCGTGGCTACTGGGTGCGTCTGTCAGTGGTAGTGGTATGCGCCAAGGGCTCCCACGGGGAAGAGTCTGATATGAGGAGGTCAGAAGACCCCACTGCAAGGGACGGATCGATGGATGAGCAAGGTCAGACGGGCCGGGTCGGTAACAGAGAGGACGGTAAGGTACAAGGCAGCGGGCATAGAATGGTCGGGTGACACGCCAGGTCAGCAACAGCAGGTCAAATCCAATAAGGGGCATTCAGGAGAGAGGTCAGGCAAAGCAAGGGTCAGAATAGGAGAAAACAGCAAGGCCAGGTACAATCCGGGTCAAAAACTTACAGGGTACAGGCTCACAGGATACAGGATGCAGGGAAAGACCAGAAGGCAACTGAATGACAGCTCAGGGCCATTTAAATATCCCGCCCTGCGCTGCCATTGGTGCCCAGCGGGCGGCCGCGGCTTCTACTGCGCATGCGCGAACTCGAACGCCGCGGCCGGCCCGGACCTAGTGCCTGTGTTCCTGCACAGGGCGGTGCACTGCGCCTGCGCCGGGACCATCGCGGTGGGGATCGAGGAGATCCCTGACATCGAGAGAGAGGAGAGGAGAGTTGGTAATCGTCTTTCCACGGTGGGGACATGTACACCGATCATCAGGGCACTGATGATCAGTGTGCCCTGATGATCAGTGTAGCCCCAGCAGTGCCACCTGTCAGTGTCCATCAGTGCCTTGTGTCAGTGCTCATCAGTGCCTCTTGCCAGTGCCCATCAGTGCCACATCAATGCCACATATCAGTGCCTATCAGTACACATCAATGCCACATATCAGTGCCCATCTGAGCTGCCTTTCAGTGTCACCCATCAGTGCCAGTCAGTGCCACCTATCAATGTCAATCAGTGCCACCTATCAGTGCCCACCAGTGCCACCTATCAGTGCCAGTCAGTGCCGCCTATCAGTGCCAGTCAGTGCCGCCTATCAGTGCGCATCAGTGCCACCTATCAGTGCCTGCCAGTGCCGCCTATCAGTGCCAGTCAGTGCCGCCTAACAGTGCCAGTCAGTGCCGCCTAACAGTGCCACCTATCAGTGCCATGTATCAGTGCTGCCTTTCAGTGCCCATCAGTGATGCCTGTCAATGCCCATCAGTGCCACCTACCATTGCCTCCTTATCAGTGCCCATCAGTGCCATCTATCAGTGTCCATCAGTGCAGCCTAACAGTGCCCATCACTGCAGCCTCATTAGCGCACATCAGTGAAGGAGAAAAATCACTTATTTACAAAATTTTAGAACAAAAACTAAGAAAAAACGTTTTTTTTTTTTCAAACTTTTCAGTGGTTTTTGGTTTGTTTAAGAAAAAATAAAAACCCATAGTTGATTAAATACCACCAAAATAAAGCTCTGTCACAAAAAAATGATAAAAATTTAATATGGGTACAGTGTTGCATGACCGCACAATTGTCATTCAAAGTGCGACAGCGCTGAAAGCTGGAAATTGGCCTGGGCAGGAAGGGGGTATAAGTGTCCTGTAGGCTTGTGGTTAATCTCCAAATACGGAAAGGTTTCTTCACAGTGAGAGCTGTGAAAATGTTGAATAGTCTCCCTCAAGAGTTGGTTCTGGCCAGCTCAGTGGATTGCTATAAAAAAGGCCTGGATTGTTTCTTAGATACACAGAATATAACTGGATACTAACATTTATAGGTAAAGTTGATCCAGGGAATATCCGATTGCCTCTCGGGGGATCAGGGAGGAATTTTTTTCCCAGCAGGAGCAAATTGGATTGTGCTTTGCTGGTTTTTTTTGCCTTCCTCTGGATCAACTGTGGGTATAGGATTATAACTTTTATTTTCTATGGTTGAACTGGATGGACTCTTGTCTTTTTTCAGCTAGACTAACTATGAAGTTGTTTAGGGATTCAGCCGTTCTAATACCTCGTATATGAACGGTACAAAAGTGTTGTAGTTGCTGGTAACTCCAGGCGTCCACTGAGGATTTTGCTCACTTTAGAAACCGCAGCTTGGCATTGCATGCCATTATTAAGCTTGTGATCTACTAGAACTCCCAGATCCTTCTCCACCATTGATTCCCCCAGTTGTACCCCCCTAGTATGTATGATGCATGCATATTCTTAGACCCAAGTGCATAACCTTACATTTATCGACATTAAACCTCATTTGCCACATAGTTGCCCAATTAAACAGAGTATTGAGGTCGGCTTGTAAGTTGGAGACATCCTGTAAGGATGTTATTCCACTGCATAGCTTGGTGTCATCTGCAAAGACTGAAATGGGATTTTTAATCTCAGACCCTATATTGTTTATAAATACATTAAAAAGTAAGGGTCCCAACACTGATCCTTAGGGTATACCACTGATGACCCCAGACCATTCAGAGTAGGAATCATTAACCACTACTCTCTGAATATGATCTTTTAGCAAGGTTTCTATCCATTTACATACAGATTTTTCCAAGCCTGTAGACTTTAACTTACACATTAGCCGTGCGTGGAGAACTGTGTCAAATGCTTTTGCAAAATCCAAGTATACCATGTCCACCGCCACCCCTCTGTCCAAGGTTTTGCTCACCTCCTCATAAAAAGAGATCAGATTTGTTTGACAACTTCTGTCTTTCATGATTCCATGCTGTCTGTTGCTTAAAATATTTTTTTCCAGCAAGAACTCATCTATGTGGTCTTTTATTAAACTCTCCAGTATCTTCCCAAATATAGAAGTTAAACTAACAGGTCTAAAATTACTTGGTAAAGATTTTGACCCCTTTTTAAATATTGGCACCACATTGACCTTACACCAATCCAGTGGTACTATGCCAGTCATTAAAGAGTCCCTAAAAATTAGAAACAATAACTTTGATTTCGAATCTCTCTGGCATAAACAGCCCATCGACAGAGGTATGTTATCTATTTCTTATAAATTTTTGAATAAATGCCATGCCACCACAGGTCTCAGATTCCTTAAAGAATGGGAAACAGAGTTAGATTGTCCCTTTACAGATTTACAAAAACATAATATGTTAAGACTGGTACATACCTCTACAATATGTACCAAAATACAGGAGACTAATTTTAAAGTCATGTCCAGGTGGTATAGAGTTCCAAAGATGTTGGCTGTTGCATACCCCTCAGTCTCGGATAGGTTCTGGCAAGGCTGCGGGCTACAGGGATCTCATTCCCATATTTGGTGGGAGAGTCCCAAGTTTAGGCCAGTCTGGGCTGAGGTCAGGAATGTAATATTTAAGATTACTACAGTCTCTATCCAGGATGACTCTGTACAGTTTCTTTTTCAAGGCAGGTTCCATCAGGGCCTATACGAATAGTATAGTCCCCCACTTGTTGGATGCAGCTAAGGGGCTTATTCCAGGCTTTTGGAAAAAGTCACAGATGCCTACTATAGAACATTGAGTGAAACAAGTCAATGAAATCATGGAAGCTGATAAATTGGTGTACATTTAAAGAAATAGATCAAGCGTTTTAGGCTAAATGGGAACCCTGGGTCAATCACATAAATAGCACACAGGATTAGAGCTAACCAGTCACTTATCCCGTGAAAGGGGAGCAATTTTAACTTTTGCTTATTACTGTATGTACATAATAATCCTAATTCCATTGTGCTAGACCCTTTGTGTGTGCTTTTTTTGTTTCTTTACAATGTATTAATTGTTATATGTTTTGTGATTTAGGTTAATGAATGTATGGGGATTTGTAACTGTGTGGGGTATCTCCTATTTGTATATTGATTAATGATAAATAAAGATTATATATATTAAAAAAACTAATGAATGCTGTTCTTTTCTTGGGATTTTGATTAAATTCAATTCAACACCTAAAAAACCCCAATCAGCCTTTAGGGCATTGTTAGTTGGTTTATTCAGCAAGGCAGTACATAGAGCAATGACACAATGTGCAGCATCTCACAGTAACCAATGAACTTTTAATTGATCATATCAGGGAAAATATTTTGATTACGATTACCACTTTGGACATTGCCACTTCTCTTTGACTGCTTTATTGAATAGTTAATTGAGAAAATACATAGCGGTGGGAAAATCTGTAGTCTAAAAACAAGTCTATCAAACATAATAATCAAGGTGCAAAGCGTATATTCATTGATATTTTCTTTATTATGTCTCACCGCTGAAGCTCTTTGGTAATGTTCTTGCTCCTTCTCAAAGTTGATGGGCACCCCATCCAGCTCCCATGTAAATGTAAGGTCCATAGTTGGATCATGGGATGCATGGCACTGCAATGTGGCGCTGTCCCCTTGATTAATATCAGATCCAGAGGGAGCTAAAGTGATTCTTGTCGCTTCTGCAACAAAATTATTGTGGATGAACATACAAGTAATTTATTAAAGCATATGTCAAAGTAAAATAAAAAAATAAGCATTATAGCTCTGCATTACATGCACATTCCCTATGTTTTTTTCCTGTAATGACCCTACAATACCATCTGGTATGCTAAAAATGCACTCAGCTCTTAGGTTAGTATTCTGGGCTGATGAAACAAAGCACTTTTGTGGACTAAGGGGTGCTCGCCCTGACCAGTTTTATTTTGCTAAATTAAGTGAACAATTCCATTGTCTTCATTTACAAAGCATTGGCATTAAATTGATTTATAGTCTCAAGATAAAAACTGGGAGGGATAATCAGACTCTTTGAAATGACACAGGAAGTGTACAGAGGTCACAGGGCAGCTCAATTTTTTTTTTTTTACAAGGTCAACAGTTTTCAGCACTTATAAAACATAAATAATAACATTCTTTCAATGGTTTATTTTATGAAGCAAAACTGAGCAAAAAGGAGAAATTACTTATTCGGTTTTACATACACTTTAACTTAAGTACATTCTTAAAAACATGACCCTAAATTCTCCAATAGTATCAAACAAAAATGTATCAGGTACATCAATGGCCCACAGTAGCTACAATCGAAATGCATGAACAATGCATGACCTACAGTATGTATGTGGACTCCATAAATCAATATTCTCTTTCATGGATATTGGTCGAAATTATAGCATGTTTGTGATTATTATACAGTATGACCATTTAAATTAATTACAATATGATGACCTGTCTTATGTATTATACATACAGTATAATAAAGATTTATATAACAGCAGAAAATGTTAAAAAGTATTAAACAATCTTACTGAAATACAACAAACATGATTTTGTCAGTTAATAGCCACTAGCTTTAGCAAGTTATATTTTTTAATCATTTTTAAATGGTGTAATGCCTTTGAAATGTGTTGGCCTTGGACCCTTTGTTTCTTGGGTAATTTTTACAATAAAGCATTGTTGCCCAAATGCCAGGGGCATGAGAAGTGACTTGATGTAATTTCTTTAGCCAAAGGAACAGAGTCACAAGATATTCTGTTTGCAGCAAGATAAAAACTTGTTTATGGAAATTGACCGTGTTTATGACATCTAGTAACCTCACATTAGGAGATAAAAACCTGTTTAAGGACATCTAAGTTAGAAATCCTTAAGTCTGGGGGAAATGAAAAGAGGTTTTGGGGTAGATAAGAAGCAAAAGTGTGACTTCTCAGATAACAAATATGGTGGTTGAACGTGACTCTATTATCCTCGCGGAACCCTTCTGCTAGCTCCTCCTGGGTGTGGCCCGCTATTGGACAGCTTCCAGAAAAAGGGTTTATAAGGCGGTAGTCCGGGCTAGACCAGTAGAAGGTCCCCTAGTGGCCAGAGGACACTCTGATGTTGGGATTTTTGCCAAGGCTATATGGGCTTATTGACTGGTCACGCCTACGGCTTCTCTGTGACCCCCTGGGCAGTTTGGTTCCGATGGGATTTGTTCCTTCCAGCTTCCACATAGCTTCGGTGATGTATTAATTCTATGCTGTGACATTGTCAAATGATGTGTTTATTTCATGCTGTAATGCTCACATTATTATTGGTGTGTCTTATTATGCAGATTGTAATGACTATAAGATATATCCTCCTGCATGTCGTGTGATGATAAAAGTGGAGGTTTTGACAGTGCAAGAATATTGCAGTTGGATTCTGTTATTTCTTGGAATGTCGGGTGAATGCTATGATGTGCCAGGGCAGGTATTCATTTGGTAGATGGTCTTTCACATGCGTAGAACATGTAATGGTTTAAATGCTGATTAAAAGCACCTGCATGGTTACATATTGATTGTGTGCATGTATACGACTTGTTTTTTGTTATTACACCCAGCATTTGTTATTACAAATGGTTATGCATTAATATTATCATGTAGATAATCAAATCTTTTAAACTCTGCTCTTCCATTAGTCCTCTCATGGACTCTGCTGGCAAACTTGATTAACCCACCACTTTGTGGATTTTATTCCTTTGATCTTTTCCTGCTTTTTTTTTCTATTTTCAGATTTAAAAAATAGCAGAAAAACCTGTGGTGTTCCGCTTCCTTACTCTCACCAAGCCAGCACCCCTGTGTATTTCTAGGGGATGAACTACTTTCTTTATTTGGGTAATTTACTTTCTTTTGCTGCCCATTCACATTGTTGTTTTGGGGATAATGGCTGGTAAAACATGCAATGCATCAAGTTACAGCACCCATAACTTGATGCATTGCAGTTCTATTCATTTTGAATGGAACCCAGATACACTAAACCAAAGGTATGATTTCCAGTGCATTGTTGCGCATTGGTATCCCATTCTGGTATCCCATTCAAGTAAGTGGGCAGCCTTAAAATAATGTACATTAATGTGCATTTGCTAGCACACTATAACATAGTGGATATAAATGAATGGACCCAAAGTGTGATGGATGTTAGCAAATAAAAAAAAAACTGAATGTACTTCTTGGGGCAGGAATAGAGTAGTGACAGCAAACGATACTAAGTATAGTAATATTATACAGTTTATTATTTTCTTGGAACATCATGAAAAAGCAGTAAACATCTTAGTATTTAACAGAGATAGTTCATAACAGTGAGAATTTTACAGACTGCCATTATATAACCTTAAATAAGAAGCCATTCAGACCCTAGTGACCCTAGTGATGTGAAAATCTCTGAAAATCACATTGATATATTATAGACTGTATGTATTCTAAAGGGTCACTGAATATATTATTTATAATCAATGTTATGTTTGTCTAACACTGTTCACCATTATTTTTTTGTATACTGTATGTTACTGTATATGTTACTTGTAACTAATTTGTTTATAATGTGCTATTTACGAACATTTTAGTGTAGTAGTGAGTAGTTATTTGGATAACAGCTCTGTATATAAGCTCAATAAAACCTTCCTTTATTCGAAAATTCCACAGGAAAACACAACCTTACAAAGATGTTGACGCAGGTTAGTCATAAATAAAAGCCCGCCTGAGCTGAACCGTATCAACATCTTTGTGAGGTTGTGTTTTCCTGTGGATTGTTCAAATATAGAGTTAGGTACATATATATTTGGACAAGGCAAAATTTTTTTTTTTTTTTTTCGGGTATTTACCAAAACAAATTCAAGCTATAGTTATATAATGGATATGGGCTGAAAGTGCACACTCTCAGGTTTAATTGGAGGGTATGTACATCCATATTGGAGGAAGGATTTAGGAATTACAGCTCTTAAGAGTAGCCACCCCCCCTTTTCAAGGGGCCAAAAGTAATTGGACAGTTTAATCAAAAGCTGTTCAATGGCCAGGTGTGGACTACAGGGTGCAAACCATTCATAAGCCTGAAGAATAGAAAAGCCAGATTAGACTTTGCCAAAAAACATCTAAAAAAGCCAGACCAGTTCTGGAAAGCATTCTTTGGGCAGATGAAACTAAGATGAATCTGTACCAGAATGACGGGAAGAAAAAAGTGTGGAGAAGGCTTGGAACAGCTCATGATCCAAAGCACACAATGTCTTCCATAAATCATGGTGGAGGCAGTATGATGGCATGGGCATACATGGCTTCCAGTTGCACTGGTTCATTGGTGTTTATTGATGATGTGACAGAAAACAGAAGCAGCCGGATGAATTCTGCAGTGTTTAGAGGTATACTGTCAGCCCAGATTCAGCCAAATGCAGCAAAGCTGATTGGACGGCGCTTCACAGTACAGATGGACAATGATCCAAAACATACTGCAGAAGCAACCCAGGAGCTTTTGAAGGAAAAGAAGTGGAATATTCTGCAATGGCCGAGTTGATCACCTAATCTCAACCCAAACTGAGCATGCATTTCACTTGCTGAAACCAAAACTAAAGACAGAAAGACCCTCAAACAAAGAACAACTGAAGAAAGCTACAGTTAGAGCCTGGGTAAGCATCTAAAATTGTGCCTGTGTCCAAATATATATGGACCAAACTGTAGGAAGACTTTATTGAGCAAACATATGGAGATGCTGATGTTTTGTAGTTAAAAAGTTGTGGCAAATGCCAGGCCAAAGTATGAACAAGATTGGTGGGTTGGGGAGGAGAATTGAGTGGTACACTCCTAAGTCAGTTTCACATTAAAGTGACCAAGTCATCAAACTAAAGCTGATAAATGCCATTAAAGTATAACTAAAGCCAAAACTTTTTTTAGGTTTTGGATCAAATAGAGAGGGATTACAACCGCTGTTAGTTTTTATTGCTGTCTGTGCCCCCATTAGGGAGAGTCACCTTTTCTATTTGTCCTGTTTACCATTATCATTGAAAGTGAAAGTAAAAGAAAACCCTACATTTTGGGTAGTCCCCAGAAAAGTAATAGAGGGGAAACATACCAATAGGGACGCTGGTTCAAGTGACCTGGGGGCTCCCAAGGAATTCCCCTTAATTTGCAAGGATTCCTCTCACTTCTTGTTTGGCTATGGGAAAGGAAGTGAAAGGAAATCTCCGCAATGGGATACAGATGGCAAAAAATGATTATAATTCTCCCTTGCTCCATCCAAAATTAAAAAAAGTTTGCCTATAGTTCTACTTTAAGAGAACTACCAAACTGAAATTTCTTCAGAACCTGACCCTTCCAGTAGTTTAAATATCTCTGTTGTCTACTTGAAAACTGGTGTAATAGTTCTGCTGAGGAAGATACTGGAAATGACTGACAAATGACAAAACTGCTCCATCTCTTTGTAGTTCTGTGTTATGTAACAGTTTTAGTATGTTCTTTATTTTATTTATACATATAGACAACAGAAATGATTAAAACAAAATAATCCTTACATCCTTCACATCAGTATATAATAAGGATTAAAGACTTGTGTCACAAAGTAAGGATCTGTAGAGGTTTCAACTTGGAAAAAGGTATCACTGGCTAAAACAACCTTCCACAAGTGCCTGGCTAAAAGTAGAAACTTATCGACTTCACAGTCCACAAGGGGAAATACAAACTCAAGTCACACCATATACTCAACTGTATTCAATAAAACTTGTGGATTCATTGTGTACTCTCAGTTAAACTCACAATTGGTATAAAAATCTTTTTAATTAGTAGAGCACGGAATTAATTTATTTTGCAGGTGCTGTAGTTTATTTTGACTCACAATAATTTAGGGTTTGGTGACTCTCACTATACCCAGGTGTATAGATCAACAAAGGGTGCTATGTCTGTGTCTTCATATGCCAACTTGTACCTGAGTTAGGTGTTGAGTATGTAATGCTTTTTAATATTGGATCATCAGACTATTAAAGAAGAGGGTAAATGCACACAAGCATATTATCTGGCAATTTAAGAACAGAACAGCATTGCAATTGTGGGACCACAAAAGGTCTATATGTCCAGGTTTTGGATCATTTACATCTGAATTCTAGAAGGGAAAATTATGACAAGGTTCTGTTATGCTTAGAAACTAGTTGGATAAAAATGTGATTTTGCTCCATTTTTGAGATTCAGAATCTAAATGTTCTTCTCTAGTGGATTTAGAGTTGTCTAAAATTGGGTAAAACAAATTAACAAAACATATCATGGATAACCTGACAAATGTTGTCCCTGTTAAACTCATTTCTATTTTGCAGTATTTATGTCTGTAACCATCCACCGTCTAGTGAAGTACATGTACACATTGTACAGGGCTGGTTAAATACCCCCAATCACGTTAGATAATGGTACTTGCAACTTCACACAGTGAATGTAACAGAATAGAGAGTGTGCAGCTAAATACTGCAATAACTATAACAAATGTGAATATAACTGGATACTAACATTTATAGGTAAAGTTGATCCAGGGAATATCCATTTGCCTCTCAGGGGATCAGGAAGGATTTTTTTTCCCTGCAGGAGCATATTTGACCATGTCTTGCTGGGGGGTTTTTTTTTTTTGCCTTCCTCTGGATCAACTGTGGGTATAGGATTATAACTCTTTTTTTAATGGTTGAACTGCATGGACTTTTGTCTTTTTTCAGCCAGATAGGTGGTGGGCTGTCATCTTCACACACTTCCTGTCCTAAATTGACAACAGTGCTCCTCCATAGATACAGTACAGTGAGTGAGCATTGTTATCCTAAAACAGAAACTGTGTGGCATGTTCACGAAGTGAAAATAAAGATTAAAAAAGCCTGAAAAACGAAAACCAATACAGCATTATTATCTAAGGACTGGTAAGCTGTTATATATTATATATTTTTTTTTCTTGGGTTCACATATACTTTAAACTACTCAGCACACATCCCTAAACTCTTACCCCTAACACTGAGAATTCCAGTGCTGTTTGACTTTCCCATGATATTTTCAGCAAAACAGGTATAGTTTCCTTCATCAGAACGAGAAATATTTTTCAGGATGAGTGTTCCATTGGTTGTTACAGTCACCCTGGTGGACAAATGGGAGATGCACGTTAATATTTTTTATCATATTTGGTGACATTGCCTGTGCTACCAAACAGGAGTAATATACAGCAGAACTACTAACTGAATCATTCAGGACGTTTCTGCAATTTACATACAGTATATCTGACTTTCTTGACTACAATTTCTTCCAGCTTCCAGTCTATGAATATTGTTTTACATCAAACACGTAGCCTGCAGCTTTTCTTTTCTACATCAGTTCGAGTAACTGTTCTGAAAGAAGCCTACATATCAGAAAAATGGGACTTAAGTCAGGCTGCCTGATTAATACACATGATCCAGGTCAGTGCCTCAGAAAGTACAGAAGCAAATAGATCAACATGACAGCTAGAACATTTGCATTTTCAGAAACAGCCATTGGCAGTGGCAGCCTCCATATTATGTTGTTACAGGTTCCTTTCATACCTGCTATTGTTGTGTAGAAGTTCAGTTCCTTTACTCCATAGGATGACTGGAGAGGGAGCAGCACGAGGATTACACTGTATGGAGATTTCACCTCCTCGAGCTGCTGGGATCAAAGGTTTCACTGGTGATACACGGAAATCAGGGGCCAGTGCTGCATTTAAGATACAAAAAGACAAAGTCAAATTGCTAGATAATACTTTAAAAATAAAAGAATATTAAAGAAACAACAGTTTGAATATTGCATACATTGATAAAAAATACATATGAAATAATCAAGGAAAAAAGATAAAAGTTAGGGCTTGTTTGAGCCATGTTTTTAGCACCCCCCCCCCCCCCCAAACTGCCCCCTTAGGATGGAAAAAAACAGTGAGGGGGGTGTTTACAAGGTGTGTTCACAGCAAAAATGATCGGTGCGGCATTGGTGCAGTATTTACGGGTTACAACAGACGGTGAGGGAGCATCATATCATCTTCTCACCGCCTGGCAAATGCCTCTAAACATGGATCACTTATCAGAGGTGTGGCAGTTTTGGTGCAAGTGTAAACTTAGCCTGAATGTTGCTTAAAACATTTAACAATCATCCTTATTATAATGTAACAGGTCCTTAGGACACAATGTATTTAATACATTTAATATGGGTTGTAGCTATCTCAGACCTTTCTTGGTCTGTGGCAGTCCATGTGATTACTAGATCCTGTAACTCTGTTGGAATATTCCTGCATCAGTTACAGTCAGTAAGACATGTATATTCCTGCATCAGTTACAGTCAGTAAGACGTATATACCTGCATCATTTATAGTCAGTAAAACATGCAACTGTTAATTTAGATGTATAAATGGCTATGCAATGCTGATCACCTCTAATACATACTGGAGAGCTGGTGTAGATATGCAACAGAGACTGGAAATTACATCACAACCATGTAGTTCGACGAGGAAGAATATTACTGGTACCGTATACAAGAACATTACCACCTTGTGTCAGAACTAGTATTCACAGTATATAAGAACGGTAGTTGCATCTATGTCTGTACAAACAGCATACTAACAGCCCCATTCAACAACTACTTCCCATATAAGTCCCATCTTTTTTTCAGACTGTACACTTGTAACTGCATAGCTGAGTGTTGACTTGTTCACATGGACAGATGAGTGATCCTGGATGCCAGTAAATGTTCATATGTGCACAAACAACTTCTGATTCATTCTAGATTTCCAAATTCTTCCGTTTGCCTTTAAGAGACCTGTCTTTCTGCATACAAAACATTCATGTATGCATATTATTATTGCAGTTGATGGTTCTTTTTATTTTCACTGTTTGCAATTTTTGGTTTTCACTTATATTCATCCGTTAGCTTGATTTTAACATACTTCAAGGTAAGCTCGTCATCTGAGCGAGCATCATGTGCTGTAGGTATCATAGTGACAAAGAGACCACTGAGTAGCAGTACTGCTACTCTTTTATTTCTTCTCATGAAGCTTGCAGGATTTCTACTATTTCTAAGGTATATTTTATATTGTTCTGCATGTGCTGGCCTTTCATTAGCTTAGTCTGGTTTATCTTTCCAATTAAGTGCCATTTATTGCTGAGATTTGCTTCCTCGTTTACTTTCTGTAACTCTTCCCACAATTCTTTTGAATTTTCCCACTTGCATATATGCACAATTTTAGCATCATCAATGCCCAGGTTAGTAACTGAAAACCTTGAAGAAACACTATTATTATTCAGTGGGTTTTTTTGCCTTCCCCTGGATCAACTGTGGGTATAGGATTATAACTTTTTTTTTCTTTTTTTATGGTTGAACTGAATGGACTTTTCTTTTTCAGCCAGACTAACTATGTAACTAAGTGGCGTAACAAGAGCCATAGCAGCTGATAGCCTGGATTAGAAAGGGCAATGTTAGGCTGTTAAGGAAAGTTTTAAATATGAAGTTTCCAGTAGAGGGATTGATGTTAGACCACAGGATAGTTATCTTCCTTAGCAGTGCATATTTATTGCCCTCTAAACTTCTACTATAGTCTAAAATAAACCCTTGTAATAGTGTGACCACATAAAGGACAAAAATGACAAGTGTCTTGCCCACTACATCACAGATATAAAGCCCAAGCACCCAACAAGGTTCAAGGCTTGTTCTTCATCAAGGGAACCTTGACAGCGCTCTGTATTTAAAATGGGAAATTTTAGTGAGAAGCATGTATAGAACAAAACAAATTATATATACGTCAGTCCCACAATGTGGTTATAGTTGCAGCAAGATCCAGGAAGGGGCACTGATCCCGGTGCTCCAGGATTCAATTATATATGGTGGACTGTTGTGTTGGCCGGCTGCGGCTTCATGGTAGCATGGCTTCCACTGGCTTCTGGTTTTGGCACATTTAGGGGCTTTCCTGTGGCATGGCTGCCATTGCTGGCTCCTCGCTACTGCAGATATGACTCTTACCAGTCAAGATGTTGCTGGACACATTGCTAAGACCATCTTGTTTTATTGGAAAATGACAGCAACACAGAGATGTAAAATGACTGTACATCATAACCATGCAGTGCCACTAGAATGAACATTACATTTTACAAGAACACTACCACCCAGTGTCAGAACTAGAGATGACAGTATAATATACGTCTTATATGAGAATGGTTGTTCCACCTATGTCTGCATAAAAGGCATGCTAACAACATACTGTATATACTGTGAATTAGATATTTAGAAAAGCTATGTAACAGCTAATGGCTTTGACTTTACTACTTGAATATTATTGAAATGTGTTTACAACATTGTAAAACCAACTAAATGTGTGAGCCCAGAAATTGCTGGTCCACATTACTTACCTTGCACAGTTAGTTCTGCACTGGTATAGATGGTGCCATGCTTATTCCCTGCAACACACTGGTACATGCCTGAGTCCTCTAGATGCAAACTAGTGATTTTCAACTGCCCATTGGTAACTTCTGTTCGAGCCTGTTTCAGGTTATCAACAAGGGTAGAATCATTCTTTAGCACTTTGAATTTTCTTTGACAGATTACATAACATCAATTACATTCAATTACATCATAGCATCTGTTCTCCTAAATACAATCAGTTTAGGTTGGTACTTGTCAAGGTGCAATTTAATTTGAATTAAATAAAATTCTATCTCTTTAATTTTTTTAACCCTTTGAGGACCAAGGGGCGTATTTGTCCCATGTTTTTAATTGCGTGTATCATCTGATTAAGAACTTAAAACTCTTTTTTTTTTTGGTTTGAATGAAAATATTAGTTCTTATCAACAAACAACAAATGGATCTAGCTTTTTGCCAATTATTTCATGAAATGGCTTAGTTACAGCAACTGAAGTGTACAAACTTTAAAAACAAAAAAATTGATTCTTTTGGCGTTCCAAAATCCTCAAAGGGTTAAATTGTACAGATTTTGTAAGTGCCTATAAGATTTTTCTGTCCTCACTTTGTATTTGGAGCAGCTGTGTTTTAAGTGGACAACTTGAACAGTTAACAAAACTATGTTTTTCAGCAGTTGTCCTATACTCCTATAGTACACAAATGTTGCTAATGCTATGAGGTGTATATATAAATGTTTTCACAAAAGATTAGCAAAGTCCAATTAGAAAATGTGTGAATCCTATGTTATGTAAATCTTGTGTGAAACCATTTATAAGTAGACTCCTATGTGTTTGCACCTGTCCTGACACAATAGAAAATTAAGGCTTTATGGCTAGCCATAGGAATCTGTGAGATTTAATTATTTGACCATAAGATGCATTTTAAAAATGTAGAAATTATATAATAAAAACTGTGCAAATACCCCGCAATCACGTTATGCAAAGCTGCAGACACACCCAGAGGATATCCCCTCTCAATGACAAATCAAAAATAATTTTGTGTTGCGCGAAGTGTGAGCAATCAATTACATACAAATATGTTAGTGATGTGTTTCCAATATTAAATAAATAAAAAAGTGCTCAAATAAACATAAAAAAAAACACAAGCAGTCCATGAAAGTGTAGATCAGTCCCCTGATTCCTGTAAGCAGTAGTGAAAATTCTTCATTCCAATAGTCCTGGATGATGTCTGGTTATGATGAAACGCGTTGAGTGGAGCCTCCCTTCTTATGTCATCGCATTGTCTGCCATCTTGGACTTTCCATGTGGATTGATGCTTTTTATCTTTGTAAGTGCAATTCTGTCTGTTCAATAAACCGGTTGTTTTTACTGCACTCTGAGAGGCACCTCTTTATTTTGCATGAGTATACCTTGACCCTAAACATCAGCTTGATGAATCTCGGGCGGTGCATTGGGTTCCATATAAAGCCTATGAAGGCGGACGGAAAAATACAAATTGAGTGTGTTATGACCCCCTAAGGTCTAAGGATCTGGTAAGCCTCCGATTTGATATTACGGTGGTGGCTATTCACGTTGGTGGTCATGTTGGAATTAATTTTCACTACTGCTTACAGGAATCAAGGGACTGATCTACACTTTCATGGACTGCTTGTGTTTTGTTTTTACTTATCATCACATCACTAACATATTTGTATGTAATTGACATCTCACACTTACCACAACATGAAATTATTTTTGATTTTAAAAATGTAACAATTAACATGCAGAAGGTTTATATTTTATGGTCATATCACATCTGTGTGCTTACTACAGAAAAATGCATGACAGGTAGAAAAAAAATATGATTTGCCATGCAACCTATTCAAATGACTGCGGCATAATGCATTCTATTTTTAAAAATACTGAATGGTCCACCTCTACCTCATATATAGCAAATGTATAATATATATTGTGCCAGGAAGTCAGGAAGAAATAAGGGTTAAGGGATGTGTCCAGGATGGGAGGTATATTTGTCCCAGGTTCATGCTCTACACAGACTGTTTCTCCTGTTGTGCTGTGTAGTCAGCCTGTTTGGCTCACTGATTATTTCATTAGCTCAGCTGTAGTAGGTTAAGGGCTCTGGGCTCTATAAAACTCCCAGGCTGCTTAGGGAGAATGCTCCAACCTGGAACCAGTTTGCTGTGCAGGACAGACTGGGGAGCAACCAAAAACTATACTGCGGTGAGAGTAATTCTGTGTGATCTTGGACTGTGTGAACATTCTGTGTCTGAGCAGTGGTAGGCTGTATCCCGACAGGTAGATAGGAACCTGTGTTTGCAGTTAGATGCCCAGTGTGGCAAGGCTTTATTTTCTGTTTGTATTTGTTTTGCTGTTTTTGAATATATGCACCTTGTGTTCACCAGCCTTGTAAATAAAGCACACAACTTTCTTCACCAAGATCCTGCTGTCGTGCTGAGCCTCTTTCACGGTGTTCTGACTCATCCATTATGTCAGGGGGTCAAGCACAACCCGCTACTGGACTAATCCCACACAATATATATATATATATATGAGGGGGTTCTGTCTCTGTTTTCTGTAAATGCTTAGGAACATACTGTAGAGTATAGCAGACAAGTTTCCAGAATACATAGGGGGAGATTTCCTAAAACTGGTGCACACAGGATCTGGTGCAGCTCTGCATAGTTACCAATCAGCTTCTAGGTATTATTGGTAAAGCTTAACAAAACAAGCTGAAGTTAGAAGGTGATTGATTACTATGCACAGCTGCACCAGATTCTGTGTGCACCAGTTTTAATAAATCTCCTCCATACCATTCACTTGATAGAGCCCACAGCATTTTCTTTTCCTCCTATGTATATAAACACTCTCTGCATCCCTGTGTTACATATGTTTTCCTAGTCTCTGCATTAGCTATTTCACAGCTCTCCTCACATTGTTGGGTAGCTCTTCCTTGGCCCTTGACCCCCACACCCCCTTCACACTCTATGATCTCCAACAACTCCACTGCATCCTCCTATTGATGCTACGTTCTCTGATAGTTCCTCTTCCATATTTACACTATATTATTTGGTTGATTTTCACCTATTGTCAACAATACATTCTCTGGAAACTTCCAATCTCAGGTAATATGTTATCTGGCTGCACACTCCCCACTGTCCACACTACTTTTTTTTTTTACAGCTTCTTTGCTTCATTCATACATTCTGGCAGCCCCACCCCCTGCACTTGGTTCTGTGACAACATGCCCTTTCAATTAACAATAAATTTTCTGGAAACTTAACCCATGCCATTACATCTTTGGCAGCTCACAAATCGTTCTCTGGCAGCTTAGGGGGGAGCCCCCATTAAGACAGATACAATACTTCGGCAGCTCTCCCCGAGCCACAAACACTATAAACTCTCCTTATTGTTCACAGTAGCTCCTTTTGAAAGTCTCTCCTCACTATCTGCAGTATGCTCAACAGCACTCAAGCCCCTTGCTTTTTACTTTACTTAACCTGTGAGCCCTTTAACTGCTGCCTCATCAGTGTTTTTGTGTTCTTTGGCATTGTGTGCTCCCCATTCTCCATAATTTTATCCTTTGTTTAGTATATTGCCCCCAAACATTGTCTCCTGGCTGGCACAGTGAGGAAAGATTTCCAAGCAGATTTTTATTTACCCCTGACATTTAATAACATAACATTCATGTTGTAAACCCTGCCCCTTTCCACTAAGGCAATCTCCTTTTCAAAAATGTGTCCTGGCTGATGAAATCCACACCTTCAAACATAAAGAGAAAGGATGTGAATTTCACCAGGAGGGAAAAAACCCTACTTGGCCTTCACTCTTTCCATGATCAGAGTCTTCTATGCTTCCTTTTTCTTCATCCTGTTGTCCATGAATAGGTCCTTCTCTGCATTATTTACCAGTGGAACACAGTCTTGATCCTCATCATTGACAGCAGTCAACTCGGGATCAGCTATCTCCTCACTGTCCGTGATCAGCTCCTGCTCCACCTCCCCTCCCCCATCAATTACAATTACTACCATCTTTAGATCCAATTTACTTATTTTCCCAATATTCCATGACCACATCACAATTACCCTTCTTTATTCTCATCCATGATTAGATCCCACTTACCTTCACTTACATCAATCCATGGCCATGTTCTCTGCCTTTGTTCAGTTCACGGTCTGCCATCTTTTTTTTCCTTTGTCAAAGATCTTATACTTTCTGCTTTCTCTTACTATCCTTGATACTTGATCAGCTCATGTTTTGTCTCCTCTTTTTTCCTTCACCCTAATGTTCCATGATCAACTGTCACTACAGTATACCATCCATATTCTGCCAGAATCAGCTTTTGCTATGTATCCTTTACTACTCCCCGAGTGCATAAATAGTTGGCATTGGGCCTCCTCTATCACCCTCCACCCCCCAGTCCAAATTCCATCATTTCATCTCCTTTTTCTTACCTTGTAGTCAATAATCATCTTTCTCTTAGCCCTTTCCCCAAGTGGTCAATGAATAGCTCCCTCTTTGCTGCTGAAACCCTCAACTTCTGTGATCAGTTTAATCTCCTTTTTCCTCCATAGTCATTTCTACTGAAATGGCACACTTGACTAAATAATACATGTTTAACTACAATACTGTCTGATAGGCCAGTGGTGTACACATGTGTTCATAAATGGGCACACATTTGCTAGTAAATGTAAAACTATAATATGGCAGGTCACGTGTTATTTAAGCACTGTACAATTGGGCAAATTGTAATTGAAGCTTGCAGCAATGCCATTCACTCATCTAGTCAAAAATCTAAAAGCTAAGTTGTTAAAACATTACTCAACATGCGCAACATTACTCAAATCTGAATATGCCAACAACACCCAAATTGTGTACTATACTTCCAAAAGCTAATGCAGTTTATTTCTAGTCAAAACTTTTTTTTTAGTGAGTGTGGAAGGGTTAGATCCTCTGTTTAGATTTTATTGTGGTCTGTTTTCCCATTGGGGAGATACACCTCTCTATTTTTACTATTGACCATTGTCACCAAAAAAGAAATTGGAGAAGGGAGAAGAAAAAAAAACTGACCAGTGTTCTGATCCCTCTCCACTCTATCCAAATCTAAGAACCAAAGTTTTGCCTTTAGTTATGCTTTAAGCCTTCCCTACTCTATCCAAAACTAAAGAAAAAGTTTTGTTTATACAAACATTTTACAAACAATAGAAGGGAAGAAGAACAAAAGAAGAACTACACAGACTTCCAATAACAATTGTTATGAATGTATGTAAATCAATTTTCCCACCTGTGAGACCAGTGGTTTACCATTACGCTGCCAGCGAATTGTGGGACGTGGCTTTCCAGAAGCTGCACAATTCCAGAGAAGATCGGACCCAATTTTTGCCTCAGTATCAGAAATAATCTGAAGCCATTCTGGTTGAGCTGCAAGGTAAAGAAATAGAGGTGCTAAAAATTTCAACTAAACTTCTACATGGAGCAAATTTTGTTCTGATCAGCTCACAGATCCCCTGTTGATCAGAGCAGAATAGGTGGATGACACATCCATGTCCAACCAATAGAAAAAAAAAATGAAACAAATAGAAAACCTCTATATGCACAATCCTATATCCACAATTGATCCAGAGGAAAGCAAAAAACCCAATAAAGGAAGATCCAATTCAATCCAGGCAGGGAAAATACTATTGCACATAAATATTACTATCCAGTTATAGTTTGTGCATGTAGGAATGCATACAGCTCAATCAACTGCACTGGCCATAACTAGTTCTTGAGGGAGCCTATTCCACATTTTTACAGCTCTCACTGTGAAGAAGCATTTCCATATTTGTAGGTTAAATCTTTTTTACTCCAGACATACAGTTGCCCCCTTGTCCTCTTTAATGACTGGAAAGTGAATAACTTAACACCAAGTTCACTATAGGGACACTTATGTATTTTATGCATGGTGATCACATCCCCCTTTAATTGCCTCTTCTCAAGAGAGAATGCATTCAGCTCAGCTAATCTATCCTCATAGCTGAGCTTCTTCATGCCTGTTGTCAGTTTAGTTTAATCCCAAACCCTATATGATTTATAAATACGTAAAAAAAAAATAAGGGTCCAAATACTGAACCTTGGGGTACACCATTAATAACCTTAGGCTATTCAGAATATGACTCATTATTAACTACTCTCTGAATACAGTCTTTTTAGCAAGGTTTCTATCCATTTAAAAACTGAATTTTCTAAGCCTGTAGACTTTAACTTACACATAAGCTGTGTGTGAGGAGCTGTGTGAAATGCTTTTGCAAAATCCAAGTACACTATATCCACAGGCACTGCTTTGTCTACGTTTTTGCTTACCTTCTTATAAAAAGAAAAGGTTTGTTTAACAACTTCGTCCTCTTGTGAGTCCGTGCTGACTATTACCTAAAATATTATTTTCTAGCAAAAACTATTTATTATACTCTCAAGTATCTTCCTGATTATAGAAGTAAAACTAACTGCTCTTTAGTTACTAAGTGAAGATTCTGATCCTTTTTTAAATATAGGCAGTACATTTGCTTTACGTAATTCCAGTAATAAAATTCCGATCATAAAGAGTCTCTAAAAATTACAACCATTGTTTAGAAGTAACCCATGGTTGTAGTCCAGGTGCTTTATTTGCCTTTGTTTGGTTTAAGATTTCTGAACCATATACATTTTGAGCTATTGTGGATCATATGGGGCTATGTCAATACTGTCCCCATTAAGGACTTGAGCTATCCCATTTTCCCTCATATACACAGTGCTGAAACAGTCACCGACTAAAAATTATCTTGTAACCTTTTAAGTATTATTATATTTGAAAATTTTTTTTGGGGGGTACAATCCTGCAAACTGCCATTCATTTTGTGGCCTTGATTTCCTTTTTACATATTCTTTTATAGTCTCTGTAACTTTTGAATGAAGATAGCGTACCTTCAATTTTATATTTTTTAAATGGTATTTTCTTATTTATAGTTATTTTAACTTTGAAGGTGAGACAATTAAATTTTATTTTTTAGCCTTTTAAACTTATTGCCCATGGAAATATATTTAGCAGTGTATTTTGCATACAGTCGATCTGAAGCATCCCCATTTCTGTTCCCTTTTCAATAATGACAACATTCACTTTCAGGCTAAATCACAGAGAGCAGCCCTCAGCCTTGGAAAATTTGATCTCTTAAAATGTTTTTATCTTTCCAGTATGTGCTGGTCGTTTACAGCTAAAATTAAATGAAATAATGTTATAGTCACTGATACTCAGATGTTCTTTCATGAACATTAGTAATAGGCATTCCATCAACTGCTGGAAACATGCATACACAATCATTTTAGAGGCCTGTTCTATTTTCTGTGACATCATCTTTTAACTTCACATCAGGAGCATTAGCAACTAGCTGTTAATGGTGTAAAGATCAATGTGCATTAGTACTATGTAGTCTCTGTAGATCGTGTGTCAACAATTTAAACAATGTATGGCCACATTAGGAAATAGCACCAGTTTTTGTACAACACCAGCCCAATTCAAATATGGGGACAAATAAATCAAACAGATTTGTACTTTATATTTATCTCAATTTTTGAAAAAACTATACTGACCTAAAAAAAAAAAAGAAAACTATACTATACTAGAGGTAGAGCTTATAGACATAAAGTTAAGGGTGTGTCACAACAATATTGGAGCTTTCAGAGAGACTGAGAGAAAAAAACATTCATAGAAGAAGGTAGGCTTTTCTCAATAGAAGGAAAGAGGTCCATCACCTAAGAACACTAGCAAAAAAAAAACAAAAACCTGAGGCTAGCTGGCAGAGAAGGCTGAAATCAGTGTGGCTGATGGTCCAGCTGAATGATAACGTAAAGGGTAATAGACCTTGCACAGATGTACTTCAACCCCCAAGGGAGCTGAAGCCTGATCCTGAGCTACTGAGTCCATCTGACCACTTATTTCTGTGCTTATGGTCATGCCCGTAAACAATATGTCCCCAGGGAGGTACTCACGGCCTTTGCTGGAGTGGAGCAGGAGGGGGATGCCTCGGTGCATGCACCTGCAGGGCGCTGTAACCCAGGATCTATGACTGTAATCCATTATCAATGTGCCCTCAGATAGGAGAACCAGAAATGTTGGGCAGTAATCTCCCAGTGACGATGTGGTGCATGAGCAGATTGCACCCGCAGTGCAAAGCAACAGTACTGGCCAGCCCTGTATCTTCCACCAAGTGGCGTTCAGGTACAGTCCCCCAAGTCTCTGCTGGAGGAGTTCACTGATCAAGAAGCTGCATGAAGAGCCACAGTGGCTATGGTGCACCCAATTGACAAAGTAATCATCTTGGAAAGAAACCATCCAGTGAAAGAGAGAAAAAGCTCCATAGAAAAAGGCATTTCTCAGCATTTCTTAGGCCTATCACCTAAAGACACCAGCAAAAAATTGAGGCTTGCTGGGAGTGGGTGGGGTTTTATAGTAGAATGTCACTGCAGCCTTAATTTTTTGTCAGTGTCCTCACCTGAAGGTAACTGCACAGTCGTAATCATTCAAAGAAGCCCATATTCTATACAGTACAATCAGGAAAGACTGGGGTTTCCTATTACCATATGTAGCTATATACTTACATAGTTTTAAGGATGAAAATAGACACTTAATGTTTTTAATAATAGAAGAGCCACGGTGATGTCACCTACCAGGTATACTACCCCAGAAAGAACAAGCCCTTCCAAATATACCATGTATCAGGAACTTCAAGACGGCCGTGCTCACTTACATGTACGTGTGTAGAATCATACACAAACTCACGAGCATATACAGTATGTGTAACTGGACTTGCACATGTACACATGCGCCATGGTGCACACGTGAATGCACGAGAATACCCACAGATCCTGATGCCCGTTGGCCTATTTATACCTGAGGCCTATTTAATATCATCGCTGTATCTCGTCTTCAGCTTTACCCTTATGACTTCTGTTTCTGAAAGCCTGCTTAATCCTGTTACTGACCCAGATTCATCTGACTCTACTCTGGCTTCTCATTGCCTGCTCATGTCTGCTGCTTCCTCATGTTACTGACCTTGGCCTGGACTTTTGACTAAGATTCTGGCTGCTGACCTTTTACCTCACTGCCAGCACACTGCCGACCCTTGCCTGTCCCTGACCTGGACTCTGATTGTTATTCTGTACCTCTCTGCCCTTTCTGTTATTGATCTCAGTTTGTGACTTCTCTTATCGCTTCTCAGCACCTCCAAGTTCAAGTTTGCTAAACAAACTTCCTGGCACCTGCGTCCGTAGCAGTCCCTGTCTCTGCCAGCAGTAGTGCTTGGACAGGAATCATCTCCAGCTCCACTAACAGGTACGTGATATCTTGTTCACTAATAAAACCCTGGAAGAATCAGGAGCTATCAGTAGAAAGTGACCCTAAAATACTACCATCAAAAGGTACACTTGAGGTTAGACCAGGGGTGGGCAAACTTTTTGACTTGAGGGCCGCAATGGGTTCATATATTGGACCCGGGGGCCGGACCAAGAGTAGATGAATGATGTGTATGTGTCATCCATAGTAAGTATAGTAATATTCCCCCATAGTAAGCATAGTAATTCATCCCCCATAGTAATTCATCCCCCATATAGTAATTCATCCCCCATATAGTAATTCATCCCCCATATAGTAATTCATCCCCCATATAGTAATTCATCCCCATAGTAATTCATCCCCCATAGTAATTCATCCCCCATATTTAATTCATCCCCCATATAGTAATTCATTCCCCATATTTATTCATCCCCCATATTAAGTCCCCAAGTCCCCCCTGTGTCAATTCACTTACCTTTGCTCCGCGCGTTCCTCTCGCCGTATTCCCCGCGCCGTTCCGGTGTAGCATGAAAATCTGTCTCCTATGAGGATCTGTCCCCCTCGACGTATCTGCGCATGTGCCAGTTTCAGGCATTAGCAGCCGATCGGCGATCTCCAGCACATGCACAGATACGTCGAGGGAGACAGATCCTCATAGGAGACAGATTTTCATGCAACACCGGTCTTCAGGGCGGACTGTGAGAGGAGCCTAGTGGGAGCCTAGCTCCGCGGGCCGGATTAAAAGGTCCGCCGGGCCGTAGTTTTGCCCATTGCTGGGTTAGACTATCAGACCCTGTCTGCTATTCAGGTTCAGATGCTGAGAGAGTTTTTGTTGAAAAATTGAGAGATATTTGCAGAATTACCTGGGCAAATTAACATAATTCACCTTGATATGGCAATTAAGCCTCACATCAAAGTAAATTTAAAACCTTACTGTATTGGGTACCTAATGCTCAGAGAAAAGCCATTTCAGAAAAGGTACAGAAAATGTTAGCTCTTGACCTCATAAAGGAATCTAACAGTGAGGGGTCAAGTCCCATGGTGCTCATCCCTAAGCTGGCAGCCTGAGGATCTGTAATGACTACTGGAAACGAAATGAAAAATCCAAATCAGATGCTTCTTCCATGCTACGGGTGGAAGAATTAATAGAAAAGTTTGGTCCCACCAGGTACATTATTACCTTCAATCTTAATAAAGAGCATTGGAAGTTTTCCTTAACAGATAGAGAATAGGAAAATACAGCTTTTGTGATTTCAGATGGGGTGTACCAGTATGTGGTCCTCCATTTTGGCTTAAGTGAACTCAACCTCATTCCAAACACTGATGGACTACATTTTTAAACCCCACAAAGCAAATGTTTTAGCATTTCTAGATGTTGGCATTTTCATTTTTGACTGGAATTCCCTCCTACAAAGGTCCAGGCAGTTTTAAATTTAATGTGTAAGGTCAGGCTAACAACCAATCAAGCAGAGAGAGCGTTTTCAAGAGCTAAAGGTACCAGTGTTAACCACCACCAACCACCTACATGGGTGACAATACTCCTTCATCCTAAGTTGTTTTTCTTCCAATGTTTTTCTTTTGTAGGGCTTACAAAAACAATTGCAGGAATCGATATAAGTGAAAATAGTAGATGAAGGCTAGTGAAATCATGGTTTATAGATTTTTTTGCTGAGAGATTTTAGTAGAGAATCTATTTTTAAGAAAAATAATGAATATATGTATTATCTACGCAAAATTGTATCTCACCTTGTACTATTACACGTCCTTGATGGGCATCCCGCCCCTTAGAGTTTTCAGCTTCACATTCAAAGGTACCATCATCATCAAAACTGACACTTTGTATATGCAAAACTGGGTCTGATGAAATCCACTGAGGAATCTGTGACGTATCTACCTTTCTCCACCGAATTCGAGGCACAGGACTATAGAGAGATGGAAAGGACACGTGTTGACACAAATTCAGGAACTGTCACATAAACGGTAATGGTATTTGACAGTTCATTTTCAAAACTAGAATATAGGTATGAAAACATGTATTTTATGCTAATCCTTAAGGAAAGCTCACTTCAGAGATTTCTACCAGCACAATGTTCATGTAAATCCAAAGCAATTTTAAAGCTGAAGCTTAGGTATGATTTTTAAAGTAGTTACATTGGTCCAGTGTGGTTGACACTACTACACTGATAGCAGCAGTCTGCAGCTCTAGTGTTGAGAGGATGCCCTTCTGCATAGTAACCACAGGGGGTCTCCTGCTTGGTACTACTGATGTTCATACACAGCTTTGGATTTCTTTAATTGAATATAAGATGAGGTGGAGAGGTGGGGTGATTATGTCAAATTTGCCATCTAAATCCAATCAGAGAATGCCTTGTATTCATTGATAGAATACAAGGCTTCCTCTGAATGGTAGCAGTGCTGAGCAAGCAACCTCCTGTAGAGTTAATATGTAAAGGGACTGCCTGTCAGCACTGGACCTAAAAGACTGCTGATATCACAGTAGTAGCAGTGACTACTACAGTGATGTGCAGCTCACACAGCGATCAGTAAGGTATGAGATATGCATACTAACATTGGTCCAAGCTGGAACAACGTAATTATGCTATAAAATCATATCTAAACTTTAGCTCTAAGTTTTGGACAGAGTAGTGAATAATTAAGATCCCTATCAAGTATTTTATTTTCTTTCTGTGGAGTGAAAATTAAAAATGTGAAAAATTTGAAAATTTGTTTTCCATCACTTTGTGTACTTGAGACAATGGTCAACAGGGCCAGAAGTGAGGGTGAATCTCCCCATTAAAAAAACAAACAGGGTTCTTGTTCTTCCACATGCTTTCCAAAAATGGCTTTACTTTAATCCCTGTCCACAGCTGCCATTTTGAAAAGGAAATGGTCTCTGGAGGAGAGGCTAGAAGGCACCATAAACAATTGGGATTTATCAGTAAAAAAAGATCTGCTTTGATATCAGTCACTTTTTTGAGGATGCAAGCAAACTTATTGTATTAGACACTCAACTTAGGTGGAGCAGGACCAATAATCATTACAGGATGTGTGCCAGCATAAAATGGTATGTACATCGGACAAGTCAAACTAACAACATGAACACTTACCTGTCTGCATCCTCTCCTTGCAGACTGTCCACCTGCAAAAGAGACTGAGAGGATCCACCCATACTCCAACACCCCAAGACCTACAGCTACCTTGGTGCACCCACACTTTACCCTTCCTGGGGACTGGCACACACCCCAGTGCTTCAGCACGAAATCAGCAAAAACTGAAAAAACACCCACTAAAGCACTCACCCAGCATAAGGAGCTCCACTTTCTGAACTAATGACTATAGTATTTTTTGTGACCATGGACAACAAACATTAGTAATGTTAACCACTGTAAACAAATAATAGATTGACCTACATTCCATGGTTCCTTGAGCCCCAACATGACTTTAAACACCATGTAATATACAGAGACTATAGGAGACTATTTATACAAAATTAGCTTTTTGCCTTTTTCTATATTTATGCAAATTAATAATACCCTTAAAGTGTTACTAAACCCATAACAGTAAAATCAGTCTGTATATTCAGTAAATCATGCTTGTTATACTCACTGTGGAATCTATGGAGTTAATCCTCCGCATTGTGTAAAAAGGCTGTTTGATCCTCCCCTTCTTCTACTGTCCCCAATCCATTTGCTGATAGTACAGAGCTCTAGGGGTCCCTCTGCACATCCTCAGTTTAGTGTGTACTGCTAGAGAGTTTTTTTTTTCTTTGGGAGGGTGCATGTGATCAGCACAGGGCCAATCAACACTGTCCAGTCAGAGGGTTAGAGGTTATGCAACCTCATAGGACAGTTAGAGGAGAATGAAAACTCCTCCTACAAGCTTTAACCAGTGCTCAGCCAGACACTGATAGAAGTCACAAGACTGCTACTGCTGATAAGAAAATGTATTTAGCAGTTTATATTTACTACAATAATTGCACTTCCATGTTCTTTGTACTGTGGGAGACCAGATATAGTAAATGCAGGGTCCTGTGTTTAGTAACACTTTAATGCTTATAATATTGTGTTACTTTTTCAGGCCCCCACACACTGAATTTAGGTTTCATTAAATGACATCACAGTTTTCTCCCAGGAGCAAGTAATTGAATCTGTATATCAAATTGTTAGGTTGGAGCATAATTTTGAAACTTCTGTTCTAGCAGAATCTTATGACAAAACAGATTGGGGTGACAAGGCATTGTTCAGGTAAAGTCATGTAAAGCAGAAGGTCAAGGCAATTAGTAAACTGGGTTATAGTCACAATATCAGCTCAAATGCAAAACAAAATAACTGAAACTTACAAGGATCAGCATGATTGTTTTACAAATTCAGTGAAGAGAAGTGGAATATTTGTACTGGTTGCCAGTTCACTTTCTACACCTTATGGAGTATGCTAAAGTAGATTTAGACTTCAGAATGATGGATAAAAATGTTTGTTTGGGTTCTGACTTTTGCTTGGGACGCTAGACAATGGAAGTGATCAGTGCACCAATCATAAAAATTGTTATCAAATAAAAAAAAGTGTTACTTTAGCTTGAGGATAAAGTGTTACTGAAGTTTTTTTTACAAATCATGCAGCCCTTAAAGACTTTTAAATGTAGACTTTAACCTTGAAATACCAGATTTACAGTAATATTAGTTTAGAACCACTGGTTTCAAAATGGAAACATAAAAAATTGGTATTTGGGCAGAAGAAGGGATTCTAAGTTTGTAAGCAACTTGATTGATCTGGGTTAGAACCATATGTGGACAAATGTAACAAGGTGATAATATATGCAGCTAGGTTCTTGGCAAGATGTCAGTCTGTAATCATTGGAAAACCATGGAGGAACCATAAAATAAAAATATATCATAAACACCATGCTTACTGAAGCTTATCTCTGTTCTGAAGACATTGATGTAGTCCTTATTATGACCATTCTCAAATAAACTGCCTTTATTATATACCCCTTAGCAGTACTAGTGTTGTAAAAAGTAATGAAGCTGCTCAGCACTCCCTGTCTGGAGACTCTTTTGAAAGCATGTACCGGTAATCGAAAATGAAAATCCTATAGCAAGCTACTGTATGCTTAGAATTCACCTCATGCACTGTGCACATTTGTCTCCCCCCTAAGAAACTTTTACTGGGTCTCTGAGTAGCAGATCTTGAGTTTGTTCTCAGAGGACAGCCTTCACCTGTTCTCTTCTTGAAGACATATTCCAGTTCCATATAAAAAGGCCTCCTTTGGCACCTGAGTATAGACTAAGTCCAGGTAAACGGCTCTCTATATTAATAGCCATCTACAATTTATGTCCCAATTGGGTGCTCACGTAGTGAAGTAGGTATTGTTTGATACAGTGGTTTGCACAGAGTAGAATGCTGTTTTTCAGGACACCTGCTCACAATTAAAGCGACCTGTCCACAGTCTAAGGGAATTCATTCTGAGAATATGATGAAAACATATAAGCATAGGTTGCCTCCAGTCAAAACCACATATTAAAACAATTAGTAGATCTTGTGATATAGACCAGTAAATCTCAATATTGTCCTATAATGCTTCATCTTTGCCTTGTCCTCTTTTACCTTACAATCCTCACTATAGCTCAGTTAAGTTCCAAACAAAAAACGGCACCACACCCCTTTAAATATGAAGGAAGAACCAAGAGAAGTGGGATTTTTAAGGTGTATAATATACAGACTCAGAAGTATAAAACTATTTTTTTTTTAACACATTAAAAAATATTTGACTTAAAATTAAGTATATTCATCTTGATTGTAAGCTCCAAGGAGCAGGGCCCTCAAATCCCTCTTATTGTACTGTATTGTTGCTGTATTCTCTCCCGTTATATTGTAAAGCTCTGAGCAAATTGTTGGCGCTATATAAATCCTGTATAATAAATAATAATGATCACATGCAATAAATTGGTCTAGCGGTATGCAGATGTAATTCCCAACATGTTTTGCCCAATCTGGGCTTCTACAGGGGAAAGAAGCAATTCGCTAGTACTCTAAAAGTAATTAATGATTGACAATACCATAACTGCACCACATCCCTATTAGTTAGGTTCCAATTGACATTAAAGACAAACAGAAAGCCCCATGAGGAGGGAAAGATGGGTCCAGGGGCGGACTGACAACTCATGGGGCCCCCGGGAAATAGGGGATCATGGGGCCCCTGTGTCCTTGCCCAACTCAAAAAAGCCTATGAAAAAAGTACCAGGGGCATCTCATAGGGCCCCTTACTGACCCCGGGCCCTCGGGCAGTGCCCGAGTTTCTAAATGGTCAGTCCGCCCCTGGATGGGTCAAAGTTTGACTTTTGTGAAAAAGTTAAAATTTGCATAATATATATTGTTTGCGCTTTGATCCTCTTTTCTTCTGCCTCACAATGCTTAATATAAGTCAATTAGGTTGTTAATGACATTAAATGACCAATAGGAAGCCTCATAAGAAGGGAAAGTTGGGACAAAGCTTGACTTTTGTGCTATTTCCTATGGATCTAATGATCTTGGTTTTGTGATGTGGTTTTCACTAATGGTTTTTCACTCTAATGTGGTTTTCACTCTACTCAAGTGTTTTTTCCATCCTATGCTCCATTTAAATTGCCCAGCCTTTTAGGAAGTTCACTGGTATTTATTGTGTGTTCCATCTGCTTGTTTTTTACAATAGGTCCACGGTTTTATTAGTATGATTTATCAATTGAAGGTAACTTACTTTCCAAAAGCAAAGCACTCCAATGTCACTGATTGCCTTGAGAGGGTGTAAGTCTCAACAGGGAATCGTACTTTAATACTTGGTGCATACAAACGTGGCTCTGCTACAAAACACAAAACAATAAACCGGTTAGGTAAATTTCAGTTTGAGTTTGATGCCCAGCATTATAACAAACATTACTAATGTTAAGAAACTGCACGCCTTATACCATGATAATATACAGCTGGTAAAAGAAGTATTGAACAAGTCACATATTTTCTAGGTAAATATATTTCTAAGGATGCTATTGACATGACATTTTCACCACATGTCGGTAAGAATTCATGCAATCCATACATACAAAGAAACCGAAACAAATATGTTCAGAAATTAAGTTATGTGTAATAAAATGGAATTACACAGGGAGAAAGTATTGAATACGCTAACTGAAATTTGTTTTAACACTTACAAAATCCTTTGTTTGTAGTGACAGCTTTAAGAAGTCTCCTGTATGGAGAAACTAGTCGCATGCGTTGCTCAGGTGTGATTTTGGCCCATTTTTCCACACAGTCTTAATATCTTGAAGGTTCTGTGGGATCATTGTCTTGCTGAAATGTCCACCCTCCTTTCTGTTCATCACCCTGGTAGATGGCAGCAGATTTTTTTCAAGAATGTCTTGGTACATTTTTCCATTCATCCTTCCTTTAATGATATGAAGTTTGCCAGTACTGTATGCTGAAAAACAGCCCCACACCATGATGTTCCCACTTCCAAACTTCATTGTTGGTATGGTGTTTTTGGGGTGATGTGACCTCCAAACATGGGGTGCATTATGGTATAAAAAGAGTTCAGTTTTGGTCTCATCCACCTATACTGTATTCTCCCAGTATTTCACAGGCTTGTCTAAATGTTGTGCAGCAAACGTTGAGCTTCAACCTGCTTTTTCTTCAGCAATGGAGTCTTGGTGGTAAGTGTGCATACAGGCCATGGCGGTTGAGTGCATTAATTTTTGTTTTCTTTGAAACAATTGTACCTGCTAATTTTTAGGTCTTTCTGAAGCTCTCCACAAGTGCTCCTTGGCTCTTGGACAACTCTTCTGATAATTCTTTCACTCCTCTGTCAGAAATCTAGTGAGGAGCACCTGGTCATGGCCGGTTTATGGTGAAATGATGTTCTTTCCACTTCCAGATATGGCCCCAACAGTGCTTACTGGAACATTCTGAAGTTTAGAAATCCTTCTGTAACCAATGTCATCAGTATTTTTTGCAATAATAAGGTTGCAATGGTCTTGAGAGAGCTCTTTGCTTTTACCCATCATGAGATGTTTCTTGTGTGACACCTTGGTAATGTGACACCTTTTTATAGGCTATCAATCGAGACTGAACCAACTGATAATAATTTGCACTGACAAGGGGCATAATTGCTTTCTAATTAATGATAGATTTCAGCTGGTGTCTTGGCTTTCCATGCCTTTTTGCACCTACTTTTCTTCATGTGTTCAATGCTATTTCCCTGTGTCATTCCATTTTATTACACATAACTTAATTCTGAACTTATTTGTTTGTGTTTCTTTGTATGTATGGATTGCAGGGGTTGTTGCTAACATGTGGTCAAAATTTAATGTCAATAGTACCTTTAGAAATATATTTACCTAGAAAAATGTTCAATACTTATTTTACCCGCTGTATATTGTGATGTATTGAGTTAAATGTATACTTTATTTATTTATTAACCCTAGTTATATATAATGATACTACCTATTTACCTATACAAAGTAACCATTGGAAGCTACATTTTTAAAATGCTGTTCTATATTACACCTCCTTTCTTGTTTGAGTACATTTATTGCACATAATACCTTTCTGTAAATTACTATGCTGTGGCTTGAGAAACACATTCAATCATGACATTACAAACATAAACATCCTCTTGTGTCACCTTGATGCTTCTCATAGTTTATCTTCCTTTTTTTTCTTTTCAAAAGAATTGGTCAAAGCAAATGTCAAAAAATACAAAGCAAGTTATGGCATAACCAGCAAGTTCATCACTCAATAGATTTTATAAATCACATGAGGCCGTTTTCTGGCACCAATGCATTTGTGTTCACAGAACTAGTTTTAGCTTTTGTGGCAAGTAGCCCCACTTGTGGACCTGGGATATCCACTGAGTTGAGACAAACTCTTTTGGAATTCCATGTCTAGGAAATCACTGAATTACATTTAATTTACTGGCAAATGAGAAAACTTCCCAGTTCCAAATAGTCCACAAACCAGAATATGCTGTCTATGAATGTCTAGATAAATACAAATCCCATACAACTTTTTGATATGGGTGATCATAGGTTCTCTGGAATTAAAACTGTGATGCCGCAGGCTTAGTAGACATTTGTGCATTATTTTTTTATTTTTATATTTTTAGAAGCCTGTCCAATAAAGTATATTACAGCTGTTGAAATTACATTTCTTGACTACAATGTGTCCCTTGTGCATTTACTACATTAATTTGTTTTTTTCACGGAATTGGAAACCACCAACCTTTCACCTCTGTAGATTTGATTATCAAACAACACTTCATAAAAGTTCTATACATTTGTCCTGTTGCAGCTGTTTTTTTTCTAAAATAGGAACGCTAGATATGCTTAAACGCACTTCTCAAATGCTTTTACCAATAACCTCTATCTTGAAATAGTTAGTTTTTTTTGGGAGTACCAGGTGTCATAACCGGAAATAGCTTCCTAGGCTTTTAAGGTCTTTCAATGTTATGTTAATGTTGGCCTAACATCGTAATTGTAATCATGAGCATAGTTGATCTCTATCCCCATTTGTAACTTAAAAAGCATAAATTACTGTTTTGTTTTCTTTCAGCTGCATGTCCCCATGTTTTTGTTTGGAGGCATCAACATGAGCTTTTGAAATATAATAGCATGCTAATGTTCCAGTTTAAGAAATATGTTTTTTATTTTATGCAAAAACTAAAAACACACATTTTTGGGCAGATGTCAATCTAAAGAAGTGGGCAAACCTAGGAAGGCTGTTTTGCCTGCAAAATGCATAGGTAAAGCCAACATGTGATGCGGATCCTCCATGATGGAAGAATTGAAATTCAATGAATGACAAAGGCAGCCATGGACACTAAGGCTGGAGAGGAAAAGGCTAGATGATAATGGCTGTCCTCTAGCTAGGAAATGAGGCAGGCTCTATTTGACCTGCTCCATCCTTTAATGCACACTGGGAGAAGCACACTGGGACTTAGAAACTTCAGTACAAGAGGGGAGCTTGTACAACTGCACAAGATTGAAGATGTGACTGGAGGTAAACCTGAACAATTTATAAATACTGTTTAACCACTTGCCTACTGGGCACTTTTACCTCTTCCTGCCCAGGCCAATTTTCAGCTTTCTGCGCTCTCATACTTTGCATGACAATTGCGCGGTCATGGAACACTGTACCCAAACTAAATTTTTTTTTTTTTTTTAGGCAAATAGAGCTTTCTTTTAGTTGTATTTATTTTATACTAAACAAACAAAAAAAGGCTAAAAATTTTGAAAAAAAGTTTCTTAGTTTCTGTAAAGTATTGTAAATAAGTAATTTTTATCCTTCACTGATGGGCACTGATAGACTGCACTGATGAGGAGTCACTGATGGGCACTGATAGGCTGCACTGATGGGAACTGTTAGGTGGCACTGATGGGCAGCACTGATGGGCAATGATAGGCAGCACTGATGGGCATTGCTAGGCAGCACTGATGGGCACTGGTTCAACTGATGTGCACTGATTCAACTGATGGGCACTGATGGTTACTGATTCAGCTGATGGCCACTGATTCAGCACTGATTGTCAGCACACATGGGCATTAATGGGCACTATTGGCCACACTGATGATCAGTGCCTTGATGATCAGTGTAGATGTCCCCCTGCGAAATGCCGCTTACTGGCTCTCCCCTCCTCATGCGCTGTTAGCATTTCCTATTTACCCTGTGATCAGCTGTGATTGGACACAGCTGGTCACATGATAAAATCAGCTGTGATTGGCTCATTCCTTAGTCATGTGAACAGCTGTGTCTGAATTAAATTAATTAATAGCAAATGAAATTAATTAATACAAATTAATTTGCTGTTTTGTCATAATTTATTTCGGATCTGTTAAAATTCGTTACTGTTGTGATTCGGATACATCCAAATCTCAGAATCATGAAAATTTTGTCCCAATTTTGACCTGGAATGAAAGGAATTGCACTTATCTAATGTCTAATAGCCTTCTGAACTTTGTCATTTTGATATTTTTTTCTGACTTTCATGGCTGCACAGACAGGAGATTTTAATTGGATCATCTTGTTACCAACATTTGAATTTTTGGAAAATTAGAGCAGCATTGTGCTCAACATCACTTTCCCATTCTCCTGTCAGGAATGGACTCACCACAGGTGGTGCTGGGGCTCACCTGCCTTGTGGGCTGCAGTACCAGTGCTGGCCAGCGGGTGCTCTCAGCAGCCAGAATCTCACTCTTGCAGTCAAGCCATCACCTGAGGCTGATTGCAGGAGGTGTATTTAAGCAATGGCCAGGCCTTCAGTCAGGGCCTTGGTGTTTGTTCCCATGAGCCCCTGTACCTGCATCCTGTCTGATATTCCTGCCTGATATTTCTGCCTGATCTGGACTCTGCTAGAACTCTGCCTGCACCGACCCCAGCTATTCCTGACCACTCTCCTGCCTGCTCCTTTGTACCTTGTCTGACCGATAGTTACCGACCCGGCCTGCCTGACTGCATCTGTGTTCCCGCACATATTGTGATTTGTTGGAGGTTTGGTTTTTGCACTGTGTGTACTATATAGTCTTAATAAATTATATTGTTTTACACCATACTTGAAGCCTGCGTTTCCCTGTGTCAGTCCACACATCTCTGGTCATACCTGGATCCCTGACATCCCCACAAAGTATGGTGTTTATCAGTCCTCCTTACCATCACACTTTTCACAAGTTAGCCTTGGCAGTTATGCTTTTTAGTGTAGTTTATTTGAAAGCACCCCTGCTTGTAGCCTAGTTTAGATCTATTAACTGTATATAGTTTTCAACTATGAGCATGAAATTAATTCATTTTGTTGGTACTTTGTCTCCATACTATCAAGCCCATTTGAAAGTCTTTTAGTGCAGCTAGGTCACTGCAACAGACATCAATTGTCTTGCAAATTGATACGATATTGGCACCCATATAGGAATAATCAAATGACTGTACTGTATACTTCAAAAAAAACCTCTACAAAGAGAACCATCTATATTAGTTTTTCAGCAAGCTCAGAACCCCAGCACTAGGTTATCAGTGTTGTTCGCACATGTCTTTATTATCCAAGTCATATACATCATATTGATAAAGTCTGTGTTTAGTAGAAAGGAATCAGCTAATCATAGCAAAAGAGCAAAGCAAACTAAGGTCTGTACTTGATGGAACTGCATAAATAAATTAATACTTTTGAATATATTTGTTGAAATACATTCAAAAGTATCAATTTATTTTTGAACTGCATCAAGTATAGACTTTAACTTGCATTGCTCTTTTGCTATGGTTAGCTGGTATGCTATGATTCTGGAGGACTTTGTTCCAAATGAATCAATTAATTATTTGTGAACACAAAGTTTTTTGCTAATAGTATCAGGACACTCACTTTGCTCTTTATTATAGATATTGTGCAAAACTGGTTTTCTTCTTGGGGTCTTAAGGTTGTTGTAATGTTTTTACTATTATATGCATTTGTAAGTGCCCTTTTTTTTTTTTTTTTTACCCCACAACAGTAACAAAAACAAGTTTCTCCTATTTGTAGTTAAAAGGGCACTTGAAGATTATGTTGTAGACATGACATAGTACCATTACAAACAAGCCCCAATATAACATTACAAACATGCAACCCTTAGGCCAGCTCTAAGCTGGTGTGCAGTGGTGTGCCAGTCCTCAAAGTGGGACATGCGTTATTCTACAATAAAATTTTCTAAAAGCATTATTACTTCACTAAGCCACTAACCTCCTGGAGTGACGATAAGTGGAGTAAAACTACTATAAACACTTTTGGTTGTAAAGGCAATGTGACTGGTGGCAAGACAGGAATATTTTCCTTCATCTTCTGCTTCTGTGCGTGCAATGTACAAATTCCCTGTCACTTGGGACACAAAGTGTCTACTATCGTTGGCCAAGAAATTAGGAAATTCATTCAACAGCCATCGGTAGGATAAACCTGCAACAAAAACAGATAACAATAAATGTAAAAAAAATCCATAAACAAAAATAGTAAATCCATAATATGCTATTTAATTTTAATTTTAACAAATATTTTAGAGAAGGCTTGGAGAAAGGAAATAAGGATTCTCAGAACTGCTCTTTCCCATACACCATTTTGATTCTGAGTCTACATTGTACAAAGCCACACTCCTCTTCTGCTACATCATCTCACATGTGTCCATTCATCTCATGAATTTGAGTTGATCTTTCTGACTGATGAGCACTACATCCTCCTTCCTGACATTGATGGCTGTCTAGGGAAGTTATTTGCTCCCAGACATCCTGTAGGTTTGTTATGTGACAGAGCGGGGGTTGGTGTCATGAGAAAGAAAGAAGCTTTCCTGCAACGTTCTACCACTAAGTGAAGGATGTTGGTGGCCAGATGCACCATCAATAGGACAGTCTCTCTCCAAATAATAAATATCTGACATGGAATTCTCAAACCATACAATCTCTTTTAACATGCTTTCTCAAATTAGGCAGACATGTCTCCAGACCTGTCAAATTTCCTATTTTTTTCAGGTGCCACCTATAGTAATACCTTTATATCCCACAATGTTATTGTAATCTCCTTGATCTTTTGTACAACTTAAGACTGGAGGCAGCAGACTTAATTGACTAATGATGATAGTATATTTTCTTTTTGTTATTGCTTATTTGCAAGTCCATTAAACAGGTCTAGCTGCAAACTGTGATCTGAAAAAGCAATACAAACAATACAGTGGGAGTTCAGGAGCTAGATATGGTAACCCTGTAAACCTGGGACCAGGCTGCTCTGGTCAGTATTGGGTACTGCTCACAAATGTACACGGATTGTAACGGAAATAACTTATTGCAACAACTAATTAATACAAGATCAGGATAAGACATCTAAAAAAAGATTAGAGGGAGTGCCAGAAGCCTAGAAGGAAAAAAAACCTAAAAGGGGAGATGATAAAGGACAACATACAATAGTGCCATTAGTAGTAACCAGATTTAGGAAGGATCATCCTTGCCAGACCTACCTTTTAACATTCTATGAGGAAGAAAGTTGTAATCTTTATAGAGGAATGCCTGTGGACATTATGTATCTGGACTTGACCAGATCATGTTATCCAGTACCCCCATAAACACTTATTTTACAAATTAAGGTCTATTTGCATTGATGATAGTTTTTTGTGCCTGGATTTTGGGCGTATCATGAAATCAGTGGGCCCATGTGCAAGATCAAAAGAGGGCCCTAGGTATTGAGAAAAATAAAAATAAGGGCGTGCCACGGCGAACAGGAAGAGTGGTTTAAATTGAGCTAAATATTGGGCGTGGCTTAAAGAGGGCATGGCTAAATAGAGTACTTAACAAATCTTGAGTGAAATTAAGAAGCAGTTCATTGCTGGCTGTAGAATACTTACTTACTTCACAGATTTCCTTTAATTTTTTTTTTTTTTTTAATATTGTCCAGCTTTCTTCATTTGGAATACAGGTGCATTAAGATACATTTATGTTGTAAAATGCTGTGTAAACTGTTGGCACTAGTTAAATTCTGTATAATAATAATAATATTAATAAACAAGGAACTCTTCACCTAATCACCAATACAGAGTGTATTGCGGTGGGTGGTGTGTGCACGAAAGGGGGTACAGAGTGTATGGTGATGGGTGGTATGTGCAGGAGATGGGTATGGAGTGTATGGTGGAGGGTATGGTGTGTGCAAGAGAGGGGTACAGAGTCTACGGTGGCAGGTGGTATATGCAGGAGAGGGGTACAGAGTGTATGGTGACAGGTGGGGTATGTACAAGAGAGGGGTACGGGAGTGGGTATGGCGTACAAGAGAGGGGTGTATGCACAGGAGAGGGGGGTACAGAGTGTATTACGGTGGATGGTATGTACAGGAGAGGGGTATGGAGTGTATGGACATGGGTAGTATGTGTATGACAGGGGTACAGAGTGTATGGACATGGAAGGTATGTACAGGAGAGGGGTACGGAGTGTATGGCAGTGGACAGTATGTGCAGGAGAGAGGTAAGGAGTGTATGTTGGTGGGCAGTATGTGCGGGACAGGGGTACAGAGTGTATGGTGGTGGGTAGTATGTGCAGGAGAGAGGTAAGGGGTGTATGTCGGTGAGCAGTATGTACGGGAGAGGGGTACGGAGTGTATGGCAATGGGTAATATGTGCAGGAGAGAGGTAAGGGGTGTATCGGTGGGCAGTATGTACAGGAGAGGGGTACGGAGTGTATGGCGGTGGGTAGTATGTGCTGGAGAGAGGTAAGGAGTGTATGTCGGTGGGCAGTATGTGCAGCAGAGGGGTACAGAGTGTATGGCGGTGGGTAGTATGTGCAAGAGAGGGGTACAGAGTGTATGGCGGTGGGTAGGTGCAAGAGAGGGGTAGTATGGCGCGGTGGGTAGTATGTGCAGCAGAGGGGTATGGAGAGTACATGAGCAGTTGGTGGTAGTACCAGCTGTGAGAAATTAGGAAAGCGAATTATATTATTTCTATTACATGAACTGCTGCAATGGAAGGTGACGATGGAAATGGAGTGCAGAGTTGAAAAGCAGCAGGGGTTGAAGAGAGTGGGATGAGCAATTGAGTGGTAGTGTGAGGACTCCAGCTTGGACAGGATGAAGGAGCAATGAGGTAGGATTGGAATGCTGGCAGTATGAGAGATGGGGCACTTGTAAAAGGATTGCCTAGCATAAAGAGGGATAAGACTAGTAGGTGAATAGCCTGTGGATGGGGAAAGGCTGAGGATGAATTGTCGGCTCAACAAGGGGGAGGAAGGGGGAAGTGGGCTGCTGTGAGTGTAGTGAGAGCCGGACAAGCAGTGGGAGAAAAGAGACTGTGACAGTGAGCAGCTGGTCAGAAGGAACTGGCGTATGGAGTTGTTATCAAGTGTGCAGTGATCTGGGCAGAGATCCCGTCATTTACCTTCTCCAAAACCGATTCCCTCGGAGGTACAGAGGCAGGGGAGGATTGGGCAATGCTGCAGATTCTTCTTGCTAGGCTCCATACAGGGTTTTTTTATGGCCCGATCACTGTGCACAGTGTTGAGTGGTGGCAGCAGCATCCCCTAAGGTCGGAGCTGGCCCGATGGGGCCCCATGTGCTTATCTATGGGTGCACTGTGGGTCAGAGCACAGTGGGCCCCCCCCCCTTCAGGCTTGTGTGCAGTGAATACCTTGCACCCATGGATGATACACCACTGACCTGGCTACAAAACTGTTTACAGGAGTGCATCCAAGAGGTGGTGATAAATAGCATACCTTCTGAATGGTCTGGAGTTGTGATTGGGATGACCCAGGGATTTGTCCTGGGACCAATTCTGTTTAACTTGAACATAAATGTAGGTTGAAATAAATAGTTCAATCTCAGTGTTTGTTGACAATACTAAGCTAAGCAAGATAATAACCTCACAAAAGGATGTGGAAACCTTACAGGAAGACCTCAATAAAATAAAGGGGAAGGCAACTGCATGGTAAATGAGGTTTACTATTGATAACTGTAAAGTAATGCACTTGCAGACTAAAAATATGAAAGTTGTACGCTAGGGGGAAATGCAGGAATCTAGGATGGAAAAGGATCTGGGGGTCCTAGTATATCACAGGCTTAGCAATAGCATGCAATGCCAAGCTGCAGTAAGCAAAGCTAGCAAACTATTAGCATTCATTAAAAAGGGTATTTACTCAAGATATAGGACAATAATTCTACCACTGTACAAAATTCTGGTTCAGCCACATCTTGAGAATGCCATACAGATCTGTTCTCTAGACCTAAGGGGGATGTGCTGGCAATGGAGAGAGTTCAGAGAAGGACAACAAAGCAAAATAATGGGACTGGGGGACCTCAGTTTTGAGGAATGACTACATACATTAAACTTATTTTCCCTGGAGAAGAGATGCTTAAAGGAAACCTCCAAAACCGAGTTTCTTGTCTTCCCCCCAGCCCGGACACCACCCCCCATTGATTTCTCCGTCACATCCAACAACGCTACATCAAACCCGCCCTGCAGGCCAGAGTACTGGGTGTCATTCTGGACTCCAACCTATCCTTCCAGCCCCAATCCAATCTTTAACAAACTCGTGCAGACTCCACCTCCGCAACATCGCCAAAATCCGCACGTTCCTAACCCCAGAAAGCACTAAACAGCTCATCCACTCTCTCATCATATCACGACTCGACTACTGCAACTCCCTCCTCACTGGCCTGCCTCGCCGCTGGCTATCCCCGCTTCAGTCGATCCTGAATACGGCTGCCAGACTCATTCACCTTTCCAACCGCTTTGTCTCCGCCACCCCCCTCTGCCAATCCCTCCACTGGCTTCCGATTGCGCAACGGATCAAATTCAAAATCCTAACACTGACGTACAAAGCTGTCCACCATACTGCCCCGAACTACATCACTGACCTAATATCCAAGTACCGCCCAGCACGCACACTCCGCTCCTCACAAGACCTCCTTCTCTCTAGTTCCCTGGTCTCCTCCTCCCATGCCCGCCTCCAGGACTTCTCCAGGGTGTCACCCATCCTCTGGAACTCCCTGCCCCAACCCATCAGATTATCACCTACTCTCCTCTCCTTTAGGCGCACCCTGAAAACCCATCTCTTCAGGGAAGCCTACCCCACCCCCTGCTAACTTGCCGACCTCCTCCACTCTTCCTACCACTCCATCCCCCACAGCTATCTCCTCCTGTGCCACCATCCCCTTCCTCCTAGATTGTAAGCTCGAAAGAGCAGGGCCCTCGAACCCCTCGTGTATCACATTGTATTGGTATTGTTCTGTCACATGTTCTGTCCCCCTTTGTAATGTACAGCGCTGAGCGAACTATTGCCGCTTTATAAATACTGTATAATAATAATAATAAGTTCACCTTTGGGAACATGTTACATGTTCCACCCGTTTTAAGGGTGGAACATGTAACATGTTCCCAATGCTACAGCCGCTGCCGCAATCCCCCCTCCTCCTCCCTGTGACATCAGTACGGGGAAAAGTTCCCCGTATTAGTTGTCACTTTTTATAAACAGCCCCACATGGCCATGACATTCATTCACAGAGTTCTGTGAATGAATGAACTCCAAGTTCCGACTGTCGGCTTGTAGTTCTCCATGAGTTATTTGGTTCATTTATTTGTCCTGTCAGTATATCTGCTTGCCCATACAAAACCAAAACCAAAATGAAACAACATTTAAAAGCAACCCCATCACCCACAGACAAATTTTAATTCAAACTGTGAAAGTGAGAGCAATCATTCTTGGGCTCGTTCTTGGGCCTCAATTCATGGTTTGTCTCTAAACTTATAACATGTAAAGGCATTCAAAGTGTCACCTATGGACAGTTATGTATGGCTTGCTCAGTTCTAAGGCTTGCTATGTCTCGTATCTACAGTATTTACTTGACAAAAACCTATTTTTATATTTTACCAAAAAATGGGTATTGTACTGTGTTCTAAAATAAATTTTAGTGTAGTTTTTCCTGAAAATATGCATTTATTGTTGCACAAATATAATGTAATATAAAACATAAGTCATTTAATTCTACAGGGCCTGTGCTGTCAGAAATTATACAATTTTTGAGAATGTTATATCATTTTCTAGAAAAAAATGCAGATTTTAACATGTGTGTGTGAAAAATGTAAAAAAAAAAAATGCAAAGTAGGTGCATGTTTATGTTCCTTACAGGGTCTACTTCTCACTCCATTATCTCATTAATCCATAGGCGAAAAAAAAAGGAAGGAGGTGCTACATTAACCATTAAAGCTTAATTATCTATCACAGTCTCCTGGTCCATTGAGAGCAGTGCAATACTCATTTGGTAGCATGCTGATAAAACAAAGCCCACCCACACAAAGCATTTTGTCAGCAAACCGCTTCTTCAGGAGTATCATGCAAGACAGCTTCTAGAGCTACCACATATATTACATTGATCCTCTACTCTTTTCCCCTATGCCCTTACCTTAACCACTTGCCCTCCAGAGGATTTACCCCCCTTCCTGACCAGGCAATTTTTTTGCGATATGGCGCTGCGTTATTTTAACTGACAGTTGTGCAGTCATGCAACACTGTACATAAATTAAATTTATGTCCTTTTTTTCCCACAAATAGATCTTTCTTTCGGTGGTATTTGATCACCTGTGCAGTTTTTCTTTTTTGCACTATAAACAAAAAAAGACCAACAATTTTGAAAAACAAAAACAATATTTTTGACTTTTTTCTATAAAACGTATCCAGTAAAAAAATGTGAATTTTCAAATTTAGCTTTCTTTCAGTGGTATTTGACCACCTGTGTGTTTTTTATTTTTTGCACTATAAAAAAAGACTGACCATTTTGAGAAAAACTATATTTTTTACTTTTTACTATTAAACATGTCCAGTAAAAAAATTAAAAAAAACAAATTTGTTCATAAATTTAGACCAAAATGTATTCTGCTACATGTCTTTGCTAAAAAAAAATCCCAATACATGTAAATTAATTGGTTTACGTGAAAGTTATAGCATTTACAAATGGCAGTATATATACTGGAATCATTTTTTTTTTTTTACTTGTAATGCCTGGACTGCAGCGGGCATTCTGACACTGGGTGGGAACTGATTAACTGCCACTGACATCCCCCAGTGACACTAATACAGTTATCAGTGCTAAGAAAAAGCACTGACACTGTACTAATGACACTGGGCAGGAGGTTAACATCTGGGGCGATCAAAGGGTTAACTGTGTGCTGTGTGCTGTTTTACATAGTGTGCTGTGTGTGTTTTACTTGGGAGACATGCTGCTGTGTATTTCTCTGCTGTGCAGAGAAATACACAGCAGTATGTCCTTGCTTACACACAGGTCTCTCCCCTGTCAGCTTTGCGCAGCAATCACCAGGTGCCGGCAGGGAATCTCTGGCCGGGACCCAGTGATTGGCATGCCAATGGCGGCATGGGTAGGGCACCGCACATGCGCGCCCCCTACCCAGGAATACAAATCACGTATATATACATTGATTTTGCGCAGCCCTGCCACCCTGTAGCAGTAATTCTACTATAGGGCCGTGGGCAAGCGGTTAAACTAGTTGTAAACGTAAAAGGTTTCTAACTTAATGCATTCTTTGCATTAAGGTAAAAAAAGTTTTACCTGCAGCTCTTTCCACAACCCCTCGCCATGTTGTTTTAGTTGAAAAACCTATTTACAATTGCTTTAACTATTGTACCTCTGTATTTTTGAATGAACTGCCAATGAACAAACTCTCCCATCTGTGCATTGAGGTGCTATGCAATGCATGTGTTCTGGAGTGCAATTCAAAATGAATCACATTGCGCTGCCAGTTGTGCAATTACCATATGCTGCAGTAATATAAAAAAGGTGTTTTTGCAGATTACTGCAAAGCAGAAATTGAAAGCCTGTCTCAAAGGTCTCAGAGTACAGGAAGGCAACATATGGGGGGGGGGGGGTTAAAGTGATTCCCCCATCACATTCTGCAGCCAGTAGGGCTGCGGAATAAAGTCCATTCAAGTGAATGGGACTGTGCCTCAATTGCCCCAGTGCGGTGGTATGGCATTTCTCATTACTAATAAGTTGTAAATAAGATCTGTTTATTGAATAAGGCAGGTAGTAGCAATTGTACTGTACATTACCAGATTTACACAAGAGACTGTCCAATCAAGTAAAACCAGCTAACTCTTAGTTTCTCTCTCTAAGCGGACGTTTTGGCACAATTTTGGCACAATGAATACCTGGATAATGCTGTGGAGGGTTACATGGCAACATAATTCCTTGTCCTTCTGTTGTCTTCACTTGATCTCTCTCTCTGGTGAAAACTCAAGCAAATCTGTGGAAACCAAATAATATAGTCATGCAAAAGTGTAGCATGCTAACTGAATATTAAAACTGAATTCCTGTCATCATGGAAAAAATATTGTGTGGTGCCTCCACCTCCTAAAATGGTAAGGTTTAAATGCTTGTTTAGGTCTAGTTTGGTTGTGATATACAATGGAATCTGTATGTATTCCCTGTGCTTTAGTGGGTTTTCACCACGTACTCCGGTTTCCTCCCCCACTTCAAAACCATTTTGGAATGTTGATTGACTCCTGTGAACACTGGTCCTAGCATGTGTGTGTATGCACGTGTGACAGTGGGCTTAGACTGTAAGCTCCTTGAGGGTAGGGACTGATGTGAATGTCCAATATATAAAACGTTGTGCCACTGTAACACGTGTGGGTGAGAAGGGTAGACCACATTTATTTTTAAATGCTTTAAAGCAGAGTTCCACTCATAAGTGGACGCTAAGCTTATTTGCCTCCTGCCCCTCTCCACTGCCATATTTGACACATTTTGGGGGGGGAGTCGATACCTGTTTTTGACAGGTACCTGCTCCCATTTCTGGCTCAGTTCGCCGCCGCCGCAGTGAGATGGAAGTTGGGCCTCTTCCTCCCTCCCGCAATCTCCTGGGAACCTTCACAGGTCCCAAAAGACTGCCGGACCAATCAGGATGCGCAGGGTGACTCACGCATGCAGAGTGGGTACCCGTCTGTGAAGCCTCAACCTGTCACAGCCTGGTGCCCACAGTTGTGATGCCAGCAAGAAGAGGCAGAGGAGGGACGGCACGGGTGAGCACATAGCTGGATCCCGGGACAGGTGAGTGTGTTTATTAAAAGTTAGCAGCTACAGTTTTTGTAGCTGCTGACATTTAATAAACAGAAAACTGACTGGAACTCTGGTTTAATTTCAGCTTTAAAGCCCAATTAAGGTCTCCTATCTTTTTAGTTAAAAGTCTAATACCCCCATACTTTAGCCCCTTGATGCTGACGTCAGATAAATATGTGGCCTCATGGAACTGGCTTTTTTCCGTGGGGCCGCATATTTGCGTACCTGTCTTTGTGCACAGTGCGCTCCCAGCACAAAGACCGCAGTGTCACTGAGAGCCCTGAGTCCCGTTCTAACGATCAGGACCCGGGACTCCCGATTCCGGGTCACATAATCGCTGTGATAGCCTCTGATTGGCTATCACAGTGATCAGGCACTGTACAGCCTGGCCCCCTTGTTTTTTTCTCTCTCTATGAATGGAGGAGAGAGATACATTGTATCTCTCTAACTCCTGGCATAGAGGGGAAAAAAAAATGTTTGTAAAAAAAATAAAAAATAAATAAATAATAAAAAAATAAAATAAAAAATAAAGAAAAAATACCTAGATCAAGGTTTGATCTAGTTCAGTGTCAGGGTTAGTGTTTGGGTCAAGGTCAGAGTCAAAGGTCAGGATTTAAAAAAAAAATTGGTATCAGTGTCAGTTAATGTCAGTGTCAGTGTCAGTGTGTTTTAGTTGAAAAAAAGAAAAAAACAAAATGCGCACTATTGTTTCTGGACTGTACTATGGTACAAACAAAAAATAACATACACATATATGGCATCGCTGTGATCATCAAGAGCTGGAGAATTTATTTTGGGTTGTTCTTTGGTGGTAGGTTATGGTAGTACCAAGAAACACACAGCTAAATTAAAAAAAATATTTTTTTTTTTACTATTTTGAGACAGTTTTCCTTTGATAATAAAAAAAATCAGGAGATATCCATTACCATTTACCACCAAATGAAAGCCCAATTTGTTCTGAAAAAAAACAAACAAAAAACCCCCCCAAAAAACAAGGTATAATTCACCTGGATGTACAAAGTAGTTGTGATGATATGTACGGTTTTACTAACACATGTCAACGTTGCAAAATTGTGCTTACGCATTTAGATTTGTTTTACCCTTAGACGTGAAGGGGTTAATTTGCAACTGAATTTTGTTCCCTGCCCTCTAACTCCAGTGTTTTATGCTGGCAGAGGTTGCATAACAGCCACACAACTAGGAAAAGGTGTCATCAGCTAGACTTGAAATGCAGGGGATGTCAGTTTAGCTGATTGCTGAGAGCACTAGGTTGAGTTGCCTATTGAACTGCACAGTCATATGAAGGCTTCCTGTAGAATTGCTGTTACAGGAAAGTGGAGGTAAGATTATAAAAACAGTAGCTGCCAGCATAATGTCTGTGTAACTGCATATAATTTCTGTGACTTCAAATTGGTTTTAATGCTATGTTCTGGGTATCCTGCTTACATCCAAATCGTAGTGATGCTTCATTGCTGAGCACAGTTCCCAATGTGTTAGAGGCAACGCACTGATAGGTCCCCGCATGTTTCGTCTGAGTAGGGTTAGAGATGGCCAGGTTGCCTCCAAATAAGCGGTAACTAGAATTTTCAGCAAGGTTCAGATCTGTGCCATTCAGCTTCCATCTGCAAGCAGAACCAATAAAGACAATGTCAATGACAGAGCATTTCCATTTTCTTAACTAATTTGCAGGATTCCATACAGTTTTAATCTTTTCAAGTTGGATATAATAACTTAGTTTCTTACTAAAAGTGTTTTTTTTTTTATTTTCTTTTTTTTGGGGGGGGGGGGTACATTTTAAACTTCTGGAATTACTTTTTTATATATAATGTTACAGTTGTGCTAAAAAGTTTGCATACCCTGGTAATATACTGTACAGTATGTACCATTTTTAACCACTTCAATAACGGGCACTTTTACCCCCTTCCTGCCCAGGCCAATTTTCAGGTTTCAGCTCTCTCACACTTGGAATGACAATTTTAGCATTTTGTTCACACAAACTAGAGCTTTCTTTTGGTAGTATTTAATCACTTTCGCTGGGTAGTATTTTTTAATCACCGCTGGGGTTTTTATTTTTTGCTAAATTAACAAAAAAAAGACTGAAAATTTTGAACAAAACACCACATTTTTCTTTGTTTCTGTTATAAAAGTTTGCAAATAAATAATTGTTCTTCATAAATTTAGGCCAAAATGTATTCTGCTACATTTCTTTGGTGAAAACAACCCAATTACTTATTTAGTCTGTAGGAAAGTTATAGAGTTCACAAACTATGGGATATACAGGTGAAACTCGAAAAATTAGAATATCGTGCAAAAGTTCATTTATTTCAGTAATGCAACTTAAAAGGTGAAACTAATATATGAGATAGACTCATTATATGCAAAGCAAGATATTTCAAGCCGTGATTTGTCATAATTGTGATGATTATGGCTTACAGCTCATGAAAACCCCAAATCCGCAATCTCAGAAAATTAGAATATTACATGCAATCAATAAAACAAGGATTGTACATCGAACAATATCGGACCTCTGAAAAGTATAAGCATGCATATGTACTCAGTACTTGGTTTGGGCCCCTTTTGCAGCAATTACTGCCTCAATGTGCATGGACGCTATCAGCCTGTGGCACTGCTGAGGTGTTATGGAAGACCAGGATGCTTCAATAGCGGCCTTCAGCTCTTCTGCATTGTTCAGTCTCATGCCTCTCATCTTTCTCTTGGCAATGCCCCATAGATTCTCTATGGGGTTCAGGTCAGGCAAGTTTGCTGGCCAATCAAGCACAGTAATCCTACAGTCATTGAACCAGGTTTTGGTGCTTTTGGCAGTGTGGGCAGGTGCCAAGTCCTGCAGGAAAATGAAGTCAGCATCCCCATAAAGCTCGTCTGCGGAAGGAAGCATGAAGTGCTCCAAAATCTCCTGGAAGACGGCTGCGTTGACCCTGGACTTAATGAAGCACAGTGGACCAACACCAGCAGATGACATGGCTCTCCAAATCAACACAGACTGTGGAAACTTCACACTGGACTTCAAGCATCTTGCAGTGTGTGCCTCCCCATTCTTCCTCCATACTCTGGGTCCTTGGTTTTCAAATGAGATGCAAAAGTTGCTCTCATCTGAAAAGAGGACATTGGACCACTGAGCAACAGACCAGGTTTGTTTTTCTTTAGCCCAGGTAAGACGCTTCTGACCTTGTTTGTTGTTCAGGAGCTGCTTGACAAGAGGAATACGACATTTGAAGCCCATGTCCAGGATCCATCTGTGTGTGGTGGCTCTTGATGCACTGACTCCAGCCTCAGTCCACTCCTTGTGAAAGTCCCAAACACTTTTGAATGGCCTTTTCCTGACAATACTCTCCAGGCTGTGGTCATCCCTGTTGCTTGTGCACCTTTTTCTTCCACTCTTTTCCCTTCCACATAACTTTCTATTAATGTGCTTTGATACAGCACTTTGGGAACATCCAACTTCTTTTGCAACTACCTTTTGAGGCTTTCCCTCCTTATGGAGGGTGTCAATGATGGTTTTCTGCACAACTGTCAGGTCAGCAGTCTTTCCCATGATTGTGATTCCTACTGAACCAGACTGAGAGACCATTTAAAGGCTCAGGAACCCTTTGCAGGTGTTATGGCTTAATTAGCTGATTAGAGTGGGACACTTTGAGCCTAGAATATTTCACCTTTTCACAATATTCTCATTTTCTGAGATTGTGGATTTGGGTTTTTAATGAGCTGTAAGCCATAATCATCACAGTTATGACAAATCACGGCTTGAACTATCGTGCTTTGCATGTAATGGGTCTATCTCATATATTAGTTTCACCTTTTAAGTTGCATTACTGAAATAAATTAACTTTTGCACGATATTCTAATATTTCGAGTTTCACCTGTATCTGAAAATTGATCAATCCTGAAGTACTGACAGCCAATTTCTTGAGGCCCAAAAATTTCAGAACAGTACAGATATCCCCCAAATGACCCCTTTTTGCACAGTAGACAGTCCGACGTATTTCATAAGAGGAATGGTGAGTTTTTTGAAGTTATAATTTTTTTTTGTCATAATTTTTTTTTTCAGAAAATTAAGTTTTGGTGATCAGGGACACTGACTGTTGACAGTACGAAAACTAAAAATTTTTCATTTGTTTTCAATTTTTTAATTTTTTAATTTTTTTTTTAAGATTGTTTTTCATATTGCGCTATGACAAAAGTAATCAGTATTTTTTTTTTTTTTTTTACACACTTTGATTGACTATAGCAAAGAATTTCTTTTTGCTACAAGCAAGCATTTATCTGAATGAAATTGATTCATTCAGGCTTTTTTGTTGTGATTAGCTGTGATTGGCCATGGCTAATCACATGACACAGATGGGCTGTGATTGGCCCAGCCAGTGCATTTGATTGCTGTGACCATTCACAGCTAGACACACTTGTATACAACGGATGGCATGAAAGGAAGCCATCCATTGTATACAACTGTCATGTGACCTGCTGTGATTGGTCGCAGCAGGTCACATGACACTGGTAAAGGGGCCGGTATACAGATCTGTCATCAGCCATGTCCGAGGTACACGGCCGGTGACAGATCTCCCCGCAGCATGGCCCTGCAGGCATGTACAATGCGCGTCCCGGGAAGGACGCCAAATGGCGATTGGGCGGCAACTGATTAAAGAGAACATGAGTGAGCAGGCAAAACACATTTCTTTTATTTCTTATGGGATTCATATTCTACTGTAGGTCATAACAGAATGGCACAATCATAAAACAAACCATGGCAACAAGTAAACAAATGAAATGAACCCTGTTCAAAAACAAACTTTTGAGCACAATTTTATATAATTTATGCAATGAGCACCCATGATACTGCTATCACAGAGCACTATGGGTTTTCTGAAGAGGCAGCTCAGCAGTAGTTGTTTACTTTCAAGCTGTCTCTTTCTAATTGAAAGTCTGTATGAAGCCATACAGAGCAGAAAGAGAAGGTTACGATGGGGACAGGAGTCACTTCTCTGAAAATGTAGTTGTATTTGTATTTATTTAGAGCTTAGAACTATCCCAATTGTTTAAAACTAAATTTAAAGTATTGCAGAATACCAATTCCTATACATGGCGGCTGTATTTGTTCTTTTTTTTTTTTTAAAGCAGTTTTCCTTAATTTTTTCATCTGATGATCCAGCCAGTAAGTCTGTCCGGGCAGTACATCTTTCAACTTCTTTTAATAAACCAAGCTGTACAGCAAAAAGTGGCAGTTGAGAGTATTGAGACAAACCATTTACCAATGATGGGTGATATCATTGTTTAGCTTGTATTCATTTCTCTGACACCCTTTAGGAAATCCCCAGATTATCTTTTAAATGCTTTTGTGCTTATTCAAGAGGATTACTGTAACATGAAGGTCTGGCACCTTATGATGCGTATATTCTCCCAGCTGGTTTAGTACATACATGTTTTAATTACATGCTACAATATTCTTATGTATGTTATTACATATTTTATTTTTGCAAGAATACAAAAGGTATATAGGCTTGGGCCCTGGACCTCCACTACAGTTATACAGTAGAGTCTGACCCAGAAAACACACCTCTACCTATAGACTGAACAAAAAAAGAACAGCAGCAAACATGAACTATACCTGCATGCTTACCTTCAACTAAACATCACAGTGTAAATTGACAGCACTGAGCATTGCAGCACAATACAGCTTATGCTCCTCTTCCTTTCCTAATCAGACATCTACTATTTTTATTACCAATTACCAATACATTTCAGTTTGTCTGTTGTTTATATGATTTACGGTGACACTTCTCCAAAGCTTTCTCGGATATAAAGCTATTGCTTTTCATTTGATATACTATATATATCCACAAAAAAAAAACACCATGTTATTTGCAAGCTATGTATAATGGCCCTTTACTATTACCAGACTCCAAAGTGCACTGCATTGAACTGGACTCTGTTCCCCCATTGATGAGCGGGAAAGTGTCTGTGTTGTGCTTATCAGCAGTTTTCCTTGGATGGAATAAAAGACCTTTTAAAGAACTAGTGCTTTTAATGGTGGTAGATGCTTCATGTAGATGCTTCAGTATATACTATAGCATATGGTTGAATGTGCCTCTTATGAATTCACATATTATATCCCAAAAATAAGCAATACATAATAGTAAGATTACCACATAAAGTGCAAATACCATTAACCAGTATGTTAAAAAAGGAACAAGGAAGGTGCATTACACAGGAAAGAGGGATAAAGGCTGTGAAGGGGGGGGGGGCAGAAGGGGCATATGCCATGGGCACAGTGATGTAATGTGGAAGGGGGGCTCCAGTGACATCGCTAGTGCCAGTACCCAGGGCATCTCTTATGGTTTGCCCCAGGCTCCTCCTTCACTCTGATGTGTCTTATGGTAGAACATAAGAAGGGGTCTGAGAAGAAGTCATCACCTAGCCATGCAGTATCTGACATCTGTGATGGGATGGGAGAATGGGGGGGGGGGGGGGGGTAGAGATTTATGGTGGCATTTGTACTAGGAGCAAGGGTGGAGTGGAGTTGGGAGGGGGTGGAGAGATTTTGTGCTTGGGGGGGTAGGGAGGGGGTTATGTATGCTGGGATGGAGGACTTGGGGGGATGGAGATTTGTGCTGGGAGGGTGGATTAGGCTGGTTCTTTTTGTTTTGTACTTCTGACCCTGACAGTGCATTTCACAGTAATATTTCCTGTATTCTGTCCATTACATACACCTGTGTTTTATATACTCATAAACCCAGCACTGACTTTAGAACTTTGTGTTACTTACTCCAGACCCTTAAACTCTTTGCATTACATACCCCTGACTCTTGCACTCCACGTTATGTGTTCCTAAACCCGAACTGACTGCAGCACTTCGTACACTTATATATTCCTGACCCTTGAACTCTTTGTAGTACACATCTTTGATTCCTGCTGTTGTGACATGTATCCCTAAACCCAACACTGACTGTGTTATGTACACCTGACCCCTACACTCTTTGCATTACAGACTCCTGCATTATATACTCTATATTGTACATTACATACTGCTCACCAAAATGTTCTTTGTCTGAACAGTTGCCCAGTTAGTAAGTAGTCCCTATTTCTTTAAGGCAAGCTCAGACAGTATTAGCTTTGTCTATTTTCGTTATGCATTGATAGAATATGTAATGGAAGCTATTTTTTACATTTTAATTATTGTGCTGAGGTTTATATGGGTGTTTGAGACTTATGCTTGTGGCACAACAATCAAAGCAGCTCATAGCTGCTGGAGGGAAGATTCTGGTCTCTTCTCCCTTCCAGTAGCAGCCTACTGCCAGCAAAATAGAGTGGGCACTGAGAACAAACCTTAGACATATCTTGACATATCTTGAGGACTGAGGGAAATTACACATGTACATTTTTAGAAATAGTTAATATTAAAAAACATAAAAAAATAAGGCTTATTAAAAAGTGTCTACAATAGGGATAAGTGAATTGGTGCTTGATGGATTCTCAGGGCATTCTTCAAATCTATTGTATAGTCTGAAATTGCGAACTTAAATCTGACTCCCAATTTGATAAAAAATATATATGTATATACCATGGGGATAAGGTGCCTTTAAGTGGTGTTACAGAATAGTACAATTTGTACAGACAGTGTCATCGACATTATATGCTGGCATCATTTATTTTGCATGTGTAATTGATTTTTTAAATTTAAAAATATTGCTGGGTTTAGATACAGCAGCGGCAACAGCACCCTTGTCTGGATCATTACAACTCAAAAAAGGCTTTTTTAGGTAGTCTGGAATGCAACCTAAATTTACTGGTGGAAGTAGCAGCCACAACAGATCTGAACTCTATGGGAAAATGTTCTCTTAAAAAAGCAAACATGAAGTCCTCAACTGCATATAAATTGGTCAGCGTCAGAACAGCTTAATAGTATGAGCTTCCTTTTCACAGTAGTGACTGCATTGTGTTCAAAGTTTAAAAAAAATAAAAACAGAGTGCAAAAAGCACTTTGAAACCTCAGGACCACAGTCCACCAAATTCCCAAACCCCATCCCATCCTTGTGTCTCCAAATATTCTCAAAAACTAAAAATTAGACTTCAGGTATGTGTTTGGAAAAAAATGGCTAGTGCCATGACAGTGCATGAGCACCTGAATAGGCTTCAAATACAAAGAACTCTGAGTTCAGAGTGCAGCATACACCTCAATGAAGCATGGCAGCCACTTTCTTTTACAGAGCTGCTAAACAGCCCTTTTCCTCTTCAGGAGCACCCCCTGACCCCTGGAGACATGGTTGGTACTCCCAAAGAGAGGGGGGACTGGCATCATACCTCAGGATGTAGATCTCTTAGGCAATATTCGGAAATGTGAACAGATGGATGCCAGTCACTTTTAGGTGAAACAAAAAAGTAGTTTATTATTCACAGTCCACCGGCGAGAGGGAGTTCAGAACACCCATACTGACCTGCAAGCTCAATAGCACAACAATAGATTCAAGTATAGGAAAAGGGCCTTTAATATGGTTCTAAAGGCTGAAGTTTTTTCATTCTAAACTGAAAGGTAGACAATAAAAAAAAGATTAATAACTAAAAAAAACTAGGGATGGGGGTAGGAGGTCAGATATTACCACATGAATATACGGGTTGTTGGGTCTATGCATTGTAAGCACAGATGGGTACACAGTAAAATGTAGTCCACAACCTGCAATTCACAGTAATGTGGCAAAATACTGCACTGTTTATACTGGCACATAAGAAAATCCCCGTTATTGACCCTTTTAAGCTACCTGACCACAGTATAAAAGGCCAGAAAGTATAATATTAACATTATAGTGGTGAAAGGTCGCATTAGTTGGTCGGGTTCTAAAACCTTGAAAAAGCTGGGTTTGCTGCGATACTATGCTCAATCTGAACTTGAAGCTCATCTCTAATCTGCAAAAACTCTCAGTTAACTTTAATTTCCTGCATAGAAGCCATAGAATATGCACAATCATTTTAGCCTAGTCGTTGCTGATTTAATAGTCAAATTATTTATTTATTTATGTCTTTTCTCTAATCTTTTTTTAATTTTATATGCTCAAGTATTTTTTTCTATTTATTTTTTTTATACAAAAAAAATCTTCTTCAAAAAAATATAATTTTATTTATGCAAATATGGAAATCCTCCCCATATATGAACAAGTCATGCCCTAACTGCCACCTTGCTGACTGTCATCAAAATTCTTCTGATATGCAGATTAGAGAAAAAGGCTATGACTCCAGCTAATCTGCTAGCTACAGACATATTTATTTCTCTTTTAATTAACTGTACTTTGACACCCTTAATTAGAGCCAGAGGGTCATTCATTAAATATAAATCCAATATGCTTTGTAAGGTTGGAGTAGACAACTAACCGCTCTAATATATTAGTGGCATTGCACTAGTGGATGCTAATAATGTACTATGTCAGAATCCAGAAAGTGAAGGCTCTAGGCTGCTAAATAACAGAGGCAGAAAAAGCTCCATTATATTGTAACTAATGTGAAGAATTTTAAATTTTCTTCAAATGAAAGAATTTTCAGCAATTTTAATTCACTATCCCCATCCCTGAAGTAGAATTAAAGTGAATGTAAAGCCAAAAAATTTTTTTTAGATTCGGGTAGGGTGGTGAGGGGTGAGAAACCCCTGTTAGATTGTTATTGTTGTCTCTTTCCCCACTGGGTATATTTTCTCTATTTCTCCTGACCACCACTGTCAACAGGGCTAAAATGATTGAAAATCCAAAAATTTGAGCTGTCACCAGGACAGGAGTAGAAAGGAAATCTTCCAATTGGGACACATAATCCAGTAACAATTGTCTATGAAGGGATATACCTCATTTGGAGAGATTTTCTTCAATTCCTGTGGCATCTATGGCACAGGATTTGAAGAGATATCTCCTCAATGTAACAAAGCTGACAAAGAAACTTGAAAAGCATCTTAAAAATTCCCTACTTTACAAATAATGATAATAAAAAAAGTTTTGTCTTCGTATGAACATCACCCTTAGTAACGTTTTTTTAATAAATCCCCTCATGCCATTACATGTAGTAGCTCATCTAGGATAATACTTACCTTCCTCCTTGATCCAGGGATCTTTCCTCCAACAAGGTCCTGGGCTCTTTGTGCCACACCGTGTACACCACTATGGGTAAGTCATACTCATGGTGAACTCCAGCAGTTCCTTGTAGTACGACTTACTACATGAAATGAATGGGTCGAGGCAGGGGTGGACTGACAACTCATGGGGCCCCCGGGCAATAGGGGATCATGGGGCCCCTGTGCCCTTGCCCAAACTCAAAAAAGCCTATGAAAAAGGTACCAGGGGCATCTCATGGGGCCCCCTACTGACCCCGGGCCCTCGGGCAGTGCCCGAGTTTCCAAATGGTCAGTCCGCCCCTGGGTCGGGGTGCTCATATACAGCATGAAGAAGCGACAGAGAAAGGGTCACTGACAATGATGTGTCCTTGCTTCTTCTTTAAACAGCTTCTATTTACTACATGCTAAAATCAGGTATTAATCTATAGCTACTATATTACACATTGTATTGACACATGAAAAGAGAAAGGCATAGGGAAGACAAAAAACTGTCATTTTATTTGCTAATAGTACTCTATGGTAGATGTATGCAGATTCCGCAGGAATTACAAAATCCCTAACATGCACAATGCAGTAGTGAATAGCTAATGTAATGGTTTGTGCTTTCTTTGCTTCCTAAGGTTGATTGTATCCTCCAGAGTTTTGAAACAAGCAAATCAGTATTATTTTAAAACTAAAAAAGTGATTAATGAATAGTATAATATAATGGCATCAGGTGGCACTCTAGTCTAACTAGTTTGACTGATATAATCTGTTAAAATAAAAATAAAAAACTTTGTGTTTACAGTACATTATAGCTCAACCTTAAATTTACACACAAAACTACAGAGTGTGAGAAGTGTCTCTTTCCCTTCCTACAAATGCTGCCTAATTCTGTTCAGAAAAGTATGTACAATGTTTTGTACAGAGATATAGATAGAAGGTTTTTTTTAAAATAATATTTGTTTCAATTTAACCACTTATTGAATTTTAGTTACCCTAATAAGTCATAATTAACTCCTTCTTCCCCCTTTATTTATTTTGCTAATGGCTTTTACCAGAATTATAATTTTAATGTCAACTTCACACAGCTGTTCTCAGGTTTTTCAGGTGGACCTCATTAGAAGGTCCATTCATCCCTATAGAAAGGGCGGGTGTAAATGAACTTGTGTCCATTTACACATGCCTACCTTCGGGTCCAATTGGGTCTGTTAAAAAAAAAAACAGAAGGGGATCCATCCTCTCCTTTTTTGGTGGAGCGGACCGAAGGGTAGTCGGGTATAAACGGACATCAGAGTCTGTTTATTCCTGGTTGCCCATAGAGCAGAGCGGGCACCATTCGTGTCTGCTCTGTAGAAACTGAACAGACACAGATATGTCATCCACCTACTCTGCTCGATCAGCGGGGGATCTGTGATTTGATCCCCTGCTAATTGGAATTGAATCTGCCCTGTGTGAAAAGCGCTTATAAGAGGTCAAATTATACAGTATGATTATACCTGCAGTAACTTTATTTCATGAAAACTAACACTGATTAAGCAGAAAAAATTAGATTTTCTTTTATTTAGCTTTGTTACTCTGTTATATTAAGTAAATTAGGTTATTGCTGAATAAAAAGGCCAAAAGCAGAAATGTAAAAAATGTTCTGGAACATGGGGGTGCAAAAGATGTAGTGGTCAATAATCTTTCTGAACTGACTTTTTTATTTGAATCTTTAAAAAGTCAATAATTTAATGTGTGCAATCATTTCAGCTGGTTCATGCAATAAAAAATGAGAGGGAAAGTTGTTTTAGTCCTCATCAGGATAGCTGCCTCGGATATCAAAGCTGCATTTCCATAAATATAGTACAGTGAGTGAGTATTGTCATTCTAGGTCAGTAAGTGTTACCGACAGGGTCATCAGAAAAAAATAAAGAGAAAACAAGCTTTATAAAAGAAAATGATTGCAGCCACCACATCTAAGGACAGATAATATGCAATAGATACACTATATTGTCAAAAGTATTGGGACACCCCTCCAAATCATTGGATTCAAGTGTTCCAATCACCTCCATGGCCACAGGAGCTCAGTGAATTCAAGCGTGGTTCTGATGATAGGTTGCCACCTGTGCAAAGAGTCCATCCATGAAATTTCCTTGCTACTAAATATTCCTCAGTCAACTCTCAGTGGTATTATAACAAAGTGGAAGCAACTGGGAACAACAGCAGCAACTCAACCACAAAGTGGTAGACCACGTAAAATGACAGAGCAGGGCAGCATGTACTGAAGTGCACAGATAAGTCGCAACCTGTCTGCAGAGTCAATAGCTAAAGACCTTCAAACTTCTTGTGGCCTTCAGATTAGCACAACAGTGCATAGAGAGCTTCATGGAATGGGTTTCCATGGCTGAGCAGCTGCATCCAAGCCTTACATCGCCAAGTGCAGTACAAAGCTTCGGATGAAGTGGTGTAAAGCACACCACCACTGGACTCTAGAGCAGTGAAGACGTGTTCTCTGGAGTGACGATTCATACTTCTCTGTCTGGCAATCCGATGGAAGTGTCTGGATTTGGCAGTTGCCAGGAGAACGGTACTTACCTTACACTGCATTGTGCCAAGTGTAAAGTGTGGTGGAGGGGGGATAATGGTGTGGGGTTGTTTTTCAGGGTTTGGGTGTGGCCCCTTAGTTCCATTGAAGGGAACTCTTAAGGCGTTAGCATACCAAGACATTTTTTGGACAATTTCTTGCTCCCAACTTTGTGGGAACAGTTTGGGGATGGCCCCTTCCTGTTCCAACATGACTGCAACCAGTGCACAAAGTAAGGTCCATAAAGACATGGATGAGTGAGTTTGGGGTGGAGGAACTTGACTGGCCTGCACAGAGTCTTGACCTCAACCCAATAGAACACCTTTGGGATGAATTAGAGCGGAGACAGTGAGCCAGGCCTCCTCGTCTGACATCACTGCCTGACCTCACAAATTCACTTCTGTAAGAATGGTCAAACATTCCCATAGACACACTCCTAAACCTTATGGACAGCCTTCCCAGAAGAGTTGAAACTGTTATAGCTGTAAAGGGTGGGGCAACTCAATATTGAACCCTACGGACTAAGACTGGAATGTCATTAAATTCTATGTGCATGTAAAGGAAGGCGTCCAAATACTTTTGGCAATATAATGTGTGTTTTGTACTCTTGTGTTTAGACATATTTTAATATAAGTAATATGTAATCCCTAATCCAGAATTTCATATGCTTGATATGTGTCTGCTGTACCATGTACTTGTATGAAAAAGTATCCTCTTCTCCTTTGTGTGAAATTGCCCTATAGCAGAAATACTGCTACAGGGCGGCATGGATGCGCAAAATCACGTATATATACATGATTTTGCATTTCTGGGTAGGGGGCATGCAGCCTTACCCGTGCTGCCATTCGCGACCACGGCTGTCAATCACCGGGACTTGGCCGGTGATTACTCACCAGTGCCTACTGATTACCAAGTACCTCCGATGGGGAGGAAAACTGTTTTGTTTACTTACAGTTCTCCTCCCTGTCAGCTTGAGCACACTGCTTTGGATGGCTGTGCACAGCACAGCCATCCAAAGCAGTGTGCTTACAGTGAAGCCCACTGACACCGCCCCCTAGTAAAACACACCCAGCACAGAGTTAACCCTTTGATCATCTCTCATGTTAACCCCTTCCTGCCCAGTGCCATTAGTACAGTGTCAGTGCTTTTGTTTAGCACTGATCACTGTATTGGAGTCACTGGGGATGTCAGTGACACCAAGTCAGTTCCCCCCAGTGTCAGAATCTCTGCTGCAGTCCCGCTATAAGTGGCTGATCACCACCATTACTAGTGAAAAAAAAAAAAAATCCCAATATATATACTGACATTTGTAAATGCTATAACTTTCACGTAAACCAATTAATTTACACATACTAAGATTTTCTTTAGCAAAGACATGTAGCAGAACACATTTTGGCCTAAATTTATGACAAAATTTGATTTTTAAAATAATTTTACTGGACATGTTTAACCTCCTGAGCAGTTTTCCCAAGTGTAGCTCGGGGTAAAATTTCAATACCAAGAGCGGTAACCCCGAGCTACACTCGGGCTTACCATGCGGCGTTGCTCAGGGAGTCCCTGCAGCACTTACCTTGTCCTTCGCTCCCGCAATGTGTCCCCTGCAGCGTTCCCGGCCATCTCCTCCAGCCGATGCCGGCATCCGGGTTCCATGTTCCGGTCCCTGTGATGTCGGGACGTACGGGCGCCGGAACCGGCGGGAAAATTTAAATTTTTAAAAAATTTCATTTTTGCTGTCATTGCTGTTTCAATGCATTTCACATACATTTTGTCCCCACTGCTTTGTCCTGTGCCCTGCCTGCATTTTGACTGTTCTTTCTGCCTGGAAACTTAGAAAAGTCCATGGCGTCCAAAAAGCGTCCCTTTACGTCAAAAGCGGTTTTAGAACAGCAATAGTAAATTAGAACCACTTGCAAAATTGAGTGATAAGGATTTGTGGGGAAATTCATCATCAGACACTGAAAACGATTTTGCGACTTTGCTCAGCGATGTGCGAATTTGCCTCTGTATTTCAAATTTCAGTGTTTTTGGTTTGATTATATTATTGAATTAAATTTATTATTATAATATTATTATTTTTTTATGATTATTTATTAAATTATAATTTATGATTTTGTGTTTCAAGTTTTATCATATCCGGAATGTTTACTAGACTCTTGTTCGTACAGATTTCAGTGAGTTATTCCTAAAAATTACAGCCTACAATAAAAAAACTACATATTTCCATGCAAAAAAATGGTACCGCTTTCAGCACAAAAAAATCGGAAAGAATCATACCGCCGAGGAGGTTAATAGAAAAAAGTAAAAAATATAGTTTTTTTTTCTCAAAATTGTCAGTCTTTTTTTTTTATAGCACAAAAAATAAAAAACACACAGGCGATCAAATACCACCAAAAGAAAGCTCAATTCGTGGGAAAAAAAAGGATGCAAATTTTATTTGGGTGCAGCGTCGCATGACAGCGCAATTATCAGTTAAATTAACGCAGCACCATAAGGCAAAAAATGGCCTGGTCAGGAAGGGGGGTAAATTATCAGGAGGGCAAGTGGTTAATAATCTTTCTAAATCAGCTTTTACTCTCAAAATATTCCACACTTCAATGATTTAAGGTGCATGCAATAAATTCAGCTAATTCATGAAAAATAAAGGGAATATAGAGCTACAGTTTGTTCCAATGAATGTGAACTGTTTTCCATATGATAAAGTGCAAATTTATTACTAATTCTATTAGTGGTCTTGTTCTATTATATTGTTAGAAAACACCTTGGTACAGTCAGGTCCATAAATATTGGGACATCGACACAATTCTAACATTTTTGGCTCTATACACCACCACAATGGATTTGAAATGAAACGAACAAGATGTGCTTTAACTGCAGACTGTCAGCTTTAATTTGAGGGTATTTACATCCAAATCAGGTGAACGGTGTAGGAATTACAACAGTTTGCATATGTGCCTCCCACTTGGTAAGGGACCAAAAGTAATGGGACAATTGGCTTCTCAGCTGTTCTATGACCAGGTGTATGTTATTCCCTCATTATCCCAATTACAATGAGCAGATAAAAGGTCCAGAGTTCATTTCAAGTGTGCTATATGCATTTGGAATCTGTTGCTGTCAACTCTCAAGATGAGATCCAAAGAGCTGTCACTATCAGTGAAGCAAGCCATCATTAGGCTGAAAAAACAAAACAAACCCATCAGAGAGACAGCAAAAACATTAGGTGTGGCCAAAACAACTGTTTGGAACATTCCTAAAAAGAAGGAACGCACCGGTGAGCTCAGCAACACCAAAAGACCTGGAAGACCACAGAAAACAACTGTGGTGGATGACCGAAGAATTCTTTCCCTGGTGAAGAAAACACCCTTCACAACAGTTGGCCAGATCAAGAACACTCTCCAGGAGGTAGGTGTGTGTGTGTCAAAGTCAACAATCAAGAGAAGACTTCACCAGACTGAATACAGAGGGTTCACCACAAGATGTAAACCATTGGTGAGCCTCAAAAACAGGAAGGCCAGATTAGAGTTTGCCAAACGACATCTAAAAAAGCCTTCACAGTTCTGGAACAACATCCTATGGACAGATGAGACCAAGATCAACTTGTACCAGAGTGATGGGAAGAGAAGAGTATGGAGAAGGAAAGGAACTGCTCATGATCCTAAGCATACCACCTCATCAGTGAAGCATGGTGGTGGTAGTGTCATGGCGTGGGCATGTATGGCTGCCAATGGAACTGGTTCTCTTGTATTTATTGATGATGTGACTGCTGACAAAAGCAGCAGGATGAATTCTGAAGTGTTTCGGACAATATTATCTGCTCATATTCAGCCAAATGCTTCAGAACTCATTGGACGCCGCTTCACAGTGCAGATGGACAATGACCCAAAGCATACTGCAAAAGCAACCAAAGAGTTTTTTAAGGGAAAGAAGTGGAATGTTATGCAATGGCCAAGTCAATCACCTGACCTGAATCCGATTGAGCATGCATTTCACTTGCTGAAGACAAAACCGAAGGGAAAATGCCCCAAGAACAAGCAGGAACTGAAGACAGTTGCAGTAGAAGCCTGGCAGAGCATCACCAGGGATGAAACCCAGTGTCTGGTGATGTCTATGCATTCCAGACTTCAGGCTGTAATTGACTGCAAAGGATTTGCAACCAAGTATTAAAAAGTGAAATTTTGATTTATGATTATTATTCTGTCCCATTACTTTTGGTCCCTTACCAAGTGGGAGGCACATATGCAAACTGTTGTAATTCCTACACCGTTCACCTGATTTGGATGTAAATACCCTCAAATTAAAGCTGACAGTCTGCAGTTAAAGCACATCTTGTTCGTTTCATTTCAAATCCATTGTGGTGGTGTATAGAGCCAAAAATTTTAGAATTGTGTCGATGTCCCAATATTTATGGACCTGACTGTATATTCCAATTCTCTAATATTTTATATCACAGCTAGGGATGCATTGCATACATACTCTTTAAATGATACCTGTAGCTGGCAGGGGGAATGGCTCGAGTACGACAGGAGAGGGTTACTTGTTCTTCAGCTGAACCTTCTGGAAACAATGTGTTCTGGGGCTGTTCCTCAAATACTGGACCATATCCTTCAGCTGGTCCTTTGGCAGATTGTAAGGCTGAAAGAGAAATTCCTTGTCAAAATTTAAAGAACTGATTAAATTAAAATCATAACCAGAGATTAGTAAACTGATTCTTTGCAAGGCAGATATATACATTTTCTGTGTCATGTTTACATCCTGGTGACATTTTGCATATTGCTTTGCATGCATTCACATCTTCAGATGGGAATTATTTTCTCAGACAAAGCCTCCAACAGTTAGTTATTTTTCCCAAAAAATGGAAAAATAATAAAACACTATATGCCACACTCAGATATTGTGAGCAGGAGCAGATTGTATAGCCAGTAGAAGCTATAAGGTGAAAGGGCTGCCATGGGCATCACCTGGCTATCCACACATCCACATGTTGGCTGTCAGTAACATGTTTTCACGTATAATAAAATATTCCAAACAGCCATCGTGGCTGCAGTTGTCATCTAGTTGGGCTCTCGTTGTTCCTGTATTTCTACAGTTTGTGCGCTTTTGTTTTTGGAAGAATGTGTTGTACATACAGTTAACCAATTCTGGGTTCATACATTTACAGCTGAACTGCTAGCAGAATTAAATGACATTTTCTCTTACTCTCCTAGTTACTAATAAAGATTATTTGTGGGAAAAATGTTTCTATCAACATTTTGCCCCAGCTTTGAGTGTCGTTTATGCCTATGGTATGATACAGAAATTGACTGGATGAATGGATGGGCACAAGACAACTAGCCTAGAAGGGTAGGAAGAATAAATCCAGTTCTGATTATGAGAGATATTCAGTTCACAGTAACTTTTTACTTGCTATGTAGGTTGCATAGCATGCTTCGATGACACTTTGTGCATATACAGACAAATGGTTGCAGGGATAAAAATGGATGAGATGTAACCTACAATCAGACAATGTTGGTTTAGATCCCAGAGAGAGACAGGTGTGTAGAGAGATTAGATATATTAGAATTCTGAACCCGCAGGTTACATAGTTACATAGGTAGTCTGGCTGAAAAAAGACAAAAGTCCATCCAGTTCAACCATTAAAAACAGAACAAAGTTATAATCCAAAAAGCATAATCCAATTTACTCCTGCAGGGGAAAAAATTCCTTCCTGATCCCCCGAGAGGCAATCGGATATTCCCTGGATCAACTTTACCTATAAATGTTAGTATCCAGTTATATTCTATGTATCTAAGAAAGAATCCAGGCCTTTTTTAAAGCAATCCACTGAGCTGGCCAGAACCAACTCTTGAGGAAGTCTATTCCACATTTTCACAGCTCTTACTGTGAAGAAACCTTTCTGTGTTTGGAGATTAAATCTCTTTTCCTCCAGACGTAAAGAGTGCCCCCTTGTCCACTGTGATGACCTCAGGGTGAATAGCTCTACACCGAGTTCACTATATGAACCACTGATGTATTTATACATGTTGATCATATCCCCCCTTAATCTCCTCTTCTCAAGAGAGAATACATTTGGTTCCTCTAATCTTTCCTCATAGCTGATCTCCTCTATGCCTCTTATCAGTCTGGTTACCATTAGAGCTGTGTGCTTGTGAGTGCACTTTATACAGGAGATTAGTGAACAGAAACTGGAAATGGGGTGTGGCAGCAAAGGCAATTTAGAACAAGCTAATGCATCTTGAGCTTGTTTTTGACATTTGACTGCCTTGCCACAATAACTGTGGTGGTGGCAGCACTAGAGAAAGTTTAAGGTGAAAGATTTAAAGGATAAGTTGACCTTCAGGAACATGTTACATGTTCCACCTGTTTTTTTGGGAACACTCCTACAGCTCTCCCCCTGATCCCCCTCACCCTGTGACAGTGGGCTTGCAATCTTCTCCCTGCACCCGCTGTCAAAATTTGAAAAGAAAGCGCAACCGCACAGGGCTCTGCCCACATGTCTGCATCATTCATTCACAGAGTTCTGTGAATGAATGCCTACAAGTAACGTCAGCCTTTGCAGATGACAACTTGTTGTTCTCAATGAACTGCAATGGTGCTGGTGAGCATTCTCGTAGTTCATTGATTCTTCCTGGACTGAAGTAACTTCCTGACTGTATCGGAGATTGAGCAGAGGGCTACATTGACAGTCTGCAGCACCCTGACATTGCACCCATGATCTGCTGATCATGGGTGCAATGCTTTACAGGCTCCCAAGGAAAAAAATAGTAAATGCACAGTTTTGTTACCTGCAAACAACTTATTCTTTAAGGTAGCAGAGCTTTATATGGTTTAATTCTAAAAACACTTTTACACAAGCTATACAGAAGAACTGAAGAATCAAGTGGTATTAAAAAAAAAAAGGTGGTAAATCCACAAAGTAATATGAAATAAGAAAAAAAGGTATTGATAGTGGGAATGGAAGGCAGATGCTACTTACCAGCATAGGGAAAAAGTAGGAAACACAGGAAGTAAGCAGAGGAATGCAGCATGGTAATTCTGCAGTAGAAAAGAATGAAAGGTTGTCAGTTCAAAAAAGAAAGAAAGAAGAAAGAAAGAAAGAGAGAAAGAAAAAAAAAGAAAAGAAAGGAAGAAAGAGAGAGAGAGAGAAAGAAAAAGAAAGAAAGAAAGAAATCACATCTAACCAAAAGCAGATTTATTAAAATGTTTGACAATACAGCAATCTATACAGAGTAGACATTAAATTGACATATTATTGTTAAATTAAACCTTTAATGTGGCCCTTTTTTAATACTAGTTGCTTCGCTGATTTGCATACTGGGTGGTATTATTACCTGAAATGATGTTTATGTCAACGTGTGAATCACATGCTATAACATAAGGGTTTACTGTAAAACTGGTGGCTGTAAAACTGCCTGATCACTTCTACAGATGACACATGCTATATAAGGGTTACTGTAAAACTGGTGGCTGTAAAACTGCCTGATCATTTCTACAGATGACATAAATGCAGGTCCCCCCTGTGCTCCACCTTTCCCCCTCCCCCACCCAGTTGTTCCTGGGTCCTCTCACTCCACCAGGGAACCCAGGACCCCAAAACATCTGTCAGGATTGTAAGGGGTACTACTGGAGGAGAGATCCAACACTCCATCTCTCCTCTGTAGTGTAAACCTGGAAGCGCTCTGCTCTGAGCACTTGTAGGTTCATAGCTGACAGACTATGGTAAATAGTAGATCAATTACAGCTTGTAGTTTGTTGCTATTTTTGGGAACACACAGTTTTTAAGGCCTGACATATTTGGTACTCATTTACTTAACACTGAATCACCTTTTATAATTTACAAAAAAATGGGGATTATATTGTGTTTGCTTGCACTAAAATTAGTTTCATGTATTTTGTACCGAAAATATAGGTTTGATAAACAGCTATGCAAATATAGTGCCACATAAAAAATTGCATCCACCATCCATTTATTCTACAGTTTCTCAACTTTCAAAAAACATATAATATTTTGGGGGTTATAAGTAATCTTAAGTCTAAAAATGCATACTGTAGAATGCATGTAAAAAAATAAACAAAAATTGATCAGGCAGTGGAATGTTTAAAGGGAAAAAACACTGGCAAATGTGCATGTATTGCAGAGACACATTGCATGTTTTTTGTTATTTGTCTTCACATAATTTTAGACTATGAAATCACTTATCACATGTAAAGAAGGGCATATCAAGTGATAGTATGGAAAGACTGAAAGATATCAAGTAGTGCCCTTCTGATTTTAAATCCTGATTTACAGAGCCATGAGGAGAAAAAGCTAACTCTAAGTATAAGGATAATTTTGGCTTTGCACCTGCTCCGTCTAAGTGAAAAACTAGTTTTGCAAAATCTAGCAGTGCTACTGTCTGTAAAAAAAAAAAAGAAAAAGACCCTTCCCATGAAGCAATAGTAGACATGTGAGTTTCTGTCCTGCATATGACCGCTGCTATGCTAATACCAGCTCACATGCCACTAGCTCACATGCTGAGTGCTGAGCTAGTAGTCTTAGGAGAGGGGAGGGTTTTCAATTTTAGAAATCAGGCAAAAAATACAAATTAACCCTCCAAGTTCTGAACCTGCAGACACACGTAGAGCTCCAATGGAATTTCCTCTTCTCCTGGCAGCATAAGGCTCCTAAATATTTGGGTTTGAAAATCAAACACCATCTACAACCTGAATTAAAGATTATTGTTGACACATATTTAACAAAAATGAAAATATTAAGCCAAACTTAAACACACTTGGTTCAGTAGGATGGCTCTTTACAAAATGGACATCCTATCACATCTTCTTAATATATTACAAGCCATACATAGTGTTGAAATCCTCTTTCAGTATGCTGCAGTCCTCTCTACTGTGATACATATAGGCCATTTTCCCAGGCAAGGCATCAATAATTTACCAGGCAAGACTTCATTATACCATACTTAGCAAACGGACCCAGAATAGAGGAATAGGCCTTACCCCACACAGAACTTTAGTATCTATTACTATTTTTACTCACAAGACTCCAAGACTGGACATTCAATGGCAGAATATAAACTGTGCTGCATAGACTGTGGGGAACATTTTTTCCCCTCTCCCTTTCACTTCCCACTATTGCATACATCTATTTCTTTCTTTGTGCCTGCCCCACCCCATGTTATGTGTATGGAATGCGCTCATCCATACACACAGTCTCCTCCTATGTGGGCTCCATGACCCAAATATTATGGAACCCAGGAATATCCACCAGGGCAACTCTGCCCCAGATGGTTTAAATGTTCCTCCCATACTCTCTCGTCTATATTCACAGCATTGATGAACAGGGATCTGCGACCACTCCTGTCTCTAACTTAGGACCTATCCTATTCTCTAGGACAACAGATGACCTACTTCCAACTTGGGAACTTTTACCATAACCTCCAATGTAAAGGTCGTGTAAACCGATCTCTCACCCCTCAACATACAAATAGAAGACCCCATGCATTCCTTCTGCACGGTCTATAAACCATACTTTCATATATATCACCTAGCTCACCTTACCATATGGCAGAATGGGAGAGGGAAGTTGCGTGCACACTTTTGGAAGATGACATTCTAAATTATTCATAATGATACATAAGCTCTTTGTGGTTAGTAGAATACATAATTACATAGTGAGGTTGAAAAAAGACAGTAGTCCACCTAGTTCAACCAATAAAATATAATAAAAAACACATACACAAATAGAAAATCTCCATATACACTGTCCTATACCCACAGCTGATCCACAGGAAGGCAAAAACCCCTTTAAAACATGAGCCAATTGTTCCATTGGAGAAAAAAAATTCCTTCCTGATCCTCCATGAGGCAATCGACTATTCCTTGGATCCCTGACCTTATAACTTTTATATATCATTTCCAGTTATAAATTTAGGAATGCATCCAGCTCTTTTCTAGAACAATCTCATGTGCTGGTCAGAACCAGTTCTTGATAGAGTCTTTTCCACATTTTCACAGCTCCTATTGTGAAGAAGCCTTTCCATATGTGGAGGGTAAATCTCTTTTCCTTCAGACGTAAAGCATGCACCCTTCTCCTCTGTAAAGACCTGAAAGTGAATAACTCAAAACAAAGTTCACTATATGGACCACTTATTTACAGTAATTAAACATGTTGATCATATCCCCACTTAGCTGCCTCTTCTCAAGAGAGTAGAAATTCAGCTCAGCTAATCTTTACTCATAGCTGAGCTCCTTGATAACTGTAAGGAAATATGTCTTATTAACTGGCATCCATGTTGTATAATGCCTCCATTTCTAGACGTGTAAACAGTTAGTTTCGGTTTTGTAACTTCTCTCTCATTTTCTTAGACTAGTTTAACTTCTGTAAACAGAACTACCTTATATGATATCCCTCAACTATTTGCAGTTTCTGTTCTTCACATAACTATATTGATAAGAATGGAATGTTTCATTGGTCATCCTGAGATTAAGCAACACCTACTGAGTTCTCTATAACCATGCATTAAACTTTCAGAGATTTAGCTTGCACACTTCAGTGTCTGGAGCTTTATTTCTCCCAGGCCTGAGGGTGAAAATAACAAGGACAGGGACTACAGACATAGGTTGAATCCTTGCAATGCCTCTTATCAGTTTGGTTATTCTTTTCTGCACTTTCTCCAGTTCTCCTATCTCTTTTGTGAACTGGTGCCCAAAACTAAATGCATATTCCAGATGAGGTATTACTAATGACTTGTACAGGGGTAAAATTATATATATATATAGATAAATATATATATATATATATATATATATATATATCTGGAGTCTATACCTCTTTTAATACAAGTAAATATTTTGCTTGTTTTAGAAACTGAAGCTTGGCATTGCATGCTATTTTTGAATCTATGATCTACCAGTACCAATACAATACAGGGTCATCAAAATACTCACCATGAGGTATCAATAACTGCATGAATTTAATTCCATTTTACTCCATGTTTCTAAAACGGAAATGTCACATTCATATGGGCACAATCCTACACATATACTGTAGGATCTGTCCAAAGCTCACGCAGTTTGTTCTACCATCAACCATACTAATATATTACTTCTTTTACTGTACAAAGATCTGCACAACTTGTTTTACTCTCTCTTCTGAACAGATCCTTAGTTTTACCCAAAAAAGGCATTTTGGTGCACATAAAGTGTCTCAGAGCTCCCTGCCGGCCACTAACATCTTTGGTGGTCAGTTTCAATCTTTAGCCATTTTCATCAGCCGAGCCAAGATGATATCACTCCTGTGCATGTGCCAGAGTTCACTCATCTCGGCATCAACAAAACTGAACACTGTTCTACAAGTCTGTTTGTCAGTTTTTTTTCTAAAGAACACTTTATATAATAGTTTTTGTGCTTGGAATTCAGCTTTAATAAATATAAAACTCTGTTAGCATTACCGTAAGTATCTGGTATATGTATTGAAGATGGATACAATCTCAAGGGAAGTCCCTGAGTAATTCATACTGATTATGAAATGGACTGTTTCCTTGTACTGACCTTGACTTTATAGGCTTTTTACAATGCAGTGTGAAAGGAGTATGAAAGGAGTTCAACAACAAAGGCATTTAGACTGAGTTTAGCTGACACACTGAACTAGATCTCTGTTTCAATATCTTTTTGAATCCACAACACTTTAAAGGTAATAACTGCATTGCAATTAGTGCTAGACAATTACATTTGAAGTTACTGTTGTTATGCTACCACAACAGACTTTTTTTCCCCATTTATTATGTTTTGGTATGTTCTGAGCCCCCCCCCCCTTGTTTGTTTGTTAGTTGGTTTATTATTATAATTATTATACAGAATTTATATAGCGCTAACAGTTTGCTCAGCACTTTACAATATAAAGGGAGACAATACAGCAACAATACAGTTCAATACAAGAGGGATAGGAGGGCCCTGCTCTTGGAGCTTACAATCTAGGAGGGAGGAGTTAGTGGTACAAAAGGTAATTACTGTGGGGGATGGACTGGTAGGA